AATTAGAAAATTAAATTTAAAGTAAAGAAAGCAAACACTTAATTCGTTTTTAATCAACGAATCAAATCGATTCGGTATCGCGGCCGGCGATCTGAATGTGTCTCCATATACATAATATTCAATTCGAGCATCGGGCGAGCGCGAGCACGCATCGATGCGTCGCCGGAATGACGACGCGGCTGAGAAAACCACCGCTACGTCCGCGATCCGCTCGCGTTTTCTACACGCGCGCGTAACTTTGGTTACGGCTGCCGCTCCTCGCCGCCGCGCCGCCGCGGCCATTAGACGGCCATTCAATTGGTAAAAGTGATAGTTGTCCAGGCAGCCGAACGCGGAATCGACGGCGACGACGACAAAGTCACAAATCTAGATCAGACGGGCAGAAGCACGCCGCGAAGACGCCGAAGAAGAAGAAGAAGAAATCCGAGCTGTACGGCCGGACAATGAAAGTAGATCGGTTTTTTTTCTTCTGCGCGCTGCCTAATCTCACCGCGGCTAATTAAAGCAGCTGTAGACGGAAGCGTTTAGTTTTTGGATAAATCAATCTCTCGATGCGCGCCGTTCGGAAAGTTCGAAATCCGGTTGAATGTGGGCCTCGCCGATGAAGAAAATTTGGAGCGCACTCGGCGATGCATAAAATCGCTCCGAAAATGCTATCGACAATAGAAATCTACGCACTTTGTATCATTTGCTGCCGCGTTCGCTAATAACCAGCTAATAACTCATCAATTAAAATCGATTATTCATCGATTGACAAGCGAACTTTCTGTTTTCGATACAAATTTCAACTTTTCACGTAATTTTAGTTTTTCTACGCAGTGTAGTACCTATATTCAAATTGTGGTTTAATTAATCAAAAGAAGACTGATACTGATACACTTGGCTGAAAAAAGTCGCGAGCCAACAAATAAACGTATCGCTTGCGTCGATAAATCGAGCACTTTCTCCGCGCCGCGCGCGCATGGATATGCGCTTATTTACTTTGCGCTTATAACTTAGTTACATTCGTCTTTGTCGTCGTCTTCTTCTTGTTTTAATGCGTTGCGCCGGCTGCGCTCGGACAACGCGAACACTTGGCGCGCTCGGAAATTGGTGCAGTTTTCGCGGAGCGACGAAGAAAGGAAGCGCGACGTTCGCAAACTGACCATTAGCGCTTGATTTGCGAGCGTTTCGCTAGCGCTGCCTGGCTGATATATTGCTCCATATTACTGGCGCGCCGGGGCCAAGCCTAGATCTCGCGCAGTGCGCGCCGAAAGAAAGAAAGCTGCCCGCCGATTTTGTTTATCGCCGCTCGTGGACAATCCGCGCGCGCGCGCGCGCCCGCGGAAACATCGAAACGTGGAAAACTCGCGGCGCTGTCGGCCACAACTTACGACTCTATATTCATCCTGTGCAGCGCGTTCATTGAATTTTAAATCCGCGCGAATAAAACCTAAACATTTTCACGCTTATGCACTAAGTAGCAATTTAAGTCATAAAACATCACGCCGGTGGATTTGATCGACGCGAATCGATTTTTCCCAAGCGACACGCCCGAAATGATTACTGAACACCCGAGAAAAAGCAACAAGTAGAACATGAAGACGAACGGGACGAGTTACAGTTGTAATTTCCAGCCGCGCGGCGCATCCGTGCATCGATTTTATTGCAAGAAATTGAAATTCTTCTCCGCGCCGGCTCCTGCTCCTTCGGGTTGAGCACAGCGGCCAGAAAAACGAGCATCAGTTATGTTAAGTGAGGCGTAATCAAGCCAGCCGTGCGGATAATAAATATCTACTCCACATTCGCAGCGATACTCATCCACTGAGCGTTTTGATAAATCACGCATTGTTTGCGGTGATTCTTCCAGCGTTTGCGGAGGTATTAGTCGCCCGGTGTGCGCACGACGTGTCGGACGTGTTGATCTTTAATATCTGGGCGAGCGGGCGCATAAGGCGATCGCGGCGCGGCGCGGAAAAATGCGGAAAATGAGAAATCTGCGCGGCGGCTGCGCGCCGGCCAACCTTTGATCCCAATCGTCTTGCGGACGGTTTCTGCACCTGTAAACACTACTTGGTGCGCGCGCGCGATGCGAAAAATGCGCGGTTCTACTCGACCGGATCGCAATTTTAGTGAATGAAATGAAGTGGGAGCGGGCATAAATCAATAGCACGCGAAATACGATTCTGCGGCCGGCTGGGTGAAAACACACTCAAACCACAATTGCGAAGAAATCGGAAAATGTGCGAAGAAGCGAAGAGATTTAAAGAAATCCGTACTTTTTTTTGTGTGTAAAACTAAAACTTTCATTTTAGTTTTTTTTTTCTCTCACAAAAAACAAACGAATTTCAATAAAAATCGTCTTAAAACATACGCAGACATAAAAAGCGCTATCGATTTGAATGCTCAATGGTGATTAATGATCGAAATATTCAATATCTGCTCAAGCGCGCGTATCTTTTTCAGCGTGCGTGCAACTTTTTTCGGATGTTGCTTTTTTCGTAGCGAAAGAGCATTAAATTTTAATGGCATTCCGCTCCTCGACGGATTTCGTCCGCGTCGACGCTAATTGAGTTCACTTGTCCGCTCCGCGAACGCACCGAATGAGTCGGCAGCGTAACTAGGACTATACTTAATTCAATTAGGGCGATAATCGACAAATAATCACTGGTCGCAGCGCGCAGTCATCATAACTCGGCTAGATCAACGCCGGGCGCGAAAAGAATCCGACAAAAATGAAAGCAAACACCTGAGAAAACGCCATCCTCACACGTGTGGCAAGGTGGAAATCGGTTCCAAGTCGAATACAAAAAAAACTAATGAGCATAATGACGCTGAGATAATTTAATTAAGATTATCATGTGAAAGGGCTAGTTACCTACCGGAATGATCACCGTAACAAGTTGTTTTTACAAGTTGACAGATTGTGCGATTGCATCGAGATTAATGTGTGCAACAGGAGCGCTCGTTAATCAACAGTGTGAATCATTAGTATTAGACGTAGGATTCGGCTTCGAAAATTTATCCAGCGTAGCATCTGGCATCGATTTCCGAGAGGTCAGAGATCAAACGACGTCGCACTCCAACGCAGCTCCTGATAAAATGTCAATTCCGGCGATAAAACGTACTTTTCGACGGTTTCGGCGCGCGCGTTCACCTCGCAGACAAAGTGATCTTTAAAATTCGTGTGGCGCGTACACACGTCATCAAAAATTCAGACGCTTTGGGAAAAAATCCGTCTCGCCCACGCGCTGTGTGAATAAATTTACGAATAGTTAAATTTGTAAGAGTTTTAAGTTAAACTTCAAAGTAAAACTTTATAATTTATAATTCATCCCCGGTTATTTGTTTGTTTGAGAATGGTAACAGGACAAAGCGCTTTTACGTAACGTGCGCACTCGAGGAATAACAACGCGCGCGCGGGTTGGCGACTTGCGACTTTCTTAGCCTGCGAGAAAAGCGAGCGTTCCGCGCGCTCGCGGGTCTTATCTGTTCGCATGTCCGGACATGCGGACGTAACGGACGCGGCGCTCCAGCCTCGCCAGCTAGCTCCAGTTCTCGTACGGTAATCTTACCTTTTTTTTCCTTGCTGCTTTGCGGTGCGCGCGGCTGAGAGGGCCGAAGGAAGGAGGAAGCCCTGCGGGCGTGTGCGCGCCGCGCGCGACGGTACGACATGCTACGTGCGGCACGCCACGATGCGTACCGATAACACGACCAGGGAAACGTGTTAACAAATGCCCTGCAACGGTCACCGCCGCCGACAGCGCACAAAAATGCACCGGCAGTCGTCGTCTAGCTGAAAGTGCAGGGGAGACTTCAATTCAGTTCTCAATTTGAGCAAGCACTCTATAATAATGTATTTACACTCACCTGTTTCTCGTTCAACAATCACGATTGGCAGCGTGGTGTAACTGTTGTGCACATCGCGAATAAATAAAAATGCAGTGCAGGCGATAACCTTAGTTCGTTTTTTTGCCGCCTAATCTGGAGGGGGTTCAATGACCTCTGAAATTTGAAAAATACAATAAAATTAGTTGAAAATCTGTGAAATCGTGCAACAATTAAAGAAAAACAATGAAATAAGTTAAAAATAGGCTGTAGACATGGAATATATCACAGAATATTATGGAATATACTCAAAAACTTACTTTTTTCAAGGACGTTGAGCGTGATTCAAACAAAAAACGAAATTTTGACAATTCTGTGGCTGATCTTCTGCGATCCACTGCAATCAGCAACTGTTTTACTTAGTTTTACGTTTATAAAGTCTGGATTAGTGTTTTAAATGTTACACTTTGTGTTTTGCACACTTTTTACAACAGGTTTTCGGTTTACACTTGTTTGCTATAACGTTCTGCAACGACTGCACAAACCGACGCCTTCCCGGTTTTTTCTCCCTGCAGTCGTGCCACACTAACAGGCGCATGAGTAATACCAACCTATTTTAAACTGACCTGCGCAAAACAAACAAAATTTTGAAATTTGACATTTTAATGTCAAATCACACCATTTATTGTTTTAAATATTCACTACTAATTAATTCATGCTGGTAAGCTTATTTAAAAGATATATTTATAGACAATTGTAATAAATATTGATTATCCTTGAGTTTTCATATAATTTTATTCAAAACAATCGATGTTTTGATGGAATGTAGCACGAATTCGGGCTATTTAACAGCGAAATTTAAATTACAAGCCACGAACGAAACATATGGCTGTAGTTGTTGTACGCGATGGAGGCGCGTTGATAAAAAGTGAAACGTTTGCGCAGCCTCTCGCCTCTCGCGCGGCGAATATCTACGTTTCATCAATTGTAGCATTTGTACGAACATTAGTTATTCTTATCAAGCGTTCGGCGCGTTCGTCACTGCTGGCTGTATAGCCATCAGGCGCAGAGCTATCAACCACGTCACATCGACGTTTCTAACCGCACTTTTCTGACATTTACCAGTGAAACATTCACGGTTTCCTTCTCCTGCCATGTTCAAATAAAAAAACGTGTTCTCTTTCTGTTTGCAGATCCCAGAATCCTTAATGAACATTGTGGACCAATCGCTACCGTCGTGGCTCCGCTACCTGCCCCCGAAACCGCCCTCGTCGTCATCGCACACGCCGTACCCCGCCGCTTCCAGCCATCGCAGCGCCGCCGCCGCCGCCATGAGAGAGAAGGACTCGTCGCCGCGCAAGATGCTGGTAGCGACGAGCGGTCACAGCAGCCCCAAGCAAGCGGCGGTCTATCCCTCTCAGTACGCGTGCCGCCTCCGGATGACGACGCGCCCTTTGATCTGTCATCGCGTAAGAGCGCAGCGTCGCCCGTCCCACGCGGGCCACACATGTCGCCTGCCAGCCGACCCGCCGCCCAGGAAGAGGCGGAATATGAACAGCCACTGGACCTGCGCGTTGATCACAAGAAATCCATACTGCGCGCTGCCGCCGCCGCGCGTGGCCTTGGTAAAGACGAGAATTCGAACGTGATTGCATCGGAGACGGATAAAATGGGCGGGACACTGCCGCCCCTGCCGCCTACAGCTCTTGGGCAAGGATCACTTGGTGTTGGTAACTTCCCAGTGCTTTTCCCACCGCAACCCATGCATCCGATGATGCTGGAGGCGATGTATCGCGCGCAGAGTAAAGTACCCATACAGTATCCGCGTTATCCGCCATTCCTGCCCACATCAATGCTGTCCCCGACGTCTCCGTCGTTTGACCTGCTCCGGGCGCCTACCCTGACACCTGTGAGTAAATTTGATCCACCTACACCCACAGCCACTACGAATCTACCACCCGGAGGCGGTGGGGGTACCGGGGGTAGTGTTGGTGGTAAGGTAAAGGATCGCTACGCCTGTAAATACTGCGGTAAGGTATTCCCACGTTCCGCGAATCTCACGCGCCACCTCCGGACGCACACTGGTGAACAACCGTACAAATGCCGCTACTGCGAGCGCTCATTTTCGATCTCCTCCAACCTGCAGCGGCATGTACGCAACATCCACAACAAAGAAAAACCATTCAAATGCCCATTATGCGAGCGTTGTTTTGGTCAACAGACTAATCTAGACAGGCATTTGAAGAAACACGAAGCCGACGGTCCTACTATCCTCGATGAACGCGCGCTCCAGCGGCGCTCGTTCCAAGGACGCGCGCTCAACGAAGAGTCCTACTTCGAGGAGATCCGTAACTTCATGGGTAAGGTAACAGAAGGGAGACTGGCGCTGGGCGCGCCGAGTTTCGAGCGGTTGGAAAAACTCGAACGTTTTGAAAAACTCGGATTGTTACCGATTAATCAACTCGCTGGACTTGGAGCCGCCGCGCAGAATAACAACAACGATGTGTCCACCATGAACAACAACCAAATCAAGGCGGAAAAAGTGGATGATATACCGGAGAAGATGGATGCGGATGCGAAGGATGTGGAGGTGAAACTCGAGCGGGATTATTGCAGTTCGAGATCATCGACGCGCTCATCAAGCGCGGCGTCCAGTCGATGTGACAGCGTGGATAAAGAAGATAAACTTGACCGGATGGATGCGAAAGACGACGAGAATCAGGATAATAACAATGTGCCGATCACGATGACGATGACGACGCGGCGGAGGAAGGCGTCGTGATCGTGTGTAGGTCTAGCGAGGTAACAAAAATTCTTTAAAAAAAATGATTTTTTACAACATCAGGGGTGATTTTTGTTCGGTTTCCTTCACTATTCGTTAATTATTTGTGTCTACACGCGAGGAAAACACTGCGGATTCTTCCCAGACGACGCACTAATTAATTACACTTCTTTCTTGCTTGTTTCATGTGTTTCTGTTGCATCTTCGGCATTTTTTCCCGACCGCTTACGTATGAAAACGTAACGTTTTCCACTTTTAACGAGTCGCTTTAATTGCCGGCGTGATTTCTGCGATTTCTTCGATTCCCCGGACAGTTACGGCTAATTAATTGCCGTATAACTCGCCGCTGACATTTAAAGCGCTAAACGGCGAGTAAAACAACAATTAATTGATTATCGCATTCGATCGCCGGCAGTGTGCGCTTTTCAGGCGTTTTCGCCGCCTAAAATTTATCCGCGCGCGCTGTGCTCGCCGCGTCTCTTGGGTGGAAGATGTTGAGATTGAGAAACTTATGATTTATGTGCGCGCCGCGCGCGCGGTTAATTCGCTCGGGCCGCTCGTTAGCGATATAAACATGTCACATTTGACGCCAACGCGCCGCCGCTCTTTAACGAGGCATTAAATGGTCGCGCGCGCGCGCCGCGATCGAAAATTGATTCGAAAAGATTCATGAGTGTCGCCAGCGCCGAGGACAAATTGATCTCTAATATATTATTACCATTCGAATGCGCGAGTTGTGAGTTGTGTGTTGTTACGCTGTGCGTTAACATTGAATCACTTCGCTCTCGTTTTCGACCGGCTCGGGCGGACTTAATTGATGCCCGCCGTATTGTTCTCGGCGCGCGCGCTGATGCAAATTGCAATGCGCAAGAAGCCCGCCGAAGACGCGCGCCGCGCACAACAATGTCGAAAATTGAATGCAAGGTCGCGGCGCGGGCGCTCCAATTCTCAGCGGCTCATTCATCGCGCGGTGTTTCGCGGTGCTCGTTAATAACGGCATAATAGCGCTAATAACCGCACGCCGCAAGACAATACACGTGGATTACCTCATCGCGATCGCGAAAAACGAAAAACGAAACTAAATTGTCGAAATAAATAAAAAAAAATACTTGAATAATACACACAGCATCCACCGGAAATCGATTTCGTTGTGAATCGAGTGCCACCCGTCGGGTTCTTGTATCCAACGGGAGGAAATTGCCTAAAATCAACGCGTAATGCGATCTCCGCGACAGGAAGTCGCGCCTAATCACCGATCGCGCCAAAAACACTTTCGTCTGCCTGACTTTCATCGCTTCATCTTCTTAATACCGGTCATTTTCGGGTCTGTACTTGTTAACAACACACTTTAACACGTTGGGAAGTTTTGTTTTAATTTCCGGTGCGCGGTTATTTACTCTTGAACTGTTTTCTTCTTCTTTTCACCGCTGTATCCTACTTAAAAATCTTTAAGATTTCCAAAGGGTCTTTGTGCACTTTGTTCTTCTATTGATCACAACACGTAAAAAGCGCGCGATGTGAACGAAAACGAAAGCAAATCGAGAGCAGTCATTAATAACGACTTAATCATAACTTAATCGTTTCATTAGAAGTCATCACGGCGTAATCGCTCGATCTGATTGATCCATCGTTTGGTGGACGGATCGATTTCTATTTCGTTACGTCAGCCATTTTTTTTTTCGGCCGACGAATTTCTTTTTTTCAATTTCTTCTGCACCGGATTTTGTTCTGCGAGTCTTTTATTTCATGCCTTTCAATTAATTTCCTTCAAGTCTTCTTCACGGCTGATAAGAACGAAATAGAAATTCCGCGGCGAAGAACTGGAGCGGACGCCGGGCGCCCTCCGGCGGATCTCTAATAATTGTGCGGCTCGAATTTTTGACTCACAATCATTTACAGCGACGTCGGCATTAAATGCAAATTGCTCCAATTTCCAGGCGTGCGCGCGAAGCGCAAGTGGCGACGTTTTTACGCGCGCGATTTCTAATGTCATCGTAAAACCTAATTAATTCACTTTTGCGCCGCTCGACGCTCGTTTTCGTTAATTAATTAAGTGATAAACATTTCGTACTGCGTGTCGACTGCTACTGTTTCTGCTTTCTTTCGCTGCATGTTACACAATTTTCGGTGCGGATGAAATTTTTCGATGATATTCTGCGCTCGAAATCCAATGAACCGAAGAAGCGCGCTGGTGGAGAAAAAAGCGCGCCGCGCTGAAATTGATGCTGATGAATACGTATAGTAATTGCCGGCTGGTCGAGCAGAACAAGAGCAGGAACCGCTCGCGGTACGTGCGGCGTCTTCCTGCAAGTAGGCTAAGCCTAACCTCGCGCGCAATCGCCTTCTAACGGTAACTTCGTCGCAGTCATCTTCATCTTCTTCTTCTTGGTCTTCTTCTGCGGGCACTTCTGGTCGTAACATGTAATGTGTATCAACTTTTTCTTTTGTGTGCCGGTCGCTCTTTGTGTGCGCTGAGCTATGCTGAGCGCATCACAACACTTTTTGCGCGTTTGATTCTTTTCGGTTTCTTAATTCTATTTGATTTGCCTAACCGACACCCACCGATGTGCGGCTTTGTTGTCCACATCAAGATAAACACGTAGACGTTTAGACGAGTTTTTAACCGCCACCGGAGGCTGGAAACCGTTAGAATCACCGCGCCGCATTTTCCACTCGCTTTCCACTTGATTCAACAAACAATAAATTTCATCGCGAAATCATTCACACTCGGCTGGATTTGTTAATTTTATTGTGCGTTGTGTTACACACTGTGCGAATTATTGCACAAATAAATCACGCACGAATTAACGAATCATCAAAGACTCATCAGCGCGCTAATAAACTCATCAGCAACATTAATTAATTTCTAATGCATCACTTTTCACTTTCCACGCTCGGCGTATGAATTTTCCTGCGTTTTCTTGACTTTTCCGTGTTGCCAACTTTCTTTTTCATCGCAATAATTAAAAAGCGCGCAAATCACCTAATTTTTTTCGCTCCTCATTTCCTCAATTTTCACATCATCCACGAAATGCAGTGTTTCTTCTCGGTGCATACATGATGAAATTCAGCGAGACTTCCTACTACAAACGCATGTGCCACAAACGAAACAAAAACCGTACAAAACAAACAAGTACAACTAATTTTACACGTTTAACTAGTTTACTCTCACTTATTATACATTTTTATATAAAACAGTTACCAGTAAGTCTAGGAAGTAAAAAAAGTGATATGGAAATTTTCCCCGAGAAAAAAAAAATCACCCCTGTGCGAATACAACGAATTTTTGATCCAAAATTCCACACACAACGAAAGTACAATCCTACGTAATCACGCAACGAAGACGCACGTAAACTAAATTAATATATAGGCGCCTTAAAGTTAAAACCTACGATAAACATGTAACAAGTAACGCTCGATATATTTAACAATATGTGTTCCTTTTTATTTCCGACGTCGTACAATCTTCCTGCCTGCGATGAAGCTGCAAACGCTTTTCTTGCGAAACTCTTAAGGTTTAATGATAGATGTTAATTAATCAATTAATTAACTCCAGCTAGCCCGGGCTGTCGCGGAGCCCGGGAGGAACTCTCTACGAATTTGTTCCTAATGTGTGTGTGAATGCGTTTTATTTTTATAAAAATAAATAAATGTAATTTTATTCTTAAATATGTAAAAAAATTTGTATAGTTTGTAAACTCAACGATGCACGATTCACTTTAATTAATTTTATTAATTAAGTCACCTACGATCATAGTTACCTATGTAGATGTATAATACTGTAATTGTTTGTGTTTTATATTTTTCTCTTTCTGTAACAGAATGCGTTGTTCTTAGAGCTCGTTAAAAATGACAATTTGAACGGCGTGTGCGTTCGATGACGCAGCGTTCCGCGCGCACAGGACACAGGAGACATAGTCAATTAGATGGTTACCAATTAATTAATATGTGTACGTACTTAAGCTTTATTTAATTTAAACAGCGCGAGCATATTCTCGAACGGAACGTCTTGTAGTCATATCATATCGGAAATTTTTGTAACATTTGTGTTTTTTTTTTGTGTATTTTGGATTTCGTTTCGTAAGTGTATATTGTTTCTATTTCTATTTTGTATAAAAAAAACACAACACACAGGTTAATTATTAAAATGCCACACACTTTCAACGCATTTTTTGTACATGGCATGAGTAATGACACCGGTTGCTTGGCGTGCGGATGGATTTACAACAATTATGTCTCTGTCAAAAGTGTTACACATTTTTGAGTCTTGTCTTTCTTAAACTACTACCTACTATTAGCTTGTAAGTTAATGCAATTTGTGTAAACACGAAATTTTTATAAATAAAAATTTACATGAATTTTCTTTCTTGTGATTTTTTTTTTGATTTTTAGCGTTTTTTGTTGAAGGTAAGTAAAATATGCATTTTTTTGGGGTACCAGGAGAGGTATGCAGGTAGATTTGCTTTTAGGGGGGTTAGGGATGTTTTTAAGGCATTTTGTGATTGGTTTGAGGGTGAAATGCAGGTAAACAGGTATACACCCTTGATGGTAGGCACAATAGAAGAAGGTGTGTCTTCTAAACTTGAAATTATTTGTAAAATTGAATATTTTGAGTGAAAAATATTGAAAAACCAATAAAAAACGAAGAAATCTTCTATAAAATCTATAAAACAATGTTTTATGTGTTGTTATTTGATGGTATGTCTATCACATGGTACCCCTCGAGTGGTAGACCTTCAGTAGACAAGCAGGGTCTTCCTACATGCTCGGAAACAAACAAAAAGATCAAAATTTATGCGAAAAAATCTTCTTTAAACGAAATTTATAGTAAAACAAAGTTTTCTATGATTTTCTTTAATGGTATGTCTATCACATGGTACCCCGCGAGTCATAGACCTTCTTCAGACAAGATGGGCCTTCCTAGTTCCTCGGAATCAAACAAAAAGATCAAAATTTATGCAAAAAATCTTCTTCAAAGGAAATTTTTAGCAAAACAAAGTTTTCTATGATTTTCTTTAATGCTACGTCTATCTCATGGTACTCCTCAAGTCGTAGACCTTCTTTAGACAAGCAGGGTCTTCCTAATCGCTTGGAAACAAACAAAAAGATAGAAATTTACCAAAAAAATCTTTTAAACACCAAATATTTAGTAAAACAAAGTTTTCTATGATTTTCTTTGATGGTATGCCTATCTTATGGTACCCCGCAAATCGTAGACCATCTTTAGACAAGCAGAGTCTTCCCAATCGCTTAAAAACAAACAAAAACAACAAAATTTATGCAAAAAAATCTTTTCAAAACAAAATCTTCAATAAAACAAAGATTTCTATGATTTTTTTCATGCTATGTCCATCTCATGGTACCCCATGAGTCGTAGACCTTCCATAGACGTGCAGGGTCTTCCTGCTCGCACGAAATTTATCCAATTTCGCTCGTCGACGTGTCGGCGTCGGCGTAACGCGATCCGTCCGTTGGCGCTCCGGCGGCTTTGGCGTGGTCGCCTTATAAACCGATTGAATTTTCTATCGGCTCGTAATTGACCTTAACATTTACGCGCCTGCTCGCGCGCGGCGCAAGTAAACAAATCACAATTAATTCTCACACGCTCGTCGCCGCCGCAGCGAGCGCGCTTGGGAGAATTTTTTCACATCGCATAGGAAGCGAATAAATTAAGCGCGCGTAATGAAATCGAATGGTCGGCTTGCCTTTTTCGAGCAGCCGCTCGGCGCGCGAATAAAATTTTTACGAGTTTCGCGCCGGGATCGATTCCACTTTTAATATGCCGTTTCACACAATTAAGTCAACCTCACACACCATCGCCGCGCGACTTAATTAGAAAATCAATATATCACACCCAAAACGATGAAAAAATCCCAAACACACAAAACAAAAAAACGTAGCGTCATCTTAGAAATAATCGAATCGGGCGTGTCTCGTATTTTGTTTTAAATATAGAGAAATAGGAAAAGATCCAAGGATATTCTTCACTGGATCGATCAACATTCACGTCCACACGCACACGCAACACCCATACATTCATGCAGAGCGAAGTCGAGACGCGGCGCGCGGGGCGATTCAAGAAGGACTTTTTGTGTGAGCGATTCAGTAGGTGAACGTGTTTGCGCACCGACACACGCTCGCGATTATTATTATTGCAACGCGATACGCGATAGATCGGCGCGCGTATCAAGGTGATACACTTTTCAAATCTTGCGCACGCACACACAGCCGAACTCATATTCCGAGTCGCCAGCGGAGTGGCACAGGCAAGGAGTTCTTGCGATGCGAATTGTGCTTCTCCCATTTCGGACCACGCCAAACCAAAGAGTGTATAATCAATCCACTTTTTCGTTACTCTTATGAAATCACAACAACAACAAAACGCAAATCGAAATCGAAACACAAACGCTGATTTTAGCTGTGATGGCACAAGCCGAAATTTATTATTCCAACGACTATAATTATGAAGAAATTGAAAAATTGTTATGTAAATAGACAATTGACGAGTCGAAAAATACATGGCGATGTCCAAAGAAAGCGTGCACGCAATCGGAATCAATTATTTTCGATTTTTGATGAAAACCAGCGGAAAAAAATAGGTCAATGCAGCGTGCCTCATCATTAGCGCGGCGCGCGCCGCTCATTATCGTGCATTATTGCCGTTTATTGTCGGCGATGCCTCCCGGCTTTCCTCTCTCGCGAGCGGTCTCTGTGTGCTGCTGCCCCCGACTCGTGCCCGCGGATGGCGAAAAGCGGCGCTGTTCGCTCTCGGAATCGTTAAATTGTTAGATTGTTGTCGGGCCGAGCGCGCGCGCGCGCGCTGCACGCCGATTCGCGATTACGAAATCGAAACCTACTGGTCTAGATTTATTCATCCATACACAATATTATATTCCAGCATAATATATCGTAGATTACCGATGGCGCGCGCGCGCGCAGCTAGAGCCGCACCCTGAAAACTTCCGTGCCGAAGATATTCGCTCGGCGTTGCGTCACGCGCACCAGAGGTATAAGACAGTGGATCGAAATTTTGAAGGAAATTCGATCTTCGGTCGAAATTCAAAAATTCACGCGCAGATAATGAGCGACCTTAGATGTCTGCTGGTTTTAAGATTTGTGAAGAAGCCGAGCAATTCGTAGACAAGCACAAGGGTGTGGTGCCTGCCACCCACCGCTCGGTGGACTTTCTTGGACGCAAAAGTAAACTCAAAGTAAGTAACCTTTATGTGGTGGCGTTTGTGCTCGCGTTGCGCATGCAGCCTTCGCCGTGCGCGCGCCCGACCATTATTATTTATTACTGTTTCATTCATTCAATTTTCGTGCGCAGCACGAACGCCTAGATCGTCCGATGTTGCTCCAGCGTGCTTCGTGCGTCTCGTTAAGGACACTTAACACTCACTTTAGAAAAAAAAAAATTTTTTTGAATCAAAAATCAATTGAAACCCTTGAATTTTGCCCTCTGTGCGGTCTAATAATAATTTGTGCGAATCCTTAGTACCTGTCCCACCTGGTGCGATTATTTCGTAGGTGGTCCCATCTCAACTTCTAAGTCATCCTTAATCTGAGCATCTAAGTTCGGGTTACCGTAACGTATCTGGCGAGCAGTTTCGGTTGCGCGCGCGGACATGTCACATAATCGCCTGGGTAAAAAATCGGGGCATCGCCGGGTCATCATCGGACGTCAGGCGTTGCAGTAATCTAATATTTTCCGATCTGCCTAAGTGGTCTTATCGCGGCGTGCGCATTTGCATAATCGTCGCGCACGCAGAAACAAACGGCCACGATGAGCAATTGAGATGCGTTCGTGCGCAATAAAAATCCGAAAACGACGCGATGCCAGCGCGATACCCGCCTCTAAACGCAAACAAATGACTCCGAAGTACTTTCGGTGTCTACCACCAAGCAATCTGTCTCCTCCAGCAGCTTCTATTCTATTTTGTGGGTATACCTACGTACGTAGATCTTAATAAGCTCTGGCAGTAATAGCTGCTTAAAAAGGAGCGTGCATAATGTACCGCGAAACATGCGTCGAAAAACTATCCGAATCAACACAAAGCGTGAGGCTCCCAATTAAACGGAAACCAATTAAGTCGTATAATTCATAGCGCTGAGCATGTTGTTACGTTGCGGAGTATTGCACTCCGGCCGGGTCGGGCCGGTGTGGGCGTTCTGCCCGTTCGACTTTTCGCTCGCGCCACGCATACACACAGCGCCGTGGATAATTTTCGATTCCGTAATAACTAATAACTAAATCGCTTACGCTGCGTTAACGCACCCGCACACCAAGGCATACCATGTATGTGCAGATGCGCCAATTGTATTGTGAAGATGCCCCGCACGAATTTCGTTAACGAGTCCATCGTAGAAAACTAATCGCGCGAAGATTGATTGCTTTTTTAGCGCGCCGAGCGATGGAGAAGAGGAGAGCACCATCTGGCCGCGCTGGATGCGATGATGTTGCGCCAGCGAGGCGCGCTGAATAAGAAGTCATAAAGTCGATGAGCGAACCACGCCCTGGTTACATGCATGCAACGAGATGGAATTTCTGCATCCAAACGAGTTCAAATGGTACCGTGAGGAAAGAGTGCGCCGCGCCGGCCCGAGCGCGCGAGAAAATCGCTTCCGCAATCTTCGGGCTGCTCTTTATTCGCATGCGAATGCCACACTCGGTCCGTTTACTTTTCCTCGCCGCTACTAAAACATTGATAACACGTGGAAAATTGTTTTATTTCCATTCAATTCGACTAAGTGCGCCATTTTCTCTATGTGTGTGTGTGTGGATATCTAAGGATCAATTACAGATTTCTGCATCTGCAGTTCACCTTCAATTTGATCAACTTTACGCGAAACTCGATTGCGGGACACCAAAATCTCCACTAGGAAGATTAGAATGGACATTGCAGTACCACCACTGTAGATGACGAAAGCAAAGTAACAATCTAGTAAGGAGACAGTTACAAAATTGGTACCCCAGCGTAACATTGAGGTTGTTTAGCGAAAATAATACTTTTCACTCTGTGGTGCATACCACGTTCGAAAAACAACGCCAATCTGTATAAAAATAAATATAAACACAGAATAATTGAAGGTATGATATGGAGGGACGGTACATACCCTATTTTAATAATTTCCTTGACCGTTGAATCTTTCCGAATTGCAATCAGCAGGTGAGGCTCAGTAAGGTACGGTATCTCCACAAACCCGCACTTTTCGTTGTCCGCGTACAGCTTGTCGATCATCTTGTAGATCTTATCGCTGTTCCCGTGGAACGCGAAGAATTCACTTCGAATGCGATTGATGCCTTCGTCCAATGACATATAGCATTCGTCTTTGGCGAGTTTTCTCGGAAGAGTTCTTGGTGATCCATTGAGTCTTGCTCCTGATATTAATCACCTCTTAGAAATTATTTTAGACAATTCTAAGTCTTACCTTGAAGATATCCCTGGAAAAATCTGCTTTGTCTACGCCTAATTTCACATTGAAGTCTTTGAGATCGGTCACACCATGAATTCGTTTTGTGGTACCACCTAGCAATGCAACAATATTCGCCAAATATGCTGTGTATAGGAACAAAATAAATAGAAACACCAGAAAAGTGGCGATTCGACCGCCGCCGCTTATTGGCTCTGCCTCACTACCCTGCTGGGCGATTGCAGAAATATGCATGTGAATCACATCTACCATTCTCGGATACATGATACGATATTTGTTGGATACCATGTCCGGGAAGCGCCACTCCACTTTGACGATACAGAAAATGGTCACCAAGATAATCGCCAACAGCGCATAGGAAGCATACCACACGTTGAGTTCCAGAGGAAGAGTGAAGACATTTGATACTGCACTCAGGGATGGAGCACGAAGAAGAAACGCGCGTCTATTGGGAGTTCTAGAAGTTATAAAATCGTAGACAGTAAAATTTTCTCTGTCTACTCGCAAAGGATGCGCGATAAGCGCCTTGGATGTAGATGAAATTTTTTGTAGGAAGTTTATATTCTGTGCAAAAGATTCAGCAGGGGTGAGGTTTAAAAAGTTGAAGACTTCGGAGAATAACTGGTAGTTGAACCGGGCAGTAGCTTCTGTATCTAAGTTTCTACGAAAGTCCTAGAATAAAAAAAGTCACTTGAAGTAATAAATTGTAAATAAATTGTTTAAAGTTACTTTTATGTTCGACGCAGTTTCTGAAGAAGCAACAAAGACCACTTCTATCGGTTGAGAGTCTTCATTAAGCATAGGAACCTCACCATTTAGTACATTTTTGAAATTTTGCTCTGAATCATCCCAAAATGCATTAATCTGTGATTTCCAAGGAGATTTCAACTCCCGTTTGGTACATTTTACCACCCTAGTATTATTTTTACCAAAAACATAAACATTCACCAAGGGGGCATTGAAAGACCAATCTGGTACCTCCTCACAAGAGCTGGTACCCAAAAAGAGGGCATTCCGAATGTATTTTTGCTTGTCCTACCACCAAAAACAACTTAAATTTAATTTTACATGTTTTTAGTTAAAATTTACCCTTTTTAGACGATTATCACACGAAATATCAACCAAAATCAAATTATTCTGCAACTCAGAGATGGTTTCTCCTAAAATGCTGTAGTACACACCTTCAAAGTGTAACTTCGCAGACAATTTGATGATTTTTCTAAAATATTCGCAGTTTTCAGTGATTTTTAGTTTTTTCAACTTTTACTAAATTACCAGTTTTCCAACATAATAATCCACTTAGACACTTCCCGGAAACATTTTCTTCGCAAATTTTCCTATTAGATCAAAATTCTGCGTCTGCCCAAGATGAATACATGTTATTACACCCAGGATACTCAACAGATGAAAATGCATTTCAACGACTTTACTAAATCAGCACCTGCGAGCTGAGTTTCCTCCTAATGGCACGCCGCAGACGTTTAAATACACAAGCTTCTTCATTAATTATTAGCATTAAGGTGTGATTAAGAAGGCGCTCACGCCACGCGCAAGAGCTGAAGCAAACGCTTCACGGTTTAATTAATGTTTTAGGCAGTTAATACGTAAAGTTAAGCATCTACAACGCATTGATTAAATATTAATCAAGCGTCTAATTGATACTTCTGCGTAACAAGTAAATATATAATGATGAGAGAAGAAATGTTATTGAAACCCTCCGAAATAATAGAATATTTTGTCGTATTTTGATCGATGTGTTATGTAAACAGGCGAGATCGCGTGCTCTAACGGTTCGGCCGGCAATAATAAGTGAAATGTAAATAAAAATATTGAAAGCGAAATTGGGCGCGCATTGTGGGGCTCGGCGAAGAGCGGGCGGACGGCCTTCGGTTTCGCGCACGCCGCTTCCACGATCAGCACGCCGATTGCCGCAATCGGGGCAACGAAGGAAAGTCGCGGCTCGCGCGCGCGCGCGCGGCCGTGGCCCGCGGCGACGGCGTGGCCGCTCGCACGAATCCTCCGCACGGCGGGGCCTTGCGGTTGAGGACCAGCTGAGGTCCCGTTACCGTACTCCACCCGACCGCCGCCCGCCCATTAGACAACTAATCATAAACATTGTTGCGCGCGTAATCGGCTACCAATCATGCAGAACTGCGCGCAGAAAAATGCAACAATTACTTAATTAACTCTTCGGTGTGTTGATTTTTTTTTCTTCTTCTTGGTTTCTGGTAAACAGGACGAGTAGAAATTTCAGTCGGCCAACCGCAGCGATTTGAAACAAAAGGAGCGAAAAACGATTTATTATTCGGCGGGCAAAACGCAGCGTCGTGCAGCTCCTTTTCGAACGTCGCCGGCTGAGACAAAGAGCGCGCGCGCGCGCCTGCCCGACGTAAAAGTCGAAGCGATAGTTATGAGTAAGGATACGCGCGGCGTACGAGGTAGCGCGAAGAAGCGAAAAAAATAAATGAGGGCATCGAGTGAAAGACCACACCTATACGAAGCGCGCCGCGAACACGCCGCATAACGAAATAATCGCGCGCGCAGGACCGGATTACTCTCTGACTCCACACTGCGCATGCGCGAGTTTAAACCGCGCGCCATGCGGCAACCAGTAGCATTACACTACGCGCACCGCGTGTGTCCTACACGCCTATGACTTAAGTCAAAAGGGCGGAGCACCCGAAGCATAATTAATCGTTTTATCACGCGTTTGGCGGTTTTACGCGCGCGAAGACCGGTCCTGCTGTGTTGGAGCATTATAAAGCGGACTGGAGTATGTAATTACACAGTGGAATCATACAAGCATAACACCACTACCAGGACGACTCCGACCGCTTCGTGCGCACTCCGCACGCTAACCCAGTGCGCGGCGTACAGTTAGCAATCGAAATTGAAATGCTTACTATTTTATTTAATAGCGTGCTGTTTAGCTTTTATTCGATTGCTGCGCGCGCGGCGCGCACGTAAATGCTACCAAACGCGATCGGTCTTACTTTTTATCTCTCTATTAATACAACGCATCATTGGAGACGCAAAAAGGAGCATTCAGGCGGCCACAAAACGGGAATTATTGTGTTTAGGCCATTAGGGTACTTAGCGACTTCCGTTTTAGGTTATATGCGCTTTATTTGAATGGGAAACTTACCAAGGAGGGCAAAAAATCAGTTCTTCTGTAAAATATTAAAGGGAATACCATCAAATCTTGTTTTGAAACTTTGGTACCCAATTTGAGTTCAAACCCGGAAAAACAAAAGGGAATTGTTATGTTTAGACCAATAGGGTCCTGAAAAACTTCAGATTGAGGTTATACACACTTAATTTGAGTAGGATACGTACCAAGGAACACAAAAAAATGATTTTTTTGTTGTGGAGTAAGATATGAAAGGGAATACCAGCAAATCCTCTTCTGGAACCTTGGTTTCCATCAATTTGACTTCAAACCCGGAAAAACAAACGAAGATTCAGAAGAAGCTTCACTTTGAGGTAATACTCACTTAATTTAAGTAAAATTTTTATCAAAAATGGCAAAAAAAAGGGAATACCATCAAACCTTCTTTTGCAACTTTGGCACCCAATTTGAGGTCAAACCCGGAAAAATAAAAGGGAATTGTTATGTTTAGACCATTGGGGTTAAAAGGAGCTTCAGTTTGAGGTTATACTCACTTAATTTGAGAAGGAAATATAGCAAGGAGAGCAAAAACTAGTTTTTTTTTTTGTTGTGGAATAAGATATGAAAGGGAATACCACCAAATCCCCTTCTGGAACTCTTCTGGTACCCATCAATTTGACTTCAAACCCGGAAGAACAAACCGAGCTTTAGAGAAAGCTTCAGTTTGAGGTTATACTCACTTAATTTAAGTAAGATATTTACCAAAAACAGCAAAAACTGATTTTTTCTGTATGATGTAGGAGGGAATACCATCAAATCCTTCTCTGGAACCTTGGTACCCACTAATTTGCCTTCAAACCGGAAAAACAAACAGAGCTTAAGAACAAGCTTCAATTTAAGGTTATTCTCACTTAATTTGAGTAAAATTTTTACCAAAAATGGCAAAAAACGATATTTTTCTCTATGATTTGAAAGGGAATACCATCAAACCTTCTTCCGTACCCACGGCACCCATCAATTGCCCGTCAAAAACACGGAAAACACGAACGGAAATTTCTTGCCAGTATCACTCGGTTTCTTAATTAATCAAATGTCATTCGCCTCACCATGGTACCACACGGCTGGTACACCGCTTTCATCCGGCTCGAAGAAGTTCGCGCCGCTCGCCGGCGCACGTTTCGCTAAATAGAGTCAAAACGAATAAAAGTCCGCGCGCTTATCACTTAATCTCGGCGCGGCGCTCGCTCCGTGGTGCGCGCGCGCGCGTCTCACTCCCAACAAAGCAACGAATTGTTATAATTATGCCTACGCTCCTCCACCATTGTGATGTCGCCCGGCAATTGCGCGCGGCTTTTATCATTCGGAGCGCTTAAGCGATGTTACCATTTAAGCGTCGCTTAACGGCGGGCGCAGCGCAAAAAAAAACACCGAATGTGCTCTGCGCCGGATCGCGGCCAACCGCCGCCATCGACGACGTCCATGAATGGCGTGTGTAATTTTATCAATGAAACAATCGCGCTGCGCGTTTATTTCGTTCCAGCGACGACGCGGAAATGCAGCCAGATTTGAAATCCGGAAAAATTACGTTTTAGGTAAGAAAATATTAGTGCTCTATCTTCATTCTAGATTTGTACGCGCATGCGCACTAGAACTAGAAACATGTAAGTAAGTATAGTGATGAAAAATGTTTCAAAGTTAAAATTATTAAGTTTCTGATTGTTTGCCGGAACCAAGCCGGTTGCGAACATAAAGTTCGACATGTGTGTTATCACCATCTTGAATCAGGAAATTTATCGCGCGTGCAATCCGAGTGCGCAGCGCCTGCTTCCTTCCATGCGCCGTTATCGCGCGAATTTACGATAAGGCACGTGCGCGAATGACATAACAATTAGCAATAACCGCATCGCATGGTAATAAACGACGGACAAAATGGCCGCAGCTGCACTGTTGTCACAGCAATAATAATAACAATAGCATCTGTAATTTCGCTTCGTGCGATTGATAGCTCACGTGATTATTGCCTCTACCTCTCTACACAACAACAACAAAGAAAGTCAATCAGATTTCACTCCACGAACAAAACAAAATGGCGGATTTGCATAAAACGCACTGGAAGTTGATTTGCATCCACATCCGCTCAGATATTTACATATTTTCATAATTAATTCACGCACTCGCTGCGCGCACGCCGCCATTTTGTCGCTGGAAAGTCGAGATACTCTTCCGATTTGGTCAACTCGTCATAAACACTCACCGTGTCGCATGCATGCAGTTGATACAAAATAATCATGGCTGGATTCAATGCACTCGCGCGTTTTGCATGCGGATTTGCATTGAAATTGCTCGCCGCCTGTTTCACACTCGGCAGGCACCACAGGTTAACACGTTAACATAGAATGAGCATTGATCCTGTCACGCCGTCAACCACACAAATATCTTATTCAAGTGAAAATGCGCGCCGCGAGAGGAAATTTGGTATGTATTCAAATATAAGAACAATTGCAATCAGCAGATTTAAGGTTATGACTATCACCATCGTCTAGAAATGGGAGGTTGAAGCATATAGGGAGGTGTGTTTGGTTGTTGGCTCATGTATGATTGTGATGGCATCGATGACTGCTGATAACATGGTGGTCCCAGTGCAGGTGTGCTTGATGGTGGGCAAGACATCATCGACGGATGCTGCATGGTGAAGTATTGCTGATTGTGAACAGGGCTGGGGATCTGATTCTGCAAACTCTGGAAGGGCTCCGGGAAGGTCACCATCATGGGCGGGTAGGGCTGGGCGGCGGTTGGCGGCTGCGTCACACTCGGTTGTTGTGGATAATATCCAAATGGTGGACCACAGCCACTGTAATTATACATGTTTTACCAAGATTTGTTTTGAAACGGATTTTCGCACGAGGTAATTTTGTTCGTTTGACAACTGTTGCTTTGTGTCGACATGTTTTTTTTTCTTTCTCGCTTGTAGCATAGTGATAGTGAAATAATAAAGTAATGAATGAGAATGAAGGGCGAACAATCAAGAAAGTTAGGTTTATTATTAAAATTTGGACAAACTCTCGACATGTCATTTTGGTTAAAATTTAGTTGGTCCAAGGACGGTCCTGGCCTTGTCCCATCATCTGACCGGAGCCCTGCGGGCCTGGATAGAACACGAAGGATGGCGGTGGCGCTTGGGTCATTTGGGGCATGCCGTAATGCGGTTGCATTTGTTGCATCATCATGGTGCTAGGATCTGGCATGGGTATCGGCATGGGCCCCATTGGACCCATTGAGCTCATCGGCCCCATTGCCGACATGGGCCCCATCGGGGACATGGTCATGCCGCCCATGGGGCGGAATTGATTGACGGTCTGTTGCGGACGCATCATCGGCGGTAAGCTCGGTTGCATCGGCATGATTTGACTCTCGGGGAAAGTCGGCATCATGGCGGGCATTTGGGTCGGGGGGGCCTGGCAGGGAAAGGACCAGGCGTTCTGCGATGGGTTGCCCATTGGGATCTGGTTGCCGGGATACATCTTCGCGGTCGGGTTGGACGGAGGAGGTAAACGGAAATTTTGATAAGCTAGTATTAATGCGAAATTTAACGAGATGCGGAGCGCCGCGTTTTAACGTATAATTTTTTTGTATGACTGAATGTTTAAAACAGTCGCAGTGCTGGGTTGCTAGGGGACGGTCAGTTTCACGGCAGGCACGATTTGTTGTAAATTATTGACCAAAACCATCAGTTTTATTTAATTAAGTATCTCTTGGAACTATTGAAACCCCCACTACTTTTGTGGGTTGCCTGCAGGTATTTAACAACAGCGTGTGTTGTATTAGTTGAATTTAATACAAATAACTACATTCTAGCGCCATCTGGGGACAAATCATAGAGTTACACTTAAGTATACTACGCGCAGATGCTTCAGTTCACCCGGACGGTGTTATCATCATTCAAAACACTGATTCACACGAAACATGTTTCAACGAGTTTACCTCTAATCATTAAATGCAAATAAGTGCATCCAAGCGCCATCTTACAGAAAATAAACCAATGAGTGCTTAAAATCCGCGAATAGAAACTAATTACATTGCAAATTTTATTTGGGAAATGTTTTACAGTTTTCTTAAACGCTCGATGATATTTTTCTCCTTCTGGATCAATTACTCAGCGAAATTTGGCATTCGATGCATGTAATGTTTCATAGTTAATCTGCCTTCGACGTCATCTTGCGTTTGTTGCCTGCCGAAGTAGCTCTTGACCGCCAGAGCAAAGATTACCATTATAGCTAGCATAAAGCGGAACCATGTCGGGAAGATGTCCAAAACCCACAACAGATAGCTAACGTATCCAGAACTAGCCATCTTTCCCCAAATACAAGGCAATTTAGCCGGCGCAAAATGAAAATTATCCGCGTGAATAGATGTGAAGCTTAATTATTGATGGATGACATCAAAACACACCGCTGTTTCTCAAATTTGTTTGTTTTGTATTTGCACAGCCTCCTGTTGACACGTACTTTTGTAAACTTTATTAATATTTAACTATAAACATGATACAGAACTCAAATTAGTCAAAACAATTCAAATCTCCGGTCCACGGGCAAAAATCGGCTGCAAAACACGCAGAGCACTCAGTGCTTGTTCAGTAAGCTGGTACCCAGCTAATGCAGTCAAACGAGCATCAGCTTCGATTAACGCTGTTTGATTCTCCGGCGGTAAACGATCGTAAACACGCTGGACTTGCCTGGAAATCAGATCATCGGCGCCATCGGTCACCACATCAGCCAGTAACTGCAAATCATCCACTACTACCAATCGTGTCATATGCCCGAGGGTAACACACGTCTGAATCGCAAGTTTGTCGCGATGTTTATACTCATTCACATCGGAAATGTTCTCGACAGTTACCAATCCGTTGACCAGTGACCGCCAGAGAGGTAAAAAGTTATCACCGAAGCCAACTCGAGTAGTACATGAAGTCACCGCCATGGCGGCATTGATCCGCACCTTGATATTAGTACAATCAGTGAGTATACATCCCAGGACGAAAAATATACGCATGGAGAGACGCACGCCTAGCGCAGGATTGGTTTGGTACACCGCTGGAATCTTCAGCACGTTGCCCAGCGCATAGCAGGCATTCCAGCGCGCTTTCATCAACCCAGCGGAGCGTGCGCACTTCAACAGTGCATCTACACCCTCATACAACTGATTCCGCTGCTGATCATCCACATTGGCATCGTATAACAACTGCAGGAGGTTACCAAGTGCCCGGACTGCATTACACCGGACTTTATCTTGATCCTGACTGCCGGAAATCGCGACGTTGATTACAGGATCAAGCAATACAGGTGCTGTAAAACCGTCTTCGTCTAAATTGCGCTCCTGCATGTTCTGCTGAAGCATAGCATCGGATAGATTTCCCAACCCCAGGATGCACGCACACGTACCAAAACACTGGTGTCCTTCATAGCACGTACAATGACATCCGAAGCATCGAGCATGTATCCATTGAAGGTACGTACCGTGTTGTACAGGAGCAAGATACCAATTGCTCGCACCGCTGCTGAACGCACAGTTGTATCAGGATCAGCCGCAAGGGAAAGCAGAACAGTAAGGCACACCAATTGTAAATTCGTCGGTAGTAACTCAAAGGTATGGTCACCAACAGCACCAATACAATCAGCAGCACCAGCACGGAGTAGCAAATGTTCACTGGAAGTAAAATCAGCAACTGGTCCTTCCAACAACTTCTGCCAAATGGTTAAACTTTGATCCAGACACCCCCGAAGCTGGTAATGAGTATTCATAGCATCTCCAAACTGTTGCATTGCTTTGATAGCGTGATGCAACACATCCAAATTGTCCTGGTCAACAAACGCAGCTAGTAATGCTCTACTTACAGACTGGATAAATGGCATGATCAGACTAGTAAAGTACCGCTCGCACATGGCACCGATTATCTGTAAAGATTCAATCTTCACCGGCGCGGGGACATTGTTCTCACCACGTAGATTATAGAAGCATTGATCTATTAACCATGGACGCACACCTACCGCCGGATGATGATCTCTTGTCTGCTCAAACACAGCGTATGCTTCCGCTCCGCCTTCCATGACATTCATCCCGCGTTCATCATGCATTGCGCAGGCTCCATCACCGCCTTCGTTGGAATCCACGAATGCGTCTTCAATCTCCTGGATGGTGTTGTGCGAAAGTAGGCAACCAATTACAGTCAGAGCTCCAACTTGTACGCTGATATCGTTGTGATCTACTAGTTGTTTGACATTACGGACAACTTTAGCGCAGAGACCAGATCCGAGCCATTCGTAATACGTGGCGCGTACAACCAGCGCGGTTGTCTTGAGTAATTGTGTTAGGATAGTATAAGAAGGTTCATTCATACCCAGGCATAAACAATGATGTAGTTGAGTGACAATATTCGCCATGGTGTAGCACCGCGGGATGAAAGAAACTTGTCCAGGCACAGGGCGATGATCAGCGAAGAGCAGCATAGCTTTACCCTCTGTGAGCATTGTCTGTAGACATAAATGCGCGGCAAGGCGACAACTTGTCGATGGATCCTTCAACATGCAAGTGAGTAGATTGTTTCCTGAAGGTGGGACGGTCAGTGTGGTTGTGCTGACGGATTTTGTCTGCATGAAGGAGATGAAGTGCTCACACAGCACTTGTTTATCTATATTCTATTAAAATAAATTTTAATTAAATCAAACTAAATTAAATATTTGTACAAAACTTACATTTAAGATGACTTGTAGCAGATGCAGCGCTTCCAGGCGAACATAACTCTGATACAATACAGTTTTAGACCGTAGAGAATCAAAATCATACAAAGGTTCAGGCCTGGCATCAGTTTCAGGTGGATGAATGTACGGATTGTACGAGGTGCTAGATGGACCGTAGGGAGGACTATGTCCGAATGTAGCAGTCATGCATAACATGTTAGCGTCGCGTTGGGCCAACTCTGGATCAAAGCGACGATCGCGCGGAGTTATATCCGCTTGCGGTAAACGCGAAACATGCCGACGTCTTCTCTGCCGCGGCATGCGATTTGCAGCAACAGGCGCGGGTGGAACACGCGCTTCTGGCTCAGCTGGTGAGAATGCAATCGGGTGTAATTCCCCGGGTGGTAGGAATGGCACACCATTTAATTCATAGGTCATATACGTGCGACAAACGCCTAGTAGCATACGTGTGAGCGCATTTGGTGGTAATGGCGATGTACGGGTTTCTAACAAACGCCGCACACCAGCGAGTGAATACCGCAGGAGTGTTACATGCGAGTAATCATCCTCGATGTAATCCAGCGGTGCTAGAGGTTCGAATCCTTCAGGTAATGGTGGTCCAGACGCGGTGCTATGCCCTGCTAAACGTGTTACAAAGAAAGGAACCAGACAATCCAGTAGAGGTTGTGGAATATCGTCGGATTTATCGCATTTGATGTCTAGGATAGCTTGCATTGCACGTACTAAAGGTACTTCTAGTGTATGACGATGTAATTCGTCAACGCAGTCGCAATAAACCAAAATATGCGGAAAACGCTGGATTAATGCGAAAATCGCTGAGCGTTGATTATCTACATGTGGATTACCACGCACCACAGCGTCTATTGCCTGTAGAACTCTTGCATATGGTACCATCCAAGTGTCATCAGTGGTACCATAGTTAAGAGCACTCAAACACCACTTTCGATTGCCAGCATCAAAGTGCGCCCTTCCAGTCTAAGACTCTGTTTACGCACTAGTCGTATTATCATCACGGCAGTGCCCTCGATGAGGCCTCCATCGTCAATTGGGATGATGCTACATAGCTGATTAACCAAAAGCTTTGCACGCTGTAAGTAAAATTCTGGTTTATTTTTGCAAACGTCAAATGTATTTTTACTCACGCTCTCTGTGCCGATCAGATGCACGTTGTAATCCAGTTCGTCCAGCTCCAAAAGCCAATTACGCACGAACACGAGGTCCACATCGTTGAGGGTGACAAAAGGGCGCAGGGAGGCGAACTTCTGCGCGATCTGCGCGAATTTCTCTTCCATGTTTCACAGCTCCACTTCACGAATGCAATGATCGCGAATTGTTTATCTCTCGGCGTTTGTTTCGACACAGCCTACTAAATGATGGCAGTACTCACCGAAAATGAGTAGTGCTTGTTATCATCTAGTGACTGCTTGAGTCTTCGTCGACTGGTCATGTTAAATTGTTAGATAAATTCACCGGACAAGTCATCGAGTTGTACTCAGAACTGATTCATTTCTACAACCATGTGTTTTCATTCGCTAGATTCGTACACGTAGCGACATCTAGCGGCATTACTACTCATTAGTACCCAAAGTTTCACTTCAAATTTATTTCAATGGAGATGTACGTGATGCAGTATTAAAAAGTTTCGTTTATTTAGACGTTAAAAAAATATGTATCGATACAAGTTGTCTTCACAACTCTGCACATAACATCTCCGCACACGCACGACGCATTCACGCAACCAACTTACGAACTAATAAACCACTAGTGTCCATTTCTAAAAAATCTCTTTATCACAAATTGTAGTAAAACAGAAAATTTGTGTACGTATTACAATTTGCAGCTGGCGCACCGCACGCTTAAGTACAGACGAATTTAGACTCGCGCGGCGCTCGCACAAATCTACGCGAATTAAAACAATGCGGACAATTTGTAAGTGAAACAATAATATTAAAAAAAACACGAGAAATAAAGAGGCGTCCATCAAACGCGAGGATACCTCTAACGTTGGCGAGTTTTACTCTTCCGGCACCTTCCAGTTGAGTGATTTACCAAGCTCATACAACTCGGAGAGGGCGCTGCCGACTCTACCTTCACTCTCCAGCCGTAGGTAACAGCGATACAACTGTAGCGCCGCGCGCGCATCTTCGGTGGAATCATGAGTCTCGGATTGGATTTTCAATCCCAGGAAATGCCAGGCGAGGAAACGCAGTGAAACCATGCGATGGTGAGGTAGATGAAATAAGTTGACAGTGTCGACGACTTGCTCCTGCGGCACCACTAGATTAATCACGCGGAAATCGTTCTTCAGGCCGTGCCCGACGAAGATCACGCCGCTGTCCTGCAGGTAGCGCAGTTTGATGTACGTAGACTTGAGTGTGGTCAGATGCTTCGAGCTGAAGTTAGCGTCGAGGTCACCTGGCTTGATACCGGAGAACTTGGTGAGGTAATCGACGACTTGCTCCTGTGTAGAGATGTAATCATCGATGAACGGGGTACCTTCATTTGGTCCTTGACTAAAATTTCATTAAAAACATGGAATTTATACAATCAACCAAAAAATTTAATTTTTACCCTCTGATGCAAGTTATACGCGCGACTGATAAATGCGACGGTTTAATCGTGGACATTTTACCATCGCTGCGTAACTCTGCTTCTTCTTGGTTCAAAGTAACAAACTCAGCGTCCATACCAACCAAATCACCTTTCTTCGGATATTCATGTTCTTCTAACGGAGTAAACGTAATGGCCGCGCTTGTACCGCGTGTGAACGAACTAACTTGAGTGAAAATATCCTGTAAAACACAAATTAGACAATTTTCACTTCAAAATTTCAAAGTTTACTTTGTTCAGACTGTGTCTGACTTGTGTCCGCCCACAGTAGACATCATCAGTGGAGTAGTACAACACACAGGGTGTTTTCCAATCGAAACTAAACCAAGTTGCTTCCTGTGGCGGGACTGGCGTGATACTAAAATCATTAAAGATGTACCACGGGCTTTCCTCCTTACGCGGCCCCTCCGGGTGATAGCTATCGGGCACCTTGATGAGCACAACAAGACTACGCTTCTCAATCGCCGCAGGTTCCGTGATGTAGCACACAATCGCCGTCAGCTGATACTCAACAAAACCGTTTTTATTCCCGGCTGTGGTTGGAGTACCACCGCCTGTATCCTCACCAGCGACCTTTTGCACGATTAAATCATCCTTGATCGCCATGCGTATGCGATGCGGCAGCCAATTATTGCTACAGTATGGATTTGTATGCGGACCGTTCGGTGGCGGGGCAGTGTCACTGTTATGCCGGAATCGGCAGCCGGGCCGTGAGCAATTATCACCATACCGACATGGTTTCGCTGAGGTGACCAACGTCGGCGTGGTCGACCGCGATGAATCGCCATGCGGCGTGGCTTTTGACACTTTCTTATCCATCTGACTCTGCCAGAATGACTTATTCTGCGGGTTGTGCAGGCTGGTGTTGATTGACAACACCTTCGGCAGTGACGACAATCGCCTACATTGCGACGTCGGCGAGAATTTATTGCATCGGTCACACCAGGCGGGTGTGACTTGATCGTAGTTGAGACTACGCTTGAGGATCTGACAGAATGACCAGTAATCGCGGTCGGGTTCACTTGTGGGATAGTTGAGATTGCACGGCATAAGCACGGCTTCTTTACGCACCTCAAACTTACACTTTAGACAAGTATTGATCAACCATTGTTTCATGGCGAATAACTGATGAATTTCAGTGACATCTTCGTTACGATCTTCAGGGGGATATGGGCCTGCATCTGGATGTCCCGCAGCAGCTGCGGCCGCGGCTGCAGCAGCCGCTGCTGCGCGTTTTGCATGCCCACCGCTTAGTATTGTCGGAAAGTCGATTTCTTTGTAAACAAACGGTTTACGCAGATTCTTACCGTCATCTTTTAGCTTCCGCAGGGTTTCCAGGAGTTCCATGTCCATCTGATGCAGGATAAATCTGTTCCAGCATTGGATAAGCATACCGAGATCCACGCGTTGTTTCGCATCGGCGTGCATATCGCTTAGGATTAATCCAAGCGCGGATGCTTCTGGCACTGTACGAAAAGCGCGCAGGAAATTACTCGGCTGGCAAGGCGTCAGCGTTTGATTGGCGATCATGTGGAAGAGAAAACCGAGCTCGCACGATAAGCAGAACTCTTTCTGGCAGATATGTGAGAGGAGCGTGGCACGCAGCGGCTCAATATAATACAAAACCTGTGAATAATCAACAAAAAATCGTTAAAATTTAACATTTTCACATATTTATATACAATACCTGTATCATAGCGTTACAGTATGCGTTTGGCAGGATGGCTTCAAGACCAGCGAACTCAGTTTTGTTGTACATGTCGAACTGGAAGTCCTCGACGCCCAGTTTATTGTACTTCAACTCGACGCGCCGATACCGCTTGGGAATGGCGACGAACACGCCAGTCTCATCAGCGGCCGCCATCTTGGTATGAATACGCTCGGCGTAGCTCTTCTTCTGCTTGGGTATGGCGCCGCCATTGCTGTTCTCGAGGTTGTACGTTACCTAACAGAAAGTTAGTGTGAGAGGCGGAGGGCGCGGTGAGCGCAACCAAGTATTGCCTAACAAATATTTATTCTCGACGAATAACAACAAAACAAAAGTAAATTCATATAATACTGAATGTGATATCAAAAAAAAGAAAAGAGATTCTCCTGGAGATTGGTTGGAAGATGCTCCCTAATAGAAAAATACTGAAGATAAAGTATGTAGAAGTCTATTTCTCACTTGATTGCGGCGCGTCTCCTTTGGGTTGGGTGCGTAGCCAATCGGACCCTGCATTTTCATCGTGCGAAGAATTTCTGGATCTATTGCCGGACTGCGTCTAAAGTATCACATTTAATATTAATTTTGGGGTTTAGAATGAATTTCTACGTACCTATAACAATTCTCCATTAAATTCTGTGGCCAATCAGAGCCAAAGGCGCATCATCTCTGATTGGCATAGGAATCGACGAAAATGGCGCCTCGTATTCATTCACCGACATGTTTATCATCGGTGCGATGACATCCGCATGCTCGGTGAGTCGTGAGTAAGTATTGAACACAGCCCGCGGTTGTGATCCAAAGAGATGAATCGATCCAGTGCTGTCACCGAACGCCAAAGACTGACTGGATGTGCTTATATCAAACGACAAACACATCGCGCCCGGGTTTTCCATCTGCACGAGACACAAACGGGGCTCAGTGAATGCAACAGTATCAAGCAGTTGTAATTGTCCAGCAGCCGAGACCACAGCAAGCCGAGAGGATCCCAACGGCAGGAAACGCAAATACATTGGATCCACCACAGTCTGGATGGGATTCACCGCTCGCATCATCCGTAAATCATACACGCGCAGAAATCGGTCGACGTTGAGCAGTCCCTGGCGGTTGCTGAAGCCGCAAGTGACTAGCAGATTGCCCTGCACGTCGAAATCGCTCAGGTTGCCGCTGTGGGTGTCGAGCGTGTGCTCAATGTTCATTGTGTTCGGATCGCGTAGGTCAATACGGCCCAGCGCATTGCCAGCGCACACGAAACGACAATGAGCTCGCAACATTGCACAGCCAGCTTCACCTACTTCAATCTAAGTAAAAAAAAAAAAAAATCAATTAAACAGCGAAAAATGAATTTTTTAAATTTCATACCAGTTTTGTCTCTTGGCCAACCCCTATATTATAATCGATGAGTTTGTCTTGATGTCCAGCGAGTAACAGACGTGTCGGGGACATTTGCAGCATACACTGCATCTCAGTTAGATTATCAGAGCTAAAAATTTCAATCACTCCACTATTAATTTTGCGTGACAAAAGAATTGGCAGTAAAATCAACTGTCAAATGTGTTTATATCAACAAACAAATATAAATATTCGATAGAATAAGTCATGCATTAAATAAATGAAGCATAAACATGACTTTTAAATGCTTTTTTTCATGCATGATTGATTTGTAAACAAAAACATGTCATGTTTTGTGAATCATTGTTAGAAACAAACTTTTAAAACACTAAAAACACTTACGTATGTGAAAATATCGGTATACCCCGCCGTAACTGGTATCTGAGTAGACTTCCAGACAAAATCAGCACACCATGATCCAATGCAAGGATCTGTCGAATGTCTTGACTTGGATGCACTTGAAACGAAGTGTATTTCTGAAGGTGTGATGTGTAATAGCTGGTGATATGCCCCTAGGAGAATCTCAACGTTAATCTGCGCGTTATTTCTGTGAGGAAATCATTCATACTCCCTGATTGCCCATCCAGAGGAGTTCTTCGCGTGCTGGTCAAAAGCCAATGCACACACACCAAATCGCTCACCGCCGTCGGCGAGGATGCACTCCATCTGGACATACTCGTTGTTAATGCCCGTCATGCACTCGGCACCCTCGGGCTGCCCGACCATCGCCAGCTAGAGAAAAAAACAAGCAAATTTTCGATTGTACTCAATGTTATTGAGTGTGTTGAGGTTAAAACTGTGTCGCGATTGGAAAACAATCGCTGGTACTTACACCGCTTTGATCGAAATACATTTCGTGTGGCAAACGTACTCAATCCCCCGATGTTTAAGGTGTTTGGGGGCTCATCGAAGCCGCACGTGCTGACCGCGAGCCGCCGATCCGTCGCCGACCAGCGCTGGTGATCGAATGAAGGCGAATCAAACGGACAGCAGCCGACCAGCACCAACCGAGGGAGGAATTGGCGCGCTAAAATACTGTTGACTCATCAATGCCCTAAATTCGAGCGTGTGCGAAACTGCAAAATACGCTTACCTGATCGAATCAGCCGAAAGAAACGCACGGTGAATTTCGGATTCGCACCGAATTCAACTTGATGCGGTTTATACACTACACCTGTTTGCACTTGCAATGTTTGTAATCACACGCACGTGCGTACAGCAAGCAAGTTAATTGAGCATGCATTAAAAGCGTCGAATTCTATTTTATCTGTCATGTGAGTTGAGAATTACAGTCGATGACATACCTTGTTTGATTGTTGTTGAAACAATTTGCGAAACTTTCGTAAACAAATTTGATGTGAGGTGCGCGAGTCGTGCGCGCTGCGAATGCAATAGTTCCAATTTTCGATACGCAAACATGAAGATGGCGCGGTTGTAAACAAACCGCTTGATTTTGTTGTGTTTCCGGCCAGTGCACCGCACACTTTGCGCATAGTTTCGCTGTCATGGGTTACTGTGATGAGTTTATTACTTGTGATTCATTTATTAACATAAATGCAGCTGAACCGTGCAACAGCAGATGAACAACTAACTGTAAGTACTAAACTTTTGTTTCTTATACTTTTTTCTGCTTATTTGTGTTGTTTTATTATGAAATTGTTGAAAATTTACTTGATAACTGTTCGGCGCCATTTCCTGTGGAGTTTTTTTTTTGATTTTACTGAGCTTTTGATTAATATTTTGATGTTTAACAAAGTATAATTTACTTTGTGCGTATTATTATTCGTTATTACGATGAGTATTCTCGGTTTTGTAGTGTTTTGCATTGTTTTGCATAGTTTGCAACGCTTGCGAAAAGTTTGCAGCTGCGTTAACCTGTAAAAGAAAAACATGCGCAGATGCATTAAATCTGCAACGTGTTTTGCTGTGTTTACAATCGTTTGATTTTGTTGATTTTAATTAATAACAAAGGAATTTTACTGAGTTTAACTTGTATGAATCGTGGCACGGCATAAATTTAATGTTTTCTGCGTGCGTTTTCCTCGATGATTAAAGTTTGACCATTTGAAGTCTTTGACAGTTCATTTTGTTGATGAGGACACTTTCAGTGAACTTAAAAGGCTGTTTTGTTCATTTTTTGCTCTTTTTATTCTTTTGTTGGTCCAGAGGATGCAATTCCTGTTTATTGATTGAACGCAAAGTGCACTTTCCTCCCTGGGGGCAGATATCTTACCTGTTTTGTAAGCATTCTCAATATCCTGCTTCTATTTGACCCATAGTAAAGCGTAGGTCCGAAATTTTTCCTCTTTTGGGAATTGAACTTACACCTGCTGCGTACCAAGCAGTTCCTATAAACAATAGACCATACTCTGCCTTCTCTTTTGGTACATACAATACCAACACTTAAATTATACTCTTCTCTCCTTTAAAAATGGCCGCGCGTCTTGAATCCAAAGGACTATCACTTTGAGATCAATTACAAGACACAGAACACTTGGTGTTAAAATATGAGTAAGATCCCTAGAATAGATAGAAATTGATGAAAAGGGAAGAGAAACTTGATTCTGTAGATAAAAACTTCCAACTACAAGCAAAGGATCAAAGGAGATGAATGAAGGAGAATTGAATGTGGTCATTTCGACCAATGACGCAATGGCGTTTTCCTTGACATACACTTTATATTGAAATATGTTCTTTATAACCTAACATTTTCAAATAATCTGTTTCCGTCGCCTGCAATTCCATCGTTTTTTTGTTTTATATGCTTAATTTAATATTATCATGAAGACTGCATTGTTAATTTATTTCTCACCCTTTTCGCGCTGCGCCAGTGCATGCCGCCAACGGCGAATAGGAATATCGTTTCATTTCTCTCTCTTATTTCTCTTATTATTTCTTATTTTTTTTTTGCGTTTTTGGTTTAGTGTTTCTTTTAGTGTAGCGTTCCACCTTTTGCACGTTCCGTATATGAAAGCTTAATAAAGTTTTTACTCTGTTTAGTTTATTCTCAATTTTTTTTTTTCACTTTTTGCCGTCAATATAGACATTTATTTTATTCTTTAAAATATCCTCTCATATATTCGCCTCTGTGTTAGTTTTCTCTTGTTCACAAATTTTTATAGTTTGTTCGTTTACTCTGGTTTCGGTTATCTCCATTCTGCTAAGGCATCTAAAAAATTCTGTACGCAGATCGAATGCAATAATTGAATCAACATTACAACCATTTGTTCGCGTCGCCGCCGACTGGGTAGGTCCAGGGGTTGGGTGTGCGAATGACTTGTGATCGTGTATTTTACCGCCGCCGCCGCCCCCCAGACGCTCAGCCAGCGGCTAATTCAGTGAATGCAAAATCGAGAACGAGCACGAGAAACGCTCAAGCAAAAACTCGCATACGTCATATGTAACTCTCCGAAGTAAAAAAGCAATTTAATATAAATCAGTTGTACATTATAAACTTACGATAATTTTATAATTAGAAAAATTAACTAGGCACACTAGGTCAACATTATAATAAATAGCAAATAGTTAATTTATTTCGTTCTCTATTTACGTTTACTTTTACTCAAATTTTTGTAGGTTTTTTTTTTGTTCTTTGTGTGTATAGTTTTATTGGTTTTTTTTTTAGTTTGATGGTGGGCGCTGCCACGCTTCTTGTTCGCACACACAAGAATACACTGAAGTAATCAGCAATCTTTTTCATTACACTGCGTCGTATTAAACCTTAGCACACACCAAACTGATTTTGGTCGTTTATACTCATAGATTGGTTGCTTTGGTTGCCACTAACGCATCTTAGAAAATAAATAAATACTGTTTTCGTTGTGCCACCGACAATCTACATCTGCAATCATTTTCTGAACGAGATGATTCGGCTTTCTGCCGCCTCGCGATTACAAAACGTAACGAAACAAACCTCAAGGACGGTCAATAATTTGTATAAAGTAGTCAACGTGATTTTTCTTCTTTTTCTTCAATTTTTTTTCTTCTTACTTAAACTGAACAAATTTATATGTAGGCGTGTGTTTTATGTGTGAATCCTCGAATGCACACTTAAGCCGCATCTTTGATAGTTGATTGTACGAATTCAAAATTCGGTTGACTACTCGTGTGTGTGTTTTTCTTCGTCTTCATCATCGCCAAATCAAACTCATAATTGTTGATATGTGCCATCACAATCGAGTAAACCGGAAAAAATTCATCTCATCATATTTACCTAGTAATTATTATCTATTATTTATTAGAACACGACGATTGTTCTCATATTCCTTCAATGTTTGCTCTCGCTTCTCTTTTTGTTTACTTATTTAAAGCATAGATTTCTCTTTTAGTAGTTTTATTATTCGCTAATTTGCTTCTTACGTCTTACGTTTTTTTTGACATTGTTTATTTATAATTATACTTTGTACTAACAACTGTTTAATTTAATGTGTAACATTATATAAATTATTTACGGCTCTTTCCCTTGCATTGCTCGCATTTGTCACACTCGCTCGCCTCTCTCGCTTCAGCGTCTGCGCACATCTCTTCACTAACAATAACAACAAATATAACATTGAGTAGTTTTCTTCTTTGTACGCGTATAATTAATTATTGTATCTCATTTGATTATTTAATTATACAGTTATAAACGTTTACGTGTCTGGTTTGCTTCTAGCCAGCGGTGTATGCGCATAATGAGAGACGACTTCGGTGGCACCACTCAAACTGTCCACAGTTACTTTTCGTTTCTGTTTTTGTTTCTGCGTTCGTTTAGCGCACAGATTTGTTCGTTTATGGATGAGAGTGCAGGTGTCGCGGGCGCGAGGCGTGGAAACAGCGCATGCGCGACGATTGCGACGCTGGAAGTGATTGTTTCGTTTGATTTTTGTTGAATTTGTTGTTTGCGTCGGGTGGTGAGGATATGTCCGATCGACTCGCGCGCAATCGTCGCTTGTGCGCGTTCCGCACGCCTCTCGCCATCGTCGCGGTGCACCTGCGGTCGGCGTCGAGATGCTGCTGCTTAAATAAATATCGCGATCGAGAACTACTGCCCGAGCTGCAGCGGGCTGAGCACGATGCCGCTGTGATGCGCCTCGGGCTCGCGGCGCGGCTCCACGACGATGATGGCGTCGTCGCCGGCCGTGGACGTGGAGGCGGCGAGATTAGCAGGCGCGCGGCCGCGCGTATGCTTCGACTCCTTCGGCCGGCACTCGATCTCGATGACCGTCTCCGACTCGTAGCTGGAGATGCTCTGCAGGTCATAGACGGCCGCGTCGAGATGGTCCAGCTCGATATGAGTGAGTCGACGCGCGGCGGGCCGGCGCCGTCGTCGTCGTCGTCCGGCACCGTGATGATCGGTATGAGCGTCTTTGTGTCCGCGTCCGCGTTCACTGGCGCTAGCATTGGCGCGCGCTCCGCGTCCTGGAAGTCGGCGGCGCTGGTGCCCGGCGCTGCGTGGCCCGCGCCGCCCGTCACGATGGACACTTTCTTTTATGCTTCTCGAACGAGGTCGAGGCGTGCGTAGTCCTCGGATGGCATGCGTCCGCCGAGCGGTCGCGCGTCAGCGGGCAGCGGCTCGCGGATCCACCGTGATGGTGTGGTGCGGGTGCGGATGCGCGCCGCCCCGCCGCCGTGCGGGCACACGTTTTGAGGCGCGCCTTCTTGCGGCCGCGCAGACACGTCGACGGGCACGCACAGAGCAGCACGCGCACCAGGCAGCAGAGTAAGCCGCACGCGACCAGCGTGGGACCGATCAGCCGCAGCTCCAGCGTTTTGAAGCCCTTCTCGCCGGTGCCGACGAAGAAGATGACCGCGCCGATGGCGACCGTGCCGAGCCCAACGTAGAGCAGTGCATTGGCCGCCGCGCTCTGGTGATACACGTCGAAGAAGTCTTCCTCTTCGCTGCTCCCGCCATATGTCGTGTCGTGGATCTACCAACCAGTCAAAAATCACCACAAAAAATTTAATTTCTATTTTATAAAAATTTTAAACTTTAGACTCACACGCAGCGATTTCATCCATCTGTGATGCGCCTCGTTCTGCTTGAGGCGATGCTGTCGTAAATCGTCCGAGAGGGAGCAGCGTCTCCCCGTTCCCGTTCTTGCCATGCTGCCCGACCCTGCGAGCACTGCGGGCACACAAAAACAAATTAATCATCTCAACAGGTCCGCGCCACATTCGTCAATCTACGAAACAATTCGACGCGCAGCGAAACTTTCCCGTTGCGGAAAGTGCCAAGTCTGCCTACAACGAATTAATCATCTCAACAAGTGCGAAGTGAGAGCGAGCGGAACAAACAACCGCATTTCTTCGGCCCCTCGCCGGTCTTAATACACTCAATCGAATTATGAAGACAGAGAAACAACTGCACACGATTTATCAATCTCGCGTGCGAAAAACGACGGCCCGCGACTTAGAGGTCGCATAAATAACTCCCCAATCGATATCGCCGTGTTCACGTGTGCATCATTGCGCGCCATCCAATTGGAAAATTTGCTTTAAATTATTGCTGCAACAAATTGCTACCTCGACACCCGAGACGGCATAAACACGTTATCTAGGGCATTAGATTACAATTGTCTGGATGAGTTGTAAAATGCGCGAACTTCCGTGAACAAAAGCGCAGCGTTCCGGTGGAAATGATTATATCTAGCCGCCCCCGGCGGCTGTTTGTGAGACAAAGCTATGCAAATAGCCTGTGCGCCGCGCGGAACGGATGCACGTGCGGCCCGCCGCTGAAAATCGATGAACGAATTATGCACGTCAAATACCTAATAATCAGTCCGGGCCTGTCGCGTGTTGTAATGAAGCATTGATGAGTTGGCGCGGGGATTTCCTATTTCACAGCGAACAAAGTCAACAATAACAATAATGTTTGTTATTCTGGATTTTGGTAGAAATCGCGCGTTGGAAATACATTTTCCCGCGAAAGGTAAATATCGCTTAGATTTCTGAGTAAACATCTCTCGGACACAAGATGGCTGACCTCCCGCGCGCGCCCGTCCCGGATAAGACGGATCGATCATATTTCGCGCTGTCGTTCGGAAATGTCGCAATTCCGATTCAACAAGTCCGCGCGCGCGAGCAAAAACAACAAAGCGTACACGTTTTCCGGCAGCGAGCGCGCGCGCGCGCTTCTGTCAATATCACCACTGTTACACTGTACAAGATTTACTTTGATATCGAAACGCAGTGTAACGTTTTGTTTGCCCCGGCTTTTTCCAACCACGCGGTCGCGCTTTGTTTGCCAGTCGATGAAAAATCCCGAATGGGATTATCTCCGATTGGAAATACGCACGCAATCGCTCAATTAACAAGACGACTACACTGAAATCTACTTTGCCCGGAGATATCTGCGTGGAGTTTCGTGATTAATGAGCGCCGAGCTCTCAGGTAACACTCGATGCGAGATTCTAGGCCAGAAGTGCATCATACGCATCGAGAATAAAGAAAAATTTCTAATCGAAATAAGTCCACAGTCCCACAACAATTTCTGCGTTTGAAGAGGCAATTTATTACATATACGGCGCGCTGGGACAAGTCGCCGGTCGGTGGGTCAGTCAGATCGGGGATCGATTCGTGAATGGCGGAGGCGCCTGCATCGGCCGAGCGTCGCGACGCGTTTAAAAACGCATTAGCGCTCTCGTAAACACGCTCGCACTGTTGTCCTACCTTGTTGGCGCTGCTACTGCTGCAATAGGGGAGGGTTGGCGGGGGTGGCGGCATGCGAGTGGCACGCCATGACCTGATTTCGACGCCGGGAGTTGCAGGACAATTCTGATCAAAAAGTTATTACAAACATGCCATCAATAATAATTGAAGTTTAAGTATCCGTTTAACTCGAACTACTTCACAACCAGGCCCTGCGTGGCCTGCTTCTGCGTCTGCTTGCCAACTGACAGATTGTAATTAAGTGGCAGCGGCGAGGGTTCAACAACATGCGCTGCAAAATGCAAACAAGAAAAAACGAAAAAAAATCGCTCGGCGCAATTTACGTGATGACACACTGGTGGTGGAGGCGCCGGGCCGTGTCGTGTGATGCCATTACCTAATACAGCAGGTAGGTTTGGCGGGTTGAAGAATGAGGGTTAGTCACACCAGTTACGCTCGTATCGCGCAATTAATCTTCGCTCGGCCGCACCGCACCTACACCGCGTGTCTTTGACACAGATGTCCGGCGAAAAATCGCCGGCGAGCGTATGTTGCGCTTTGTTCATCCACATTGTTTTTTTTTTTTTGCCTTGGCGCTCGACATTGTCGCAGATTAGGACACTGGCGGGACACATGCGAGCTCCACTTTAAATGCGCCGCTTTAATTTAAATGTCGCGCTCGCATGCGGCGATGCAGTCACGACAAACACGAGTTTGATCGACCCGCCCGCGGCGCCCGAAATGTCAATTGTCACGTGAGGTCGTCCTTTTTTTATGGATTGAATCGGACACTCTCCGAAATTTCAACGAAATGTAATGTTTTCCACATAAACACACACGCAAAACGCGATTACATTGACTTTCCACGGAATTTTTAAATTAATTTCAAACTTCTGGTGGTTTTAAATTATAAATAACCGGTAGTTTTATGAAAAAAAAAGTTTTTACGTAATTAATATGCGCAGAGAGACAAATACGCTTATTTTGCACATGAATTTTTTTCATTACAACTTTTTGTTAATTAATAACGCCTCGCGAAAACATTCGGATGCTTGGTAATTATATTAAAACTTTGTTTATATTTAATGAATCACTTTAAAGTGCAAATTAAACCAAACCACCTGTTTAAAACATGCATTACGTTTGCGTTGTTGAAATCAGTTGAATTTAAATTTGCGGTGGGTTTTTTGAGGGTGAGGCCCCGTGTACATACCATGAACCCCGAAGGGAACTGCGGGAAGGGCTCGATCTCCCTGGTGGCGACGTGGCTGGGCAGGTCCGCTCGCCGCCTCTTCTTGCGAAGACGCTGCTTCTCCCTGATGAGTAGCGCCGCTTGCATGCCTGCGGATGCCGCGGTGCTCATCCAACGCGCATCGTCGTCTCCGGCCGCGCGAGCACACTAGCTGCCGCCGACGGTGGCGGGTGGCGGCAAAATTAACAACACGCGGCGAGCTGAGTATTCGTGTCTTTCGTGAAAACACGCGCGACGCGCGTTGTTTTTTACATTCTTCGGGAAAAACGGTCGCGCGCGTTTCGACACCGCACGCTATGCGCGCGTGTGTGGGACGGGGGCGGCGGGGAACAGTCTTCAGCCGGTCGTCATATTCGACACATTGTCGTCGCGTTCGCGATTAGAGATTTAGCGATTCGTCGTCGATGGTCGTGTTTAGTTGTTTATATTTAAATGTTCATCAAATATATATTTATATAGTATACGCGTGTATAATAGAGAAATATATTTCTATATATTCATATATATGTTAGATATATAGTGTATATAATTTAAGAAAATTGTGTATAATGTATAATTTCATACTTTAAACTCTTTGTGTATATGTAAAAAGCGAAGGCAGATTTTTTCATTTTGTTTCTTTTTTTGTGTTTGTTGTTTTTTTGTCTAACGTTTAATTTGTTTCTCTCTAGTAGTTTTGATTCGATCACTTCGATGCCGTGAGAAGTGCGAGCACAGCGTGCCCTAAGTGTGGCTCAAAAAGATATCCAAAGAATAAAGATCAAAGAGATATACGCGCGTGATTTTTTGGTTTGTCAAGCTTACAACCTTGCGATACTTGCGGCAAACTTGTTGCGGTTCGGTTTGATATGTGCTGAGAGTACTTAGCTCCGGTGTGTGTTCATGTATTATTGTACTGGTCCCTAGGTGGGTAGTCGTGGCGCGACCGCATGCCCGCGGTTGTGCTGCTGCTGGTCGTCTCGGCGATGTCGTCTTCGGCTCTTATCCCGGGTCGAAGCTGCTCTTCATGGTGGTGGTGGTACGTGCGCGGCCTCGGCAGCCGCCACCGCGTGCATTCGAGTGCGCCGCTCGCTCGAAACTGCGCTCCGCTGCGAACCGCGCGTCCGGCCGCGATCGTGATTCATCGAAGCGCGCGCGGTCCGACGAGCATTTCGGTCTCTTGCTGTCACCGGCTGCAAGAGAGAAATCGATAGGGGGGTGGTTGGTGGTGGTTCGAAAGCGAAACCGCGGCGGCAGCATTCGCACGGGGCCACCACACACAGGCTTTCTTTCTTCACCGCTGCTTTCTTGTGAGGCGGGTGAACCAGTTAGCAATTACACAATGCGCTTAATCAATGTGCGAGGACGCTTAGCGTTTTGTTTTCCGCCCGCGGCCGCCACACGCATGTGGGGAATAATATTCTTTTCAACTGGGCGCGCAGTGCTATGCGGTCTCGGCCGCCACAACAACACACCATTTCGAATCAATATTAATGTATGTATTCGACATCCACTCTTGTTGATTTACTCGAATAATCAGCCGCCACGGTTTTGGGTCAGCTTTCAACACCAAATTTTAGCCACAATGGCGCCGCCACCGGCCACCACCGCAAATGATGAAGTGGGCGCGACGGAATTACATACAATATTATCATTTTCAAGCATTTTCGACTTTTACTTTCAAAGCGCCTGTTTTTTCACGGTTTTTAGACACAAAAACTTTAGCCATGGCCGTGACTAAAGTACTTTAGTCATGGGATACATTTATAACCTTAAATTTCCAAGTTGTGTGCAAACGAAGTTCGAAGTTTTAAAATACCAAAGTTTCAACGTGAAAATAAAGTGAAAGTAGAAAAAATATCGTAAGCATCACGTGGTTAAACGTAGTTAAAGTGCCACTTTGCGCACTTGACGCTTAATACACTATTAAAACATAATTTTTAATATTTTTCTACTTTCACCTTTGAAACGCCAGTTTTCCTCGGTTTTAAGACATAAAATGCGATATTTTAAACATCGACAGCCAAGACCGTGACTAAAGTACTTTAGTCACCGGGTCGATTTATAACCTTACATTCTCCAGTAGTGTGCAAACGAATTTCGAAGTTTTAAGATACAAAAACTTAAATACAACAACTTCAACGATTGATTCAATCAATTTCGTGGCAAAAGTGCCACTTAGCGCACTTGATACTAAAAATATTTATTACAACAAAAGTGAAATTTTATTTCGAAATAAATTCCAGTGCTGCAAATGTCACCGCAATGACATTTTTCATACCAAGATGTACGCGAGTAGTGCTAGTTGGCGTGCGGTAATGACGCCCGCCCCCGGCGCTCGGCTTTTCGTTTCGTTAAGTGCGATGCGAGACCACCGCCATCGCAGCGCCGTTTAATTAGATATACGCCGGATAACGCTGAATTCGCCCCGGCGACGTACTTGACCTTTGCTGCTCGTTGTTTTCGCACTGTTTTACATCACAATATAAAAGTGGGCGTAATGGCCAGGCATGATATTTGTGTATGTACGCATCGCCACCGCCGACGTCAACGCGATGAGAATCGGCGCATGTTCATAAACATGCAAGCACATGCAATAAAAAACACCGAATGCATGACATACAAGGAAAACGTCGAAATTGTCCAAAAATGATATGATCACACACCGCCGTCGGAAACGCCATGTTCGTGTTTTCCGCGGCGTGTAATTAACTCGAGGGGGTGGCTCATTTTTTTTTCCTCCACCGTGGGCGGGAAAAACAGGGCGAGCCATTTCGCGGCGTGTGTAAGTAGCGGCGATCGCCATTCAGGCATTGAGCAGGAAATGAAATGCTGCGGAGTGACGACTGGCGGCGCGGAAAGTTCGCGCTCGTTAGCGCGATCGATTGCGCGTCGCGACGGCTTCATCGTGACTCGTAAAGTCTTATCAATGCGCACCGAAATTCTTCGGAACATACAATGCCCGCCAGTGACCATAAAAGTGTGTTTCGCGAGCAGCAGCAGCTCGCTGAGCGTGTAAGTAATGTCGAGGACAAACAGCGTTTTTCCATTTTCAGGCGGGCCGGTGGTATTGATTTCGAGTTTGGACGTTTGCGATGAATCGGTGCGGAATCGTGGCAATCGCAAAAGTTCTCCGCGTGTGATACACACCAAACCCCGCCGCCGAAAAATGCCAGCGATAGCAACTTTTACGATGCTTTGTTCCGAAACGCAGCGCACCGAAACTGAATTCATCACATTCCAGCGCACAGAAATGTTTTTCATTTTCTTCCACATCGCTGGCCACACAGAAAAACTAATACACATACGATTGCATTAATTAAAGAATACGCGGAATACCATTCTGTGTCTACGCTGCGCGCGAGGAGAGAGCGCCTCATAAATTATAATTAACAGCGCCACAGCGCGATTACACCTTTCATCCCCTTTTCACGGCGAGAGAAACAGCCAAACAGCAATTTGCCGCGTGTAATCCCGGGCGCGTTCATATGTGATGCGCATAATATACTAATTAGCGCCGAGCGGAAAAATAACCCACGCTGTCTGATTGCCCGACAAGGGTTGAATAAAGTATGACAGAGTGGTTGAAATGCTTGGAATTGTTGGAACACTTACGACCTCTAAACTACTTGTCATGCATGGTGTGCTACTTGGGTTGGTATAATACCTCGGAGAAAGGATAATCCAGGCTGCCGAAGACGTCGTACTCGGTGTAGAAGCCCGGATCGTGGTGGTCCCACGTCTTCTCCTTGATCTCGAAGTTGCACATGTGATTACATCGGTCCAGCACGCCCTTCTCACCATCCTTCTCTTCTTCCACCTGCCGCACGAAGCTACACCGCCGCTCGAGGGATTTATCACCCTCCGGGATGAGGATCTGCGGCAGCTGGTGGCTGACGACCGAGGGCGAACGTGGTGTGGCGGCCGCTGCCGCCGCCGCCGCCGCCGCAGCAGCAGCAGCAGCTGGACCATGCGAATGATGAAGCGCATGACTATGGCAATGACCATGCGATGGATGCACCGGCAGGCAGATCGAGGGGCTCTCCCTAATACGCGCTCTCGGTTCTTTCAGATGATAATTGGAGGTGCTGTGGCGGCGGTCACCAGTCGCGAGCGCCGCCGGCGGTTTGAGCGCGTTGCGTTCAACGCGCGACAGCCGCGGCACCTGCTCGTCGGTATAGTTATGGAACTGTCCCTTCTGCGGCGGCTTCGGCAGGATATCGCTGGCCTTGGACGCCTTCTGCGCGGCGGCCTTCTTGTTCTGCCGCTGCCGCTGGCGCGCCTGCCGACTGGCGAGGCTCGCGCCCCCGGCCGCCGCGTACATTGCACTCGACTCACTCCTCTGCCCTTTGTCCGCCCAGCATTGCGGGTGCGACCCCCAGCCCTGATATCATCCGCGCCGCCCGGCTGCCTACGCCACCGAATTGTGCGCGAATTCTTCTTCGATAAAAAACGATTGTGTATCTCTACGTGTCCAACAGCTGAGCCGTTGGCTGCGCTTGTAAAACCTATCAAACATCCATGCGTAAAAAAATAGAACGCACAATTACGAGTATCATATAATTCATAAGAGTATATATATATAGTTTCACAAAGATAAGTTTGCTTCTAGTTTCTGGTTTGCTCTTTGTTTATTACCCGCTTTGCCCGTGGTGTCTCGTGTGTTGTCGTATCTGGAGGTAACTCGGAAGGGGGGAAAACATTAAACAACAATGATTGTACAGCGTTTATGCTTCGTTTTGCACAACCGATTGCTCGACCCGAACGCGCAGTTAGGCCTACGTGCTGCCATCGTCTCGGCGCTGATATAACTTAATATTGTCATTGGTTATGTTGGGTAAGTACGCGGCGTCTGCGCGCTAGTCACCTCACATGTGTGTGTGTGTTGCGTGTGTTGCGTATGTGTGTTGGGTGTAAAATTATCTCGTATTAAAATCACTCTACCATAGACGACAAGACAGTTAAGTAATAATTTCTCATATAGTTGTATATGTATAATATATCAGCGTAGTAAGTACGAGTTCAACCGAAAATATACCCTCTCTCTCGTGGTGTGCAGGAAGCAAAACTGTTTTCCTGTGTATATTTTTATGTATAATTCCTTGTTCGCGCGCGGCGCACGCCACCTCTCTGCTCGTCTCGTCTCGAAATTAAGACACGAAAAACGTATTGCTTATTTTTTGCTCGGTGCGTTCGGTGTCCCTGAATGAACACATGGATGCCATCCGCGCCGCATGCTGGTGCCGCCGCTGTGTCTTCGCCTCTCGACTGTTTCTGCTTCGTTTTGTTGCTTGCTCTCCACTCTTAAATCTCGAGTACAAATATGTATATGTGTATATAATGCGGGACGTCGTGAGGAACTATAACGTGCGGTGGTGCCGCCGCCTCGTCTGCGAGAGATGCGTGCGCGGGGCTCTGGCGCTCGCCGCCGCCCGCGTTCACATCGTCCGCCCAGCGCGCCCAGGTGCCGTGCGCATCTCACGTCGCCGTCGCCGCCTCCAATGTGCTGCCGCTCGCCCTCGTCGTCGTCGTCGTCGTCGTCGAGCCGCCGGTGGCGCGATGCAAGGCGAGCACTGCTAGCAATCGCATCGTTCGTGACGCCGGTGTGCTGCGGAGACGAGTCGGAGATTATCCACTACGCTATATCAAAACTCAACTACTAACACAGCTACGAAATGTATTCAATCATCCATCACACACACACACATCGAAACAATTTGCCAACAGACGAAAAAATTTCTCTCTGAGAGAGGAAAATGATTTTCTCGGATCCGTGCGAATCCTTAGAAAGTACGCACCCGACCTGGTTCGAGGCGCGGCGGGTTGCGCTCTAGATTCGCCCGCACCGACCCAGTGCCCTTTGACATATCCGCCCGCCAAGCGGAAGTCGTCGGATGTTGCCATCGAAACTCATTTCGCCGTACGCGTGTCTGCCGCCGCGGTCACAAAGCGATGGCGAATTTGCGTCGCACACGCCCGTAATGGGGCAAATATTATTATGCGATGTTTAGTACGGCAGTAAAGTTGGAAATCGATACTAATAAAACACAACCGTTTAGAGTTCGTGAAAAATCAATACTGCATAAATAAAGCAGTCGCCGTCGTATGCAATCAGCGATATAGAAAAGCGCGAATGGCCCAAAATTAAAGTGTTGATCGTGCTGAACTCCATTAGAGTAAACACACTGCAATAACACACCACCCGCTCGATGCGATGCGGTGACCCATTTTCGCAATACTTCTTGTACCGGCGCGCCGTGTACGTGCCCAGTTGTTGCCGCCGCCTGAATAATTCACGCGAGATTCGTACGTACACGTCCGGCGGCGGCGGCGTGCGTGAGTTATGACGGATAAACGTTTTCGCCACATTGTAATTACGCGGTGCCTCGGGGAAATCACTCCGATTCGCCGCCGCCGCCGGCGCAATTTTTATTTCCGAGACGCGCGCGCGCGCGCGCCACTTTCGGAGACAATCGAATTACGCCCGCAATCAAGTGCTCGCGACTCTACGTGCGTCAGGCATTAATACGTTGTCAACAAAGCGTAAAACACTTTTTGCTGCGCCCGGCGCCTCCACATAATGACTTATTATGCGGATTGTTTCTCGCTATTACACATCACCAATTAGCTGGTTAATTAACATTGCTTTGAACCACTGCCGACATTTTCACCGGAATTACATCCAATTAAACATCGCGCTTTGGAAAAATTCCCGATAAAAATGAGCACCCATAATAACACCACTCGAGTGTGCCGTGCGCCGTGTGCCGCGGGCGTTGGAAATTCTCGTGAGAATTTAAACAGGCGAGATGTTTACGGCCGTTTCCTTGGCGACTGGCTTGCCATCCGGCCGGCGTTATTGCATTATACGCCGGCGTGGCGAATTTCTCATTCATGGCGCGCTTATTTTCGTAAATAAATGTACTCCCGTCACGCCGGGCTCTGACATTAACTGGAATTACTTAAACTTGCGAGGAGATATTCGCGTTATGATGACACAGACATTCAGTTTTAAGTGCAATCGCGGCCGAATTTATATATTCGCCATTGAAATCTTTTGGCTTATCAACATGGCGTCGCAAATTGCGCTTTACGATCGCCCCATTTGCCAAAAACGCGCGCGTCTTGCCAATTACGCCGGGCAATACATTCAATGCCAAGATGTCTTGGCAGCGTTAAGAAAATTTACGTAAAACGCATGCATTATCATGAAATAAATAAAAGCAACATGCATGATGTATATATCTGTAGGCAAAATTTGCATTTTATTGAATATCATGTTTGTTATTTTCTGTTAAAAATTCAATTAAACCCCGCGTTGTTTTCACGAATTAAATATTTAATACGCGTAAATATTTACGGGCGCGAAAACGTAATAAAACCGAAATTTGCACCTCGGCGCTCACATATTTCGGTGATTTATGATTTGTTTGCCGAGCGCGTCGCGAAAAACTGCACCGTAATTAAATAATAATTTTCGATGCGTGTACCTTTATGATTCATTTCAGTTTTAATGTATTTGTGCAGTTTTGTTATTTTTCTTAAGAGTCCATTATTCCACGGTTCATTTGTTCGGCGCGCACAAAAGCTGGCATTGTGGCATTGGAAAGAACGCGATGTGGAGGCGCCGGGCCATCATTAATCACCGCGGCGCGGCGGGGCCTGAATGAGTTTTATTATATCCGGCCGAAATTGGAGAGCAGCGCCGCTAAGTGTGCGCCTATAAATGGATATTTTGCATGTAATCAAAATAATCGCATTTGCGCCGAACAAAGATTGCAATTCAAACAGTTTTTTTCTTCTTTTTTTTTCGCTTCGTATTCGTCTAATACTTGTACGAGCAATTTGAAGTGACATAAAAAATTGATTGCAATGTCTATGCATGTCTATCCATGTGGATATGGTAGCCGTAGAAAGCCACTTAGAGTGTTTACTCAAGCCTCTTTTACATTCATACGCGTGTTCTCGCGTGTTCATTAACTATTGATCGACGCGACGCGCGCGCCGGGATTGATAAATATTTTCGAGGCGGCTGCGCCTGCGCTCGCGGGGTGAGCCCCGACCAAACAATCCCAACAGCACCACCGCCGAATTACCCATTCAGATGGGGCCAACCGAGGCGAGATTGCCCCGCGCGCGCGATTAGTGCTCAAACATTGATGGCGCGCTGCAACATTAACGAAGCGGCGCCGCTCCGCTGGGCTATTAAGCTTAGATCATATCGCTAATTCCGACGGATGCCGTCGTCGGGCCCCTGCAGGAAGTCGCGTGAATAAGAAATGCGCCCACCGAAAAACAACAGGTCCCAGCTGACGCCGGCGGATTAATTGGAAAATCTCGCTCGGCTGCGTGCTGCTCCTTGAAAGAGCGTCGTTAAACTTAATATGATCTTGCTTGATTCAATGATTTCATCATTTATAATGCGGGGGCTGGTTGTTGATAGAAAGTTGAAAATGATTGCAGAAATTGCATGTTTTTCGTTCATTGTGCGTCAATTAACTCTTTGTTAGTTAATGATGCATTTGTGTAATTGCTAACGGTTGTCAGTCGACCACTGGTGGTGGTGTATGATGGCAGTTCATGTACGAATGCCGCCGCCGCCGCCTAATTACGAGAATGAAATCGAGCACATTACCTTTGAGTTGGTGGCGTCGCCAAGCAATCAATCACTCCGAATCAATCACACACGCACGCCGGCGGTCCCTCGCCGGCCGTAAGTCGCGGCAGGCACGCGCGATTGGGGGTGGTGGTGGTGGTGGGTGTGGGTAATCCACGCGACTGTCCGCCCGGGGCTGATGTCGCGCCGATCGAAGCGGAACGCGGCCGTTTCGCGCTTAATTACATCCGGCCGAGCGTAATTAAATCGGTCGCGCCGCTGGACGCGCGCGTCGTGGACGTAACGTGATGTTGGCGGTTGGCGGTCGCGACGCGGAGTGAGCTCACTCCGCCGGCGCGCGAATTACTTGTTGATATCGCGACTGCGTTTTTTTCTTTCTCTTTCTTCGTCTAGTTTTCGTATTCTTTGCAGTCGCGAAAAGTCGATCTGGCCGCCGGTTACTAAGCGACAGCCGACGCGGAGAGTGGGTGCTGCTCGTTGATGGTGTGTCGATACGGGGGTGGGAGAGGCGCGGCGACGAGACAGCGGGAGAGGGTTTTCGGCGTTTGGCTGCGGTGTGGGCGCGCGCGCGACGACGACGAAATCGGACGCGACGCCGAACGCGACTGCTAACTAACTAGCGCCGCGCGGAATTAGTGTGCGCGCCGGCCGCCAGCGGGGGCGGGCCGCGAGAAGCCGCGCGCAACAGCCCCAGCGCAACAGCAGCGCGCCGGCAGCAGCGCGGCTACAGGTGGCGGCTGCCGCCCGAGTGCGCGAGGTCACGTTCACACACCCAGCGCCCATTTCCTCGGGCCTTAAGCCACTTCGCGCGCGCCATATCAATGATTCATTATTTATTATAAATCGTCCGATTATGACGCATACTTTTTCATTGTTTAACCGCACGCGCCAAGCGTAAGCCTCAATTTTCCCGTGCCGATAATCTACAAGGACACGTTCAACAACTTCCTACACGTTTAATTTAACATAATTCGACTAGAAAATTTATCTACACAATTCAAGGACAACCTTGTCACCCCCAACAGCTCGTAAATATAAATTTGTAGAATAATAAAAAAAACTTCGGCGCGCAGCTGGAGCGGCCAATAAAATCTCCGAACGCAACCGAATTTATTTTCCAATAAAAATACAATCTCGCGAAACACATGCACCCACCGGTTGCTATCCTGCCGGTGGTGGGCAAATCGATGCGGGGCGCGGATTCGCCGAAAGCCGTCCTCGCAAATTACATTTCCCGGCGAAATTTACATTTCGTGTGTCACGCTGTCACCCTACGCATACGAATCGCATTACGAAGTTATAATGGAAATCAGGTTGATACCTAACGCGGAAAACTATTCACAATTACCCCTGGGAGCAGCCGAAAAACATCCAAAAATTTCCCGGTGGAAAAACGAGTTGTGTTGGTATTAAGCACCAAAGACGGAAACAGGAAGTGGGTGCTTGATAGCAGGATGGAATTAAGAAATGCTCCGGAGGTATCCGCACGTACGCGCGTCCTTGCCAGAAGAAGAGTCAAGGTTAATACGCATTATCGGGCGACATTCGCGGCGCGCCGGCACGTGGAGCGCAAATAAAGAAGCCGCCCCCGCCGCCTGCACACCCAACGGGAGCACGCCGGGAATGCTAATGGTCTGTGCTATTTTAATATTAAAGCGGCGCGCCAACGAGGACAAGGTTCAGCCACGCACAATTGCATTGCGATTCGTGAATTCACCGCCAGCCACCCCCCAACACTATGAATCGTAATGACAAACTCATGTTTAGAACAAAATCCTCCTCCACGCAGTAAAAAATGTCACTAAACAAACAAATAAATCAAATGTGAGATTTCTACGCGTGGGGGCGGCGAATAAAAATATCTCGTAGGCTTTCCAGTGGCGTGTATATGCGTGCTGTCGATCTGCGGTGGCTTCATCTCTGTGGGACGCTTGGCGGCGGAGTATTGTTGACTTAAAGTTTGGCAGGCGTCACGTTCAATCAACTTTACAACGACGCCATTAGGAGCTCCATCACACTTGACAAACGTGTTCGATCGATTGCCGAAAAGTTGCTTTTTATAGCCAAATGCGTGCGAGGAATCACGGCGATCGTGAGTTCCCAACACCTTTCCGAAATCAAGAGTAATGTGCAGCGACGTGGGGCGAATCTTCCGCCGCGGCGGAGATTTAGCATCGGTTCGCACTTAAAATATTGCCGGCGATTTCCTACGCTTCGTGCGCGTTCGACTAACTAAGATTAATGAATCTCGTGGAGGACGAGGGCTGCTGGAAAAATTAAGATTGGTGGGCCGGACCTGATGGATGGCGGAATTACAACTTCAGGTTGGAATCGCTGTGCAACGATTTGCGTGATGAGAATCAAGTACGATGCATTGCATTATTAAGTCAAACGGTGTTAATCAAAGCAACCGCACCGCATTTGCCGCCAACGCAGCAATAAATCATCGCTGCGGTCGGCGGTTAATTTTTAATGCGTCAAATCATGTGTGAACGCGTCGAGTACGCGCCGCGTACACACACACACACCCTGATGAAAATTTCATTCAGGTTGTAAACGAGGGCGGCGGTACATATACGAATCGCGGTTTGGGCCTTGCGGCCCCATCGCTGCGATCGATAGGAATTTCGTGTTGTCATGGTTCTGCCGATTAAAACAATGCATATTGTTCGTGTTCGCGTCCGTCGCATCATTCGCGTCGTGGGAATCGTGAGAAAGGCCCGCTGATTACAATAGCGTCTTTGTTGCCGCCGCCGCCGACCGGAAGAATGTAAAGTATTAAAGAAGCGTTGTATGCTCGAAAAACTTCCAAACCTCTTCGACAAAGGGAAATATTTCCGAAATCATGATCAACGTCAGTGAAAAACTTTGTGGAAACTTAATTAATTTCCGCTGCGCGTTGATTTGAATACGTACGGTGCGTTTTTCTGTTTGCCGGAGGCGGTTGTTGGTGAAGTGAAGTGTTCGGGATTGCATGCGTCGCGCCACCTTGTGTGTAGCGGCGCAATCCGCACATCGGAAATGCAGGAACTACAGGAAGTTCATTAACTCGCGCGTGGCGGCGGCGGCGTGAGGCGGCCGGACTCGGAACACGCACCGACCAGCGCGCGCGCGGAACAATCGATATCGCTCGGCGGCGGCGTTCGGCCACGTTCGAAATTTATTATGTTAATTATGTTCGCCGTCTCGCTTCGTTGCTTTTTCAGCGCCGCCGCCACCGCCGACGATGAAAATTCCAGCGCCGCTGGATGGAGCAGAAGTCGCGCGCGATACACGTGCGCATATCTCGCGTATCTCTCGGAATGCGAGCGGCGAAAGTTTCCGAGGCGAAAAAATCCCAGCAGGATGGCACGCGGGCGGATGTCGGCGGCGGCGGATGATAAGGCGGATCATCAACGCGACGACGTGGCGATAAATTCCAGCAGATATGCTAATGCGTTGACCCGGCGGTGTTTACGGCGTGCGACTTCGATATTTTCGATCGCAGCTGAAGACGCTCGTTTCTTATCAATCTGCGCGCGGGCGTGCAGGAATTAATATCGTTTTCCAAGTATTCAATACTGTTAAACACACAAATCGTTTTCCTAAACATTTTTCAGTCAAAAATTTTGATTATTTCGTGTTAAAAACGTTTTTTAACGAATTTTTAAACGTTTTTTCACTTTGTGTCTTATTAAATTTATTATTTAGTGTTTCTATCGAGTTTGCGCTTATTATTCGCCGATTATGATTCAAAACAAACGCGTAAATATCATAAATATGTATGCAAAACGATCGCGCACGAGGAAAACATCACTTGCACGCCACTTTAATCAAACATATTTTAATAAAATCGAAATTGTGTGGAAACATTCACGTAATACGCTCATGAAAGTAAAATTTTCCGTATTTTATTGCACGCCGCGTGTTTTGAAATAAATAGTTTTGTTTTGTGTGGTTTTAATTCGGCGCAAATAACGCGCGTGGAAAAAAACATTTGTCAAACAAAAAGTTTTCCAATTATTGCCGGCTTTTATTTGGCTTTCACACAGCGGTAAATAATAAATGGAGGGTTTTTAATTTCCCGCCGTAATTATGTTTTCGTCACTGCGGTGGTTCTCCGATAATTGTTATTGCCACTCATAATTCACAAACAAATTAAAATAATGAGTTAAATTGACCGTGAAGCAATGTAACGAGCAGAAAATTGATTTCCAATTGAAACGCCGATCAAAAATAACGACCGCGCCGCAATTTGGCCATTTTCGGATTTTGAATGTGGATGTGGATGCGCCGGGCTAGGCTGGGCTAGTCTTCAATTAGCGACCCTTTCAGATCCGGTTTGGTTCCGATTTTCGAAAATCAAAATAAAAAATTCAAATCGCGCTACGCTACGCTTCGGCGTTTAACAAGCGCGCCGTGACCTTTTTCGGGTGGGGGCGGCCGGAAAAAAGTTCGAGTTGTGTGCTATTCGTCATAATTTTGGGTCGGGATCGCCTGCAGTTTGAGATCGCGCGCGCCGCACACATCAATATTGGCCTTCAATCTTTAATGTCAAGCGACTAAATATAGGGCAAGCGAAAACGCGAAAATGTTACGCGGCTGCCGCGGTGGCCGCCTTTATAGGCCACTGTGTCATCGGGGAATAACAGGAGAGCGCAGAAGAGCGCGGCGCGCCTGCAACCGTTTGACCTCTGCGACTCGCCGAGACGTGATCTAGTGCCCCGTCCGCGCGGATGCACCTTCCACCAGCTGGGCAGGCGGCGCACGCGCCCACACCCCCACCCCCATTGAACACGACTTCGAACTACTCGTACAACTTTCGTTTCCAACCGTTGCGTTTTTAACCCGCGCGTGCGCAATATCTATACATATACATCAACCAATAGAGTATCTGCCGGATGTGTCGTCATAGCCCCGCCCCGATGTGTCAAACATCATCTTTGAAATTTCGCACGGCGCGCTGTATCGACATTCGCGCGGCACGTGCAGGCACTCCAAGAAGCAGCGACGCTGGAGATTTGTTTGCGCTCGCTGCGCCCACTGGCAAACAAATAACTTCTAATTACGTATTTGCCGAGCGAGACAGACGAGCTAAGCGCGCGGATGCTACGATTGATAAATTCAATATTTGCATGCGACCGACCCGCCAATTATCCTTCATCTAGCTGATCTAATTAGCACGCGCTCGCTTACAATAGAGGTGCATGTGTTAACAACTAACTAGATAACCCAATCAAGCCCTTTGACTTTCGCGCACAAATGTGTCAATTTCGACGATTTTATCATCCACGCAATAATTACTTTATTGTTGGGATGTTTTCAATTTTAAAGCCTTTGAGGTTTATTTTCGGAACAAAAAGTATCCTATCGCCTATTTGATTGTATCAACTGTTCTACTTTAAAGTTTTATCAAAATCGAGTGAGTAGTTTTTGTGTTAAAGAGCAACAAACATACAAAGTCACGCGTAATTGGTATTGCCACTCGAAATTCACGAACAAATTAAACTTTAATGAGTTAAACTGACTTTGAAACAATATAACGGGGATAAATTCAACAATTTTCGCGCGCGACTAACAAATTTATAGTTTTTTTGAATTATTTTATGCGAAATTCTCAATTTCATCGATTTTTAAGCCATTTTAGATTTGTTTTTGGCGAAACAAATATCATATCTCTTATTCCATTAAATAAACTATAATATTGTGAAGTTTCATCAAAATCCGCTGAGTAATTTTTGCGTTAACGAGGAACAAACATACAAAGTCACACGTAATTGTTATTGCCACTCGAAATTCACGAACAAATTAAACTTTAATGAGTTAAACTGACTTTGAAACAATATAACGAGGGCAAATTGAACAATTTACGCGCACGACTGACTATTTTATAGTTTTTTTTTAATTATTTTGTGCAAAATCCTTAATTTAATCAATTTTCAGCCCTTTTTTGATATAATTTTGAGGAAAAAAGTATTCTATCTCTTATTCCATTAAACAATCTATAATATTACGAAGTTTCATCAAATTTCACGGAGTAATTCTTCCTCCAAAGTGTTTCAAACATACAAATTCATTTCTAATACACATCGCGTTGTCGTAGAAACGTCAACAACACAAATTACATCAGTTTGCTGTCGATACGTGTGGGAATTCTCATTACGCCGTCCATTTTCATATTAAGCGCATCGTTTTCAAAGCGGTTCGATGGCAGAGCGGAGAAAAAAATGAAAGCAATTGCAGCAACAAAACGCAAACAAATAGGAGTTTAGAATATTAAACATGCATTACGTTCCAGTCCATTACAATTACGATATATTGACATGAATGCCACCGAGTAAAACATGCTGACGCATTCAAAGCAATAATTCCCATTTCTTCGTGTCTTCGCTCTTGTTTGATGTGTAATTTTCCATATCCGGACGTGGGCCGGTCGTGTACAACCGCGCTGCTCGGCGCGCATTTCTACCGCTTCCCACTTGTACGGAAACTTAGTCAACTTAGCTTTATTGTGACAAGTTAAACACACACTCACACATAATATATAATCCTCGATGTTTTTATTCGTAATATTTGAATAATCCGGTTGTCACGATGCGCGGTCAAACTTGTTGGCAAATTGTTTCGATATTCATGGATTCATGCGCGCTCTCGATGCAGAAAAATGTGTACTGGCTTCGAATAAAACTTACCGAGCACGGATGTTGGTGGTCACGGCACGCTTGGTTCTGATTTGATTGATTCGGCGATTATATTGACGGGTCGATATTGGCGAACGCTCGCAGGATTTGCATACTTGAGTGGACTCGGCTGCGGCTGATGACGGTGTGCTCGCCTGCAATAAGTCAAATAAGTCACCATGTTTCCAACAGATGTGCGGCAAAAAACAGCGAGTCGTATTATTCATACTAGTAGTGCGGAGGAATGTTGGTTTTCGGGGAATTCTCGTCATTAAAACGTGATTCGGTATGAAATAAACATAGGTTATTGAATGTAGGATATTAAGGGTAAATTATGCATCAAGTGCGCTAAACGGCACTTTAGCCACGTTTACCGAAGTGATGTTTACGTTATTTTTAATATATTTTCGGTTTTTTTCATGGTTTTGAGACACAAAATGTGGTATTTTAAACATGGATGATCAAGGCCGTGACTAAAGTACTTTAGTCACGGGGTGCATTTATAATCTTACATTTCCCTGCCGTATTCGAGCGAATTTCGATGATTTAACGTACAAAAGGTCAAATACAAAAACTTCACTGTCGAAATATCGTGGAAGTAGAAAAAATTGCGTACGCAACACGTGGCTAAACGTTGTTAAACACTTGATTGATTAAACTTTTGCTACGCTTGCTCTCTTAATCAATCTTGTGATTAAAACTCTCGTTTAGTCACTGGATACTTATTATAGGTACTATTTTCTAGTTCGTCGTTTAAAGCGCCTTTTTTTCACAATTTTGAAAGTTGTACTTTAGACACGGGCGGCTGCGCAGTAGGCAAATGCGCAGGCGCAAGCTCTACCTCGTAAAAAAAGTACTTTAGTTCTGATCTTGCCCGTGTGTAAAATTCCACTTTTGTGTCTCAAAATCGTGAAAAATCCTTGATAAATATTGAAAGTAAAAAATGTATTTTCAACCAAGATCCTCGAAGATTTCAATAATTATAGTCCGGAAAGTTCCGGAAAAGATCGTCTTGAAATTTTAATTTGATCCGAGATTATCTAAACGCGGACATGTGAGCTTTTCAATGAAAAGGGCGCGTTTTTTTGAGCGCTGACACGGGTTCCGCAGCGACAAGGGACACATGAATATTTCAGCTCGCTGCAATATTAAACCCCGCATGTCCTCCGCCGCCGCCACCGCCGCCGCCCCCGGCGACACTTTATCGATGCCTCGCGAAACATTCATAAAGAAATCGGCGAGTCGACGTGCCGACCCAATGCGCCGCGGCATAATAAACCCGCGTGCGGAATATTTATCTGCGCCTCGTATCATAAGTCGCCGAGATGCATTTTTCATGTGGCCGACCGGCCCCCTACCCCCACCCCTCGCCGCCGTCGGTCCGTGGCGCGGTAAAGCGTGTAATACACGTGTGCGCACATACGAGCAGCGGGCACGCAATCCGCAGCGCTGGTTTACGACCGCCGTCGCGCGCCGCGAATAAATTCCCTTTTATAGATAGATGCATATCAGCCGCGATGCGTGCATGCCGCCCCCGAAGCCAACACCGGGCGGGCGGGCGGACTAACGGCGCGCTTTAAGTAATAACTTCACAATTACGTATTTATTTGCCATGAAAGGATAATTCACTCGGCGGTTTTCTTATCGTGCTCTGGTGGTATGGTATGGTATTTCAGTCGCTAGGGAGGCGGTGAATAATTGATGCGTTGTGTTTGTCATTTTTAATAAGTCCTGATGCGCATTATCACTCTTCGCGTGGCGCCTTTGATCGTATTAATTTTTGGTTGGAAAATCAATGCACTTGAGTGCCGCTCTACTGCCCCACATGCCACACGCCGCCGCCGGCCGCTACGCAAACAAAATCGGCGCGGCACGCACACGAAAATCAATCGATAAACTCTCGGTATGTGTGTGTGTGTGTGTGTGTCGTGGTGGTGATTCACGTGCTCAGGTCCCTTGCGCATACATATTCAACTGAAGGCGGTGATTGTGGCGGCGGCGATGCAGCGGGAAAAGCAGGTGACCGGCGTGATTTCAATACTTCCGAGCGCGCACGCCCCGCGCTGTGTGTGTATCATTACGCCTATCGTTTGATAAATAATTGATTTCATTCAGGATGGAATTATGCGCCACGCACACGCACTACTTGTTTACTACGCCGCGTGATTTTTTTCTCTTATCCACTTGTCTTCTTATCTCCCGGGGAAAAAAGCAATAGATTCGTTTCTGACGGCACTCAATTTAACAGCACCGCTCCGCAGCGGGAAAAATCGCCGCCGGCGCGAAACAATGCGAGTATGAAATTCGCGTCGCTGCCACCAGTTCATTATCTGCCTCTGTGCTCGAGTGCGCGACCATAGTTTAGTCTAGTGTTTACACAACACCGGGGGGCGGGCGCGCAGAATAGGCAAACGAAACAAGGCGCCGAACAAACGAAAATTAGAACGACGCGAAGCGTGACGCGACGCGTCGCACAAAAGCGGTGGCGACGGCGGCAGAACGACGTAAATATCCCATTAAGGACATCAGAAGACATCACAAGGCGCGGCGCAACCGCGTTTAGTTTACTACGGCTGAAGATGCGTAATGCATATTGTCAACGAGCGCGCCGCCGCCAACTATTCAAACTATTCGCTATTCAGTCAAATCTCCGACGCTTTGTTGTCGGTATTAAATTCCTGACAACTCTCTTCTGCATATCGAAGCGTGATCTTTCGTGATTTCTACATTATTTCTCGTACGCGCAGCGCAAAAAGAAAAAAAGCGAGAAAAAAAAAACCGTCATAAATCCGCAGAAATGCGCGTTGTATAGCAGCAATTTTAGTATTTCAGTACTTTGAAAGTTAGATTGAAAATCTCTTGAGAAGTATTGACGTTTGATGAAATCCGAGCCGCGAGCATGTGCGTGAAGCACATAAAACTCCACACAACTTCGCCGGCCGAATCATATTTTTCGCGCAACTCAATTTTTCAACTTGAAACTTTTCGATACAACGCAAAAAATTATTGTTACCGCGGATGTTTTTCATGATTTTAATTCGTAAACTCATCGGCGCCGAGTTCAATTAAATCCCGAACGCGAGAAATCGCTCCAACTTTAATGCGCCGCGAAAGCAACAAAAGAACATTCAATTACACTAAAACTACCCCCAGCTAGCTAGCCAGCCAGCGCGGTTAACCAGCCGGAAAAGTTGCGTCGCGCTTTCCCCGAAGAGTATTAAATTGCCTGCAAGTTTTACGCGCGCGCCAGCCCCCTGCAGAATTAATGCCGGCGTGAATAATTAACCGAAACACTCGAGACGTGTTCGCATGCCTCGCGCCTCCACCACCAGCGAAACGATTAATATTTTGCGCTGTTTTTGTGTCGCGCGCGCTCGGCAAACTTTTCGCCTCCCCGAAGAATCGTTTTTGCACGCGAAATTACGCCGGGGTATTTAATACAACACTTGGTCAGGAAGCGGGCGCGCGCGCTCAAGAAGACTGCCAAGAATAACTTGTTGAATTGCGAAAGCCCCGCCGCCTGCTGCGATATGTAGTATAGTCTTTACCGCGCAGCAGGCAGGCGAGAAAAAAAAAACATATTCAACTTTTTAATTGAGCAGCGCACACGTGACGCGCGATAAAATCGAACGAGTGAATGAACCGAACGAGCGTGAAACGGGTTTTTATTCGAATAGAAATTGCAGGCATGCGAAGTTAAAAACGTGTGTTGTTTGCGAGCTAAACGTGTAATTATTTTAATGAAATTATGTTGGCGCGATTTTATCGACGGCGTATTATATTGTTAGTCACGTAGTGTTCTAGCGGGGATAGAGGAGAGAAAAAGGATGATTGCCCGGCGCAAGTAAATTAAACCCGGAGAGTTTAAACCGACGGATTGGTGGATGCGCCGCCCGAAAGTAGACTTTGCCTTTAATGAATCCACGATTTTCGAGAATCCGAGATTAACTGCCTAGTGCCGATCCTAGAAGCGGCGGAGACATGATGCAGGCCGGCAGCACGCGCTCGCCGCGAGTGAACCGATCAATAATTTAGCGAAAGATGATGATAATCCTCTTTCGGCTGGAGTTTCGAAATTCCGGAAGTTCGCCGAAAATCCTTCACAATTCGAAGCGCTTGACTCTCGAGCGCCCGGGATCATCCAATCAACAACTCGCCGAGTGGCACGGATGTTGCCTAACATGCATAAATATTGCCCAACTTTCGCGTATCTAACCTCACTTGCATGCTAGCATGTGAAAGTGACAAGGATCGCTCCGCAAAGCACTCGTGTTCACGGCTGCTAACTTCTACATTAGCCGAACCTAACCTAAAATTCACATAACCTCACTTCTATCACGTATGATTTTTCGACATTAGCCGAACCTAACCTAAAATTCTCATAACCTCATTTCTATCGAGTATGATTCTTCTACATTAGCCGAACCTAACCTAAAATTCTCATAACCTCACTTCTATCGCGTCTGATTCTTCTACATTAGCCGAACCTAACCTAAAATTCACATAACCTCACTTCTATCGCGTTTGATTCTTCTACATTAGCCGAACATAACCTTAAATTCTCATAACCTCACTTCTATCGCGTATGATTTTTCTACATTAGCCGAACCTAACCTAAAATTCACATAACCTCACTTCTATCGCGTCTGAGTCTTCTACATTAGCCAAACCTAACCTAAAATCCTCATAACCTCACTTCTATCCTATCGTATGAGTATACGAAAGTGGCGTGTGCCGAAAAAGTGACCCACACACGCTATTGTCGGCACAGCGCATTAAACTAAATTGACTCGATTAAACGCGGGCACGCCGAGACGACCCGACGCCCGCCGGGGCGCAGCCGGCCCCGTGCATTTGACATCGAGGTGGATTAATATATCAATGTACGTATTGCATGCACATGACGGAAGCGGGTCGTGTAAATGCGTACCACGTGAAGCGGCGCAACGCTTGGACAATTACCGCCGGCGTCGCCGCCCCCCTATGCGCGGCCCACTTTCGGCCGCAAGGAAGCATTGTTTACGAATGTTGTTTTCCACGAATGCGCATTCATCATCGAAAATGCTGCTAGGTGGGTGTACGCTGCTGGCTTTTTTTGCCGCCTCACCGCGCAAAATTGCGCAGTTTGCAGGCATTCTTCCCCGGCTGCAAATTGGCGCAACTTTCCGGATGCAAATTTTTAATTTTTTACTTTTTTGCTTGCAAAACTACGTTAATTATAACTATTTCATTGAAATTATTTCAATCTCTCTGCCATTGAGAAAGTTTCCGGATATCTACGCGATACAATCAAGCATGACGATTTAATTAATCGCATTGTTTGATTGTTTGCGAGTGTATCGAAAGTTTCGAAAGGGTCACACGACGCGCACATGAATTTATTTGGTCGATAGCGCGCGCGCGATTCGCGCCGGCAAACAAACCCACATCCCGGCGCCTCCACCCGCAGCAACTCGCACACAACTCGTGGTGTGCTCTCCTTCAATTTCTAATTGTTATTTGTCGACTTGTTTGCTTGTTATTTTCGTGTGTGCGGGGCGCGCACGAAATTGTCGCACGACGGCGGCGCGCGCACCGGTTCATTGCCTCTCGACGACGACGACGACGAAAAAAAAAGCACACGAAAAAATAATAATAATATTCTAATGAGAAAATAGCCATTTCGCATGTGCGAGGCGAACGCACCGCCGCCTCCACTGTGAGATTATGGAAAAAGATTGCGGCGAGGGCCGAAAAAGTTCAGTTCAATAACTCGGGCGAGAAAATTAGAGAATAACTTGGATAATTTGCAAAAGTACCGCATAATTTTTTCTCTGGGGGGTGGCAGTGGCACGATTAATTTTCGGCGAGTATCGATGCAACAAGGAAAACGAAAACAGATTGTGATAATCGATAGGAAAGTTTTGTTTGAAACAAGTTGAGCGTTTTACCTCGGATGACACTGGCGGCGTGTGCGATGATCACCAGCAGGCCTGCTGGTGATGATGGAGACGCATCTCGACCGCCACTCACCACCACCGCACGTGCAGCACACCACCGCGCGCTGGCCACCTTCCTCTCGCAGCACTACGCGCGTGTTCCTCCTCGCCGTTGCCGCCTCCGCCTTCGCGTGGTCCGGTCGGGTGTGTGGTCTCGGCGGGCGGGGGCGGCGGTGCGCGCTAATTGTTTATCTCTCCGGAATACGCGCGCGAATTCTTCCTCGGTCGCCTTTCGCGCACACCGACACTTGGTACCCGTTTGTGTTCTTCGTGTGTTGATTTGAATTTTCCTGCGTGCACTGCGTGTCCCTTTCGCAATTCGCGCGCGCGTCTGTGTATAATATATGTATAGAAGAGAAAAATGAAAAAATTCGGGCCGTGACCGAACTGCCAGCCGACAGGATGGTGAGACTGACGGTTCGGGTCGGTTTGGGAGCCGCTCTCGGCGGCACACACCGAACACGCCGCGGTGGTGGTGGGGGGGGGGGCCCGGCGGGGCACGGTCGTGCCGCCGCCGTCGGGGCGTGCGCCGTGCGTCCCCGAAGAGCGAGGAAGCCGAAGCGCGGCATCTAACCGCCTCGGACTTCCCAAAAAAGTCGATAACGCGGCTGATACGCGCGGCGGCGGGCGGCCCACCTTCATGACCAATTTCTTACGGCCCCCCAAACGGCCCATGAGCGCCATCTACAGCGCGCGCCGAAGGACGCGTCTCGTGTTGCCCATCCAATTAAAGGTAATTTAATCCGTGAAAACGGACGCGCGTGTATGTTGACTCAGGGACAACGCAAGTATTTATCATTTTAATGCGCTGTTTGACACTCATTACACTATTGATCAAACAAACAAACACGCAAATCGCTGTGGTGAATCAAGTAACCAATATTTTCAAACACTTGACTGCGCATGCGCAGCACTCTTTTTCGAATCAACATGGTGAAGTGAATTAAAAACTCGTCGTGTACGAAGTCAATTAAAATTGAATTATTGTGCTTGGCAAGTTTCCAATCGCGTTGTCTTCGTTTCAGTTTCCACGCACTTGCGCGCACCTACGCCGCTGCATCGATGACGAGAGAAAGTGAACCGACCCGACCGGACAGCAGGCGGCAGTCGAAGTAGTGTAGTGGCGTGTTTCGCTCGAGTGCGAGCAGTGCGAGTGCGGCGGAGTGCGCGCTGGAACTCGTTCAAGCGTCGCGAACGCAAAGCGTCCAGAGACAGTGTCCTGCGTGTCCCTGCAGCCGCTGCCAGCAGCATCACCCGCATCGTGTAAGAATCTCATTTTACTTTCCACTACTCAGTATTCCGTACAGATTGCATGCACATTTGCCGACTCAGCAGGAATTACAATCAAAACATTTGTGACTCATGCACGCTGATGCCATATGCGAATGCAAACAACGGTTATCAATGTTTGGCGTGTTTTTCAGTATAAGTATCACAAATCCGCATAAGATTCATGCATGTTTTTGTTGGTTTTGTGAAATATATTGCGATGTTGGTTTCTGATCGATTCCTGCGGCGTTTGTTTGTTTTTCGTTGTTTTTATCGACGACATAACCTCGACGCGCGACACTGCAAGTCTTTGCATCGCATCTGTTGCGTTTTCTGTGGATGATTCGATGATTTTCGGGCGTATTAACAAGAAAATTAATTCAGTGTGTTTGGTTTTAGAAAAATGTCGGTTAACGAGGCTGTCTACCAGCCGACGACAGTCACCTACGAGTCGGAGCATGAACACCACCCGCCCCAGCAGAGATGGTCGCATAGACCCATCAGTTATATCGCAGCGACTGTTTCGCAGGCTGCTCGGCGTCCCTGCGGCATCTCCTGCGTGCCTTTACGCAGTGTACTTCCCACTGTATATCTCACATCAGCAATTGCTTCATTCACAATTGGGTAATGATCAAATTTTTGATATTAAATGTGATTTACTTATAAATATTTTGTTTTTAGATTAACTATGTTCATGCAAGGATTAATCGGTTATATTGATATGCCGCCTGCAGCCTCTGAGACATTCTACCTCTCAATGGCAATCATCGGTGCTTTGGTATTCGGCGTCGGGTTTGTTTTCGTGGTGCTGTTCTTGCGCATGAATCGCAACTGGTGTTATCGCGCTGGAAAGGATCATCTGGACGGAGGTGGCGCACAAGCGCTCACCGTGAATCCATCAACGGATCTGCTGGTCGCCGCGCAGTATGCTCCTGTCTCTGAAGTTACTTATCAGCCGCCCAATGAAGAAAGCGAACAGAGCAAACTCATGCCGCAGGAAAATAAAGACATCACGTGCGTTTTTTTGCTGAAAATTTGTCATTTTTAAGGTTATGATTAAATTTTATTGTTTTTTTTTTCTTTTTCAGCGATGAAACAGATCGTATGTTGGAGACTGACCCGCGCATTGTCCTGCGCCCACTGCATCAGCAAAACATGCACGAGGAGACATAACTCCTCGCTTCGCATATTTATTTTTGCATATTTATACTTCACCTTAGTCCGTAAATTGTTTGTGTTCGAAATTACCATTTTGCGATCATTGCTTTGCTGGACGACTCTGATAGGATGCGGGTAAGTAAAACTTCAACAAAACCCAAAAAAAATGAACGGAAACATTTCACAAACATGCGACAGCTTTAATTAGTAGGGACGTGCTTTCTCTGGGTAGCGCTCGTCGATAAAAAAAATGGCACTAAATTATTTGTACGGAACATCACGCGCGCGCGTAGTACAACCAACACGGCAAACAAAAGACATGTATTTTTTATATGGCACTTACTAAATATGTACTTAAGTCGATTTGATCTTGGATGTTAATGTGATACGGGTGGACTCGAATGCTGGAATTGTAGAAAAGATGGCGGCGCAGGAATCTCAAACGCATGCGCATTTTGGAGCATATGCTCTTCGCCACGTATTTTTGTAAAATTTCCACTTGCAATTCGCGTATACATTTTGTACGCGACTTGTGCGGCGTCTATATTTTTTTAATTTGATATCTACAACATGTATTTGCTATTATTTTTTTTGATGTTAAGTATCAGGTTTACTTACTGCACTGAGATTTTCTAATAAATATCAAGTTTAAAATGAATCCGCACGCTAAATATCATTAAAACGCGCATTTATTTATACAAAAGTAATAAAAAAAATAAACAATATTCTTTGTAAAGGTAAAATAACCTGAAATTCTCAAAAAATACTTGTAGAAAAAAGTAAATGTCAGTCATTTAGAAGCCATCACTGTAGCGTGATCGTGGAGGTCGTGCAGTACCCTCCATACGACGCCGCTCCATGTATCTCTCATGCTTCACAACATATCTGTGTAACTCAGCAGGAATAATCTGCTCAGCCTTCTCCAGTATTTTAATCAGCGCCTTTGCGTGTTTGCTGTCTTTGAAGCACATGAACGTCACGGATTTACCGGTCTTGCCAGCCCTGCCTGTGCGTCCAATACGATGCACGTATTCTTCAATATCACGTGGGAAATCCAGATTGATCACATGCGTCAAATCGGGGATATCAATCCCGCGCGAGGCGACATCCGTCGCGATCAGGTACTGCGTCTCGCCGTTCTTGATCACTTCAAGCGCGAGCTCGCGATCGGATTGGTCCATATCCCCGCGTAAGCAATATGCGAACACATCGTTCATTGCCAGTTCGGTGGAAATGTAAGTGGCACGTGCTTTAGTTGAGCAGAACACCACCACCTTTAAATTGGGCTGGTTCTTGTGACATCTAGCAAAGTCCAAGAGCAGCACTAGTTTTTCTTCCGCGTCGTCATCATTCAGGAAGACAAACGACTGCGCGATGGTTGCGACGGCTGTCAGGTCCAATGTGCCGACGATTACCTGCAGAGGGTTCTTCATGTAACTGTTGGCGAGTCTGCGTACGCCATCCGGCCATGTTGCGCTCGTCATTATGGTCTGACGATCCGGACGGATTTTATACATGGTGCGGCGGATGACTGCTTCAAAACCAGCGTCCAGCATGCGATCAGCTTCGTCGAGAACAACGTAAGTTACAGAGGTAATATCAATATGGCCGGCTGTGACGAGATCATCCAGTCTTCCTGGTGTGGCAATGATAATGTTACAACCTTGTTTGATTTGTCGGATTTGATCGTTGCGATCAGCGCCACCATAAACCACAACCCTACAAAAAAAAAAGAAAAAAAAACATTAATATGAATTATTTTATGTGTTTTTTTTAAATTTTACTTACGAATTGATGTTGCAACACTTAAATTTCAACACCTCTTCATTAATCTGCAGAGCTAATTCTCTAGTCGGTGCCATGATGAGGATACTCGCCCCAGGGACTCTTCTCTGTCGTGGTTGGCTCATGAGATGCGCATAAGCAGGAAGTAGGAAGGCAAGAGTCTTCCCCGAGCCGGTTTGTGCAACGCCAATGATGTCGTGTCCTTTGAGAATCAACGGCCATGCTTGCGCTTGAATCGGCGAAGGTTTTGAAGAAGCCGGTGTTCAATAGCAGCTGGCGAATGTCAGGCCAATTGATGAAGGCGTATTCAAAAGCGGGGATTGGGTTCAGGAAGACTACTTCTTCAGCAGGCTCAGGGGCACCTGGCGGTATCTGAACAGTGATCCCGTTGTTTTCTTCACGAAACTTTTCGACTTCATGCGGAGTCATATTCGCCACAGCAGGGTGTTCTTTGTATAAATCTTTGGTGATTGGTGGGTATTTCGCCCATTTTTCAGCTGCGACTCTGTCGCTTTCGGCTAACATTGCTTTGTAGTCGACTTTAGACCATTCCTCGGCTGCTTTGATGCGCTGATCCTCTATCCACTTGCGAGCCGCTTCTCCTTCGAGGATAAGCAGCGGCTCAGCGGGTGTTTGCGGTTTTTTTGTGTTTGCATTGTGGTTGTTATATCTTGGGCGTGCTCCACCTCTACCTCCGCCAAAGCCTCTAGCGCCACTATTGGCACCTCCACCTTTTTCTCTCCAGTTGTAATCTCTTCTCTTGGTCCAGCCAGAAGTGTCTGATTTGTTGATGGACATCTTTTTGACACTACTAGCCAGGTTCCAACCGTCATCATCAGCTTCATCTGTGGTGTTGTCTGCATTGGCACTGCTGCCATTTTGGGCCACAGCTGCAAATTGAGCTTTCATCTGTTCCTCAAACTGGATGGCATCATCCCAGTTGTTGTCCTCACACCATCCATCATCATTGTCTATGTGATACAGACAAAATAATGTAACTAATGCGCTATATTCTACACAAGTCTTACCTTTCTCAGGCTGTTTTGGTGCATTTCCATGCGGTTGTGCTTGGTATGCCATTGGAAATCTTATTTATCTGAATCTAAATATTTCGCGTGCTGTTTTTTGTTGCAATTATTAATTGGCAAACAGTCAAGTGTTGTCAGTTGTGTTGTCAGATGGACAGATCAACTTTTATTTCGCGAATGCTGTAAAATTTCTAATGAATAGCTAAAATGTGCCGCAATTCGCGATTTACCACCTTCAACGCGTGCAGTTTTTCTTGAACTGTACTTTTCGTTCACTTTCTAGGGTTAGAATCGTCTCGCTAACAAAATATTATTAAATTCTTTTCAAATCAGAATTACTGTTGGTATAAATTGTGATAAGAATTAGTTTTGTTGTAATCTTGTTTCATTAACGGAAATTTTGACGTTATCATTGAGTGTGATTTAAATTTGAAGCTTATTTGTGGACTGCAGCGCCACGAGTGATTTCCGGTGTGATTTTGTGAACTAAATTCAAAGTTTCATGCGACTACAGCGCCAGAGGCGGTCGGGCCTTGTTATTTGCGAACTACGCCGCCATTCCTTTTTGAGTTTTCATCACGTCCAGTTCGCTTTTGACTCTTGTAACATAATTACATTTCCAAATTAAAATAGAATAGTCTAATTAGTTTACCAACAAGACTCATCGTGCTTACTATCTCATGATCGTGCTGTATGTGTTCTGATATGAGCGGTAAGTTATTTATTCGTTTTTTATGCGCATTTAAAAGATGCCGTAATGGCTTTGCTTTTGAGCTTTGGTTTGAGCTTTGAGAAAGTAATAGTCATTCTCTAACTAACATTTTGCATATCTAGTTTATTTATAAATGTACAGAACAAGTAATAATGTAGAACTAGAGTTTCTTGACATTGAAATATTTGCTGCGGTTTTGAGTTTCTGCTCGCGACTGCAGCGCCACCATGGGGTGATGTTTATTTTTTATGAACTAAAATGCTAGTTCTTGTGTACACTCCTGCTAGCAACTGCAGCACCAGTGGCTGTGTTGTATTCATTTTTTGCGAAGTACACCGCCATACGCTCATAAGCGCTCTCCACGATCAGATAACTTTCGACTTCAACTTCTTTACATTCAAACGTGAAAACAAGCATAGTTAATTATTTTGCTAGCAATATTCAGCTTGTTTTCCTTTTTTAAGTAAGCAGTACGTGTTCTGATGAAAGGGGTGAGTAAATCTCATTCAAAGATTGTTTTCGTTATAAATTCATAAACAAACCACGCAAAGTAGCATTTTGAAGGTATAGCTTCTTCGAAATGTACAGAACGCGTGCTAATGTAGACTGGGTAATTTAAACTTATTTTTCTGGTATTAAAAACTTTCATATTGTGTTTCAATTCCTGCTGGCGACTGCAGCGCCACCACGACCTGACGCTCATATTTTGCGAACTAAGTGACCAGTTGCTTTTGTGCGCGGTTCGCGGGTCGCTCTCTTTCGGTTATTTTTCTGTGTATTTTGATCTGTTGTCAATTCTCAAGTGTTGTGTTAAACTAATTAGGTACTAAATGCACCCTCGACTCAATTAATAGGTGAAACATTCAATATTTGCACCTGCATTAAAAAACGATCTAATTTAACCTCTCATTTGAATTTCAGACTATTCTCAAAGGACAACATGTTTGTTTTAGTGGATGTAGCGACTAGTAAGCAATAACATTTTGTCTTTAAGTATATTATTTACTGATTTATTTTTGTATGTAAAGATTCGCAGTTTGGATTGCGGGAAGATGTGCCTCTTTACATAGGGGAAAGAAAAAATGCTGCTACCAGTCATTTGTTCTGCAACCACACAGAGTGTATAAAATGCGCCAAAGTTGTTGTGAAGGTAAGAAACCTCCAATTTTGCCGTTTATTACTGATGAAAATGCTCTTTTTCTACAGAATAGCAATGCTTACATAACAGACATGGGCTCAAGGCATCGCACTTCTGTTATCGGCGTGGTATTGCCGCCCCTGGAAGAAAAACAGCTCATTCCAGGCAATTCGTTCTGCATTGGTAAAAACCGCGACAGATTACTGTAAGTATAAACCACATTTCTATACTTTTATATACTTATTCATGTCTTGTTTAGACTGCAGTACATCAGTCTCACAGTCACCTGCTCGGGTTTTGGCATAGGAGGCAGCCGCTCCCTGGAGGAATTGCTAGGTAAACAAGGCGCCAGAGTAGTGAAGGACTGGGGACCGGACGTGACGCACGTTCTCGCCACCGGAGACATTCTCACCAAGAAAGTGGTTTGCGGTTTGATCGCGCAGCAGTTTGTCGTGGGCCCGGAATTCTTCCATACTCGCTGGAGGCCATCACCGAAGGTGAGCCGCTGCCGGATGCTGACAAGTACAAAGTGCGCAATTACGGCTATCAATGTCCACTGCAAGTTAACCATTCATGTGATCGCAAGCGTCTGTTCGCCAACAAGATCGCCATCTTTGATGATTCCGCCCTAAAGAGAAGTTATGGGGATATCATAGAGATGTGCGGTGGCGAGGTTAGGACTCTGGATGATGGCGATATAATCGCAGAGGTAATATATTATACAACACAACAAAAATACATTTAATTATAATGTTTATTTGTAATATTTTAGGATTTCCGAGGCGAGCGTGACATAATGGTTTTCGTCACTGGCGGGCTTGTCAAATCCGGGCGCAAGCGCAGACTGATGGAGATTGTCAAGTCCCTCGGACGACGCTGCATCCCAGTGCAGGAGATAGCCACGGCCGTGTTGAGTGGCAACACTGAGTTCTTCTGCAACAGCAAACATCTTATGATGGATACACTTCGCAATGCTCAAAAACTCACCTCGATGGGGGATGAATTGGTAGATGATACTCAGAGCACGACTGGCTCGCAATCGCGCAAGCGCAGAAACCCATCGACTGCTGGTTCGAGCATGTACACAGAGAATCCGATTCCGTCAAGTACTAGTGCCGGCGTTCGTGTACAACCATCACAACCGCCTGAGCCACTGCCACAATGGGCTAAAGATATGCTAGGCATAAGAGATCCAGGTGATCCTGAACCGGAACCTAAACCAAGCACAAGCACACAAAGCCCGGTTACACGCCTAAAAGGCCTCAAGCGTCGACGAGCCTCCGGTGACACTGAAACGCCTCCAACTGCTTTGCTAAAAAGCTTGAGTGTCGAACCGGAAAAGCCGCAACCCGCACCACCGACACCTCCGCCATTACCCGAGTTGCCGCTGTCATCCACAAACCTGAAATTAAAGCAAAGCGCTAAAGGTTGCAAACATCCTCAGCCACGACAAGCGAAAACTTCCGAAGACTCAAAGGAGAACATACCGTTTGCATCTACGCATCCATTTTCGCATAACCAACAACAGTAAATCATCATCATCATTGTTGACATGCGCAGATGTTTGATTACATTGTGAGATTTCTTTAAAGATTGCACACCTCTTCTCCAGGCACAAAACTGACGCTGAAACGCAAGAACAAGGTGGACGATGGTAGCACAAGTGTCCAAAAGCGGCCGAATCTGGCTGCGACCATACCGTCGTTTCCTGCTGCCCCGGAACCGAGTAAGCCAAGCATCCACGAGATTCAATCACCATCGAAGCCGTGCGATGGGACAAAGCAAAAAAAGTTCCGAAAGGTAAGTGGAAACTTTCAATATTTCAGGGAAATATTTTCTGTTTTTCGTTTTTTTCTTCTTCCACAGCAAAATTTGGTTAAAACAATGATACCAAAGGTTACTATGCGTCGCGTCGTTACAAATTCAAACTCTGGTTAAATAAAAATGGTTACATTCGCTGTGGTTTCGAAACAAATCGAAAATTTTCCAAAAAAAAAAAAAGCATGTAATACGAAACAGTCGAATGTAAAATTAAACGTTATTAATGGCATAAGTTTATTTCTGTGTTTTCATTTTAATATTTGTTTCTGTTTCTTCGTATCACACACGTTATTAAACTACAATAACATTTTTCATCGCTAGTGAGAATTATTTACAATCGCTTTTTTTCACCTAGCATATAACAATGAGAGTGCATTACCCTGCGCGTTTCTACAAAATGATTATTAACTGTGGTGAACATTGCTTCTGAACAGACTTAAAAGTAAAACGATAGAATAGCCGCGTGGAAGTACGAGTACAGTATGTGATTAATAAGAATTATTGAATGATTAATCGCCGTTAGTACAAGTTTGATTGCTTGCGAGAAGAAGGGAATTAAAAGCGCACTTCGTGAACATCTAAGAGAAAATAAATATGTATCAATTCGATGACAAACGTAGGAAACTTAAAACGTAAATTAAAACATTGTGTATATATGTCGCTAAAATATCGGCAAACTCTATGCTAAGAAGGACACTCGACGGCCTAGGCCTATGGCGTTAGTGACTACGATAAAACCGCATTAATATAATCCGGTGGTGGATGATTGGGGAGGAGGATTGGTGTTTCGTTTGTGGAGCGCCGCTAGGACAGCGCGCACGAATCTCAGGAGGACGGCGGGGCGCCGCGTCGGGCAGATCGAGCACGGTGGCGACGAAACCGATCACGTCGGCGGTGCGTTCGCGGTGCAGCGCGCAGAATGGATGCTCCAGCAGTTGCTCGTAGTTGCAGCGCTGGACGACGCTCTTCTGCAGGCAGGCGGCGATGAACGACTCGAATTCGGCGGTGAATTGCCCTGGCGGTAGACGCGGCGGGTCGTCTTTGACGACCTGCTTCAGCTGCTCGAATGGTGTGCCCCACATTGGGTACGGAAAGCGACCAGTGGCGAGTTCAATCAGCGAAATGCCCAGACTCCAGACATCCGAGCGGATATCGTACGTTGATGGATCACCAGTCGGATCAATTCTCTCCGGCTAAGAGAAAAAATAAAAATAAACATGTAAGTTGGTTTTTTTTAACTTTTAAAATTGTTAGTTGTGTGTACCGCCATGTATGGTTTACAGCCAGCGTCGATTGTCTTCGCTACAGAGTCGACAAGATATCCACTGATGCCAAAGTCGCACATTTTGACCTCACCGCGTCGATTGATCAAGATATTCGACGGTTTGACATCGCGATGGATCACCTGCAGATTGGTGTGGAGGTAATGCAGCGCGCAGACGACCGCAAGCGTGATTTTACCCAAAATATCCTCTGGTATCCTCAGTCCGTGATTGTACACTTTCTGATAAAATTTATCCAGGCTAGTATCCATTACCTAAGAATAAGAAATAAGACAGTTTTATAATGTTTAAATTTATGGTGATGCTACATGCATGAGAAATATTGTGATGAGTGAAAGTGCATGCATTAAATCTCTCAGGGTTTGTTATCAAAATGACATAACCTATGTGTTATCAATCAATTGTTTGCAAACCTCCATGCACATCCAAACGTCGCCCTCGCGAAATAGAGCGCCATAGAATTGCACGGTGTACGGGCAGTCGCTGCTCCGCATATTGATGTCCAGATCCATCAGCAGACGTTTCTGTTCCTGAGTGTTAACGGTGGCGGCGATGCGCTTCACCGCCATGATTGTCCCGCTGGGAATGTGGCGCATCTTCTCGACGATGCCGTACGCGCCGCGCCCCAGGTCGCTGATCTTCACCAGCTCATCGGCGTCCACGACGAATTTGTCCGAGTTGATGGTGATGGTGGTGCGCGTGTCGAGATTCGCCGGCGGTTCGCTAAAAAACGTAAACATGTGTTGTCAGTAAGGAGCGCTTGTTCGCAGGGGCGGCGGCGGCACTTACAGCTGGGCGACGGGCTCCGGTGCCAGTTGGAATTTCAAATTGGGATTCTTGCTTTTGCGCTGCATGGCGTGGCCGGCGCATGTGAAAATTACGTAAAGGGGGCGGCGTGCCGGGGAGTCTCGAAGGCGGCACCAGGTTGGCTCGGCGGCATAGGTTAAAAACGGCTGCGGCTGCTGTCACTGACGGCGCATCCCGCGGTTCAGCCAGTTTCGACGATTCGACACCACCGACACTCCGACCTCGAGCGCAATCTGGCCCGATAGCTGCGAGAGGCGAGAACCTGACTTGATATATATATATAGCGCCGCCGAGATACGATCTCGAGTTGCGCCGCGAAAATGATGCTCATATGAGCTGCGCACGCTCCAGACGGAAAGCGCAGCATGTGCTGCCCACTTCGACCGCTTGAGGGCGCTGCTTCTGGTTACATTGGTTCGTGTTACAACCGTAAGCGTAAAGCGTTATTAATTTGTGGATTTGATAGAAATTATTGTTGTTTTATTAGTTGATTGTTAACTTCAAAGCGGGGAATTATTATTTTGTAGTTGCGGGATGAATTGGAGCGCAGTTTTAGTTTGACGGTGGCGACCGAAGATGCGCGCAACGTCAAAAATGCGTCAATAGCAAAGGCGCACACGGCGCACGCAAGTGTAGTACAACGGTGTCGCTGCGATCGTCATTTGTTGTTTGCTTTGGTCGGGGCATAGCGTAAGAGGTACAGTGTACGGCGTACGGCGGAGGAGAAAAAAAGCAAGAAAATGTCAGCGGCTGCAGCGGCGGTGGCTTCAGCTGCAGTGTGAACCCTCGCGCAGGAATCGGTCGTGGTGTGCGTGAAGGAATTGGGTGCGTCTGGTGGGCCAGCACGTCGTCGATCGCCCGGTTGCTGGTCGCTGGTCGCGCTTGTTGGCGGCGCGGCCGCGCTGTGTGTGAGTGCGCCCGCGCGCCCGCTGCGGCTGCGGCGGTGGTGCGTGCCCGCCGAGGCGTTTGATGAACGTGTGCTGCGAATCGCGCCGCGAGCACTCATCGCCGACGACCTGACTTGACTCACGAGCTTCAGCCCGATATCGATTCGGCTGCAGCAATTATGTGTGCGACGACGAACTTCGCGTACAACTGGCAGCTGGACCCGCAGAACGCCGCCGAGGACCTGCACAACTACTCCATCCAGAGCGTGCTCGACCCGCAGAAGGTGAAGATCCGCAAGCCGATGTTCTTCATGAAGCCGGAGATGGGGCCGGGCGAGAAGCTGGAGAAGCACCTCATCTCGCCCTACGCCACCGTACAGCTGACGCCCGAGGAGTACAATCAGATTATCTCGAAGCGGCACGAGGTGCCCGTGAAGCCCGAGGGCCAGCCGGAGGAGCCCAGCCCGAAGATGCGCCCGTTTGCCTGCCATGAGTGCGGCAAGACCTTCCTCCTCAAGCACCACCTCACCACGCACGAGAAGACCCACTCGGGCATCAAGCCGCACTCGTGCCACCACTGCGGCAAGGCCTTCACCCACAAGCACTGCTTGAACACACACCTGCTGCTGCATTCCAGCCAGCGGCCCTACCAGTGCGTCGAGTGCAAGAAGAGCTTCACGCTCAAGCATCACCTCATCACACACACGCGGGTAAGCCTATTATTATCTGGATGTTTGTTTACATCCGATGCCGGCGACTACAATGCTTGGTTTTTTCCACTGCTAGGTGCATAACCGCGAGCGGCCATTCGTGTGCAAGGACTGCGGCAGGACGTTCCCGCTGAAGCGGCATCTCGTCACCCACAGTAAGTTCCACGCCGGCGAGCGGCCGCACATATGCACCGAATGCGGCGAGAGTTTTGCCCAAAGGACCATTTGGTATGTTTACAAGCCATACGCAACCATACACAACGCCGGAACTGGTTATAACCGTTTGTTGCAGGTGATGCACTCGCGATTCCACGGTGCGATCAACTCCTTTATCTGTCACGACTGTGGGGCGGCTTTCACGCGCAAATTCGAGCTGGTGAACCACAATCGGCTGCATGGGAAGAATCCGCATTCGTGTCCCATCTGCCACAAGGAGTTTTACAGAAAAGGACCTTAATTACGCATATGCGGTAAGTGCGCGCATGATTTCCACGCTCAGCGCTGATCTGCAGCTATGTCAGGAATAAACTCTCTCAAAAGTCACTGGTAGCATTGGTCATGCATGATTCATTTTGGTATCAAGTTTTCTTATCAAGCGTAACTCGAGTGTGAGTGCTGAGGAGTTGTTAAGATGGCGATATGCGTGCGATCCGACTGGACGTCTGAGTTGTTCTGATTGGCGTTGTTCAACAGGTATCACAGCGGCGAGTTTAACTACTCGTGCACCACATGCGGCGAGACGTTCCAATCGAAGCCGGAGCTGACGATGCACACGAAGATGCACCACACGGAGAACGAGAGCAAGCCGCTGTCGTGTTCGGAGTGCGCGCTCACGTTCAACTCGCCGGAGGCGCTCGCATTGCACATTAAACTGCATAGCGGCGACTCGCTGCTGGTGAACGATCTCTGCACGCTCACCGCCAGCCTGCATCACCCGTCCTTCCCGATGGGCCACCCGGGCGCGAATTACTCGCAGTACAAGCACGTGGTGAATTACCAGGCGGGCGGTACAGCGGCAGGCGCAGGCACCGCTCCCAACACACCCAACACCAGCGGCAATCAGAAAGGCGCCAATGCGCAGAAGATCAAGCCGCACGTGTGCAAGGTGTGCTCGAAGGCATTCAGCGCCAAGCACGGCCTCCATCAACACACCAAGCGCCATCCGGAGGGCACGTGCGCACTCAAATCGCACATCTGCGACCTGTGCAACAAGGGCTTTTTACCAGAAGAACCACCTCATCCTGCACCAGCGTCAACATTTCGACCCCAAGCGTAACGGACAAGCTGCAGCGGCGCAACAGCAGCAACAACAACAACAAGCCCAACAACAGCAGCAGCAGCAGCAACAACCGCTGCAACAACAACAACAGCAGCAGCAGCAACAGCAACAACAACCGCTGCAGCAACAGCAGCAGGTGGTGGTTCAGCAGCAGCAACCGCAGACCGTGTCCGTGCCGGTCGTGGTCGCGCAGCAACAGAAACCCGACGATAAGAACGACTTGGGACTGATTAAGCATGAGGTCGCACAACCCGACTGCACCCTCTCGGAGTTTTCGTAATTGACTAGAGATGTATTTAATCAAGGGTTACATGATCAGGGCGGCGAGTAGCATGCGGATGAATACAATACCATTATAACTATAATAATTAATACAAGTAACAATATAATTAACAGTACCATAAGTAAACGCGCACGCGGTTACACTAAGCGCTAGCGTTGTATAGAAAACCATGGTGAAGTGAAGAGATTTTTCCTTCATTTCCACACACACACACTAAGTAACAAAATGCATGCACGCATCAACAAAACGAAAACGATGATGGAGATCAATACAGATTAGGAACTGTTTAATTTATATATGACTAACATATGTATACCCAGGAGAGGCACAGGTACACACACACACACACGCAGCGAGCGAAAACAAATTGCTAGCATAGTGCAGATATTGATTGATTCGTACGGAAATCATCGCTAGAAACACTTTCGTATTGATAATATACGACGAAATGAAAACAAGTAACACACAAACATATAAATAATTAATCATACGAGATACGTTTTATGATTTACTGTGATTCGCTTTAGTAGTTAAAGAAAAAAAGTAGGTGTTATGATAATGACTCTCTTCGTAAGCGCACCAATCACTACCTAGAGCGGTATGATTTGTTTATCGACGTGGGGATTATTCATCAATGCAATCAAAATGTTTTTTCACTCGTGAACAAACCGATGACCGATAGTAGGATAGTAACACACTAATAAACTAACACACTCGCAGACGGATGGGATGCGATTTGAAGAAAAAAAATGCGGAAAAATTGTAACAAGTGTCGCGGTTCATCGCACATATGAACACACACAACACACACACACACGCATGAGATAAATGTTTTAGATAATACCATTATATATGCACTAGCGTTTAAAACTACGATTATCTGAGTATGATTTTCGGCGTTAATAATTTAAGTTTAGGCGTTTAGCTCTTGCTTGATTTCCAGATGATGATGACAGGCGAGCTGTGCACACAAATGAATTAATTGTATATGTTTTTTGATCGAGGCAGCAGCGAACAGGCGACGTTTGATTAGTACAAAATGATGAAAAAATCACTGGAATGCTGTGTGAAATTGTACACAATTAATTTCGCGACAAGAAAAAAAGAATGGCGCTTTTGGGGTGTGCGCATCGAGTGCGCGCACAATGGACGACGGCGGCGCACACTCGATGCGCTTTTGAGTTATTTCCGGCGCGGTGCCAATGTTGATTTAATTATAAATGTTTAATTCCTAATTTTTCGTTCGCGTTGGCGCGGTGCCTTCGACATCGCGCGCTCTTCTTTCCTTCTTATCGAATTGTAATCGAGACACTCGCTTGCGCAGAAACCAATTCGCACGCACCACACCAACACGTGCGCCGAACCCTAGCGATATCTAATAACTTAGCGTAACGATGCAGGCGGGCGGCATGACGGACGTGTACATAAACATATTCACACCCCCTCACACACACACAGGACACGCCTCCCGCCTCAACGCGAGGGCGTGGGGGCGGCGCTCTCTCTTTAAGTTTGCAGTCGGCGCGCGCTGCGACATGTTGATTATGATACTATGATAACCTCACAGGATGGCGTAGGCGCATAAATATTACATTGTAATGTATTGTAAGCGATATACATATACCTGCATAACATGCATAACAATAATGACTACTGTAAGGGGGCGGGACGCGGAGGCCGGGCGATGGGCAGTCGGAGCCAGGGGGGGGTTGTGGTTGTTGTTGGGCCGGAGGAGGCGCGACGCGGAGCAGCAGCGCCGCTGCGAGAACAAACAGATCGTACGATTTGTATTAAATGTAATTAATGATATGATCGATGATTACGTTGTTCGATTTACTTTTGAGTTTTTTTTTCTTTCAACACAATGATTTTTACATCTTTGATTTCTTTCTATTTTACGTTTTTATTATGTATAATTACTCGATTCAAGTACGTTATATTTTCTATTTGCTACTACATAACTATATTAATATTGATAATATGATACATTACTAATATTAATTCTAACGGTGAGGCGGCGCGGCGGGCGGCGGCTGCGACGTCGGCCCCTCGCGTTCGCGTCGTGCATACATATAATAATGATAGCATAAATGTATACACTCGACTTGTAGATTGTATACATTTCGGAAAAAAATCTTATTTTTTCTAGTAGTTTTTAGCATTCGTAGGCGATAAACAAAAAGTAATAATACTGTCATGGAAAAATCACTACATGCAAGTTTATTGAGATTAAAAAGTGCAAATGCAAGACAATCCAGGCGTGTTTCATTGCGCCGTGTTGTCCCCCATCACACCTGTAATCCTCTGCCGCTAATTGAATTTTCCTGGAAGCGGCGTGCGACTTGCGGGAATCGATTAATCGCTTGCCTTGCGCTACGCTTTTACTCTAACGTGAATCAGGCGCGATCTTCGTGGAATTCCAGGCGTCTTCTTTGATCTGCGTCATGAAAACGCCGGCAAATTGTATTTAACTCTTGGAAACCGCAAATTACGCACGTAAATAAACATTGGTTACCTTACAAGTTGTAAATTTAATGCGAAACGCGCAGTTTTATTTAATTTTTATGGAAAAACGCTCGGGAAAGTTATAATTTTGTTTTGTTAACGATGTTATTTGGTCTCAAGGATAGGATAAAATGATTTTTTGAGGTTTTTGGCTTTTGCAACCCTTAAAAAAGTCAGAAAACGCGTTTTTTTAAGCTTTAAAACAGGATATTTTTGAGAAATTGGAAATTTTTTTTTTTTTTGGGTTTATTTAATGAAATTTTTGTTGTAATTGTTGATAAACCGTGGAATTTTCAAGAATTTCATTTGCTACCCTTAGAAAAAGTGCTAAAATGCACTTTTTTAACTTAAAAGTTTAAAATTTTGCTTGATATCCGTGTTTTACAACAAAAATTTGAAAATTTTTGTGTTTTTTGAGTTAATTTAATGAAATTTTTGCTAAAATTATTGATAAAACTTAGGATTTTGAAGAATTTTACTTGCTACCCTTGAAAAAAGTGCTTAAACTCACTTTTTTTAACTTTAAAAATAGGAAAATCATTTGTTTTGTTTGTTTTAAAACAAACATTTGAAAATTCTTTTTAACTTTTAAGTTTTTTGAGTAAATGCGTTGAAATTTACTCTAATATAGAGAATACAACTTACGATTTCGAATAATATCATTTGCAACCCTTAGAAAAAGCGTTAAAACTTACTTTTTGAACTTTAAAACTGCGAATTTGAAAATCCTTTCTATCTTTTGAGTTACTTGAGTAAATTACTTGAAATTTACGCTAATATAACGGATTAAACTTGGGTTTTCCACGAATGTCATTTACGAGTTCAGGGAAAAGTATATTTATGGATATTATAAACGGTAATTTTCGTGATTCAGGGGTACGTGACAAGTGGCGCCGCTCAGCGCTGGGCCGCACAGGACACTCGCCGAGGATCGCCGCGCCGATCCTCCTCGCTCGCTGCAGCGGCGCGCCGGCGAGCGCGCAGCCTGTTGTTGACATCGACTCGGGCCGAGCGCGCACCGAGCGGCCGCGCATCGCGCCAGTCTGAGCCAGCCCGTGCGCCCGCCTGCCAGCAGCAGCAGCGACCGACCGTCAGACACCACACATCACGCATTCGCCCGCGCGCACTCGGTGCGAGAAGTCGTCGGCCCGTCGTCCGCATCAGCAGCGCATCGCCGTCGCCGTCCTAGGTCCGCGCGCGCCAGGGTGTCCTACCGCCACTGTCGCCGCCGCCCGCGCTGTCCCAGAGCCCCTCGCGTCGAAAGTGCGCGCCCCACGGAGTGCCACCGCCGAGCGCCCCAGGATAACGCCGTTTGACATCAGGACAGCGCACGAATGTTAGCCAAGGTGAGCTATTACGCGCAATTGGGTAAACAAGACTGAATTCACTAAGCGCGCTGAAAGGCGCATCGCTTTGTTCGCGAGAGCAGCCTATAACTATCCTGCTGCTGCTGGCTGGCTGGCTGCAGCGCCGTTGTGTGTTGCATGTCCGTTCGTCAACGGTGCACACAGGCCGCAGCCTGCACCGAGTATCGAGCGAAATCAAGCGCCCAGATCATTTTTGCGCGGCGGTCGCCTTCTTCTGCAATTCCTCCTCGCGCGAGAGACGCGTCCACTCCTGCATGCGAATGAATCAAAACAAACAACAACAACAACACACACACATACATACTCGCAGATTGTGTGTGTTTGTCGCATGTTCACCCATGGCATTCATCTCACTCCGCATCTCGGCCGTCGGTCGGTGAACAAAGCCGTCGCGGCGTCTTTGTTGGGCGCCCGTCTTCGCGTCGTCGCCGCCGCACCGCGTCCTGCCATTGATTGCTCCGCGCGTCTCTTTGTTATGGCAGTCAGCTGTTGTGTGTTATTTCCGTCTCCGTCACTGCGAGCGCGAGCGTGTGTGCGCCAGCCAGCAGTCGATACTTTCAATCCTGTTTGCGGTCGCAACTCTCGGGCATGTCGTGCTGCCATCGCTTAACAGCCGCGCGGCTCGATAACATTTCTACCATTGGGACGACGGCGTGCCTGCGGGCACGTCTCGTGCTGCAGCGGATTTTATTCCTGTATCCCCAGCGCTCTCGGGTTGTTTTGATGCGGAGGAGAGCAGCAGGAGCAGCACGCCGTGGACCAGCTGACTGCCGCGGCGCGCCGCCCGCCTGCTGCCCTCGCCGCGTCTCCCGCTGGAGAGAGTCTGTTGACCTCGCTGCTGGCGCGCAGACCTGCCATCGCGCTGCCTGCCCCCCCGACGACGGAGTCGGAGACTCGGAGCGGAATATAAAAACTTGTCTGCGGCGTGCTCGCATTAAACTCACAACTTTATGAATGGCCAGAAAATGGAGTCGAATGTGCGGCCATACGTGAAGAGAGTCTCTCTTCATCTTCATCTCCAAGCTTTTAATTTGTAATTGGTTTCAATTTGTTTTATGCCAAAAAAATTTGAAACCATTTTGTTTCCATCCAGTGAATTTGTGGTCTTGGATGTTTTTCCAAGCGGTTTGTTATTGTCTGCGGTGGCATATGTGAGTAGTGTATATTTTCGCGGACGCGTCGTGCATGTGTAATTTTCGCGCACAAAAGGGAGAGAAAAAAACGTCTAGACCGTAATAAAACACGGCGGTTAGACGCGAAACAAACACGTGCGAAAATTTGCGCGCGCGCGCTTGTTTGGTTTGCATCAAATATTCACATTGTGTACAATCAAAATCCCATCCGTTCACGTGTTGTGTCGAATGCAGCAGCAGCGCGCATACAACATGCGTATCCCTCTCTCGGTGCCATTAGCGTCGTTTATTAATATTGTTAATCGCTAGCTCAGCTGTTCCAGCTGGCGCCAAGCGCCGTGGTAAAATTAACCGCGGCGCGGTCGCGGCCCGCCGCTATGCAATAAGAGAAACGCGAAACAAAGAACCGCGCGGCAGGTCATTGTTTGCGTTCGCGTCCGCCCGCCGCCGCCGCAGCCGTCGTCTGCCCGGTGGCGATATTCGGGAGCGCGCTCAGGATAACGATCCGCGACATGCAACTAATTGGATTTGGCTTCGATTTTCATAAAGTGCGTCGTCGAAAAATCGTCGATCATAATTCCATTGTATTAAATTATCCACAGTTGATTTTCCGATGCATTTCCGCGCTGCCATGAATAGCCATCGGTGAGTTATTTCGGAAAATCAGATGCAATGTTGTTCGCGGCGGTTAGCTGCGTGTGAGAAATTCTATATTTCGGCGGCGCGCGGTCCTAATCCGCGCGCGTTCGTAAACAAACCGCGCGCGTCGATTTATTTTTACACCGGGCCGGATCCTGCGGACGACGCGCGCCGCGCTCTGATTGCCGACGGAAGCCAGCAGGCGGCCGCTGCGAAACCAACGCAATGCTACGCACCACAACGCACGTCTGTAATAACATTTGCCAATCAATAGAATATTATTCACTCGCTGTGAAGCGAGTGAAGCAGTACACTAGCAACTCCTGCTTGACGAACTTTCAAGATTCAATTTGCTCGAATTATTGTCATGCATGCCTTCAACACTTGCAAAGAAAGAAGATTTCGTCTGGGAACTTCGTGAATTTACAGCAATGCAACAAAAACAACGATTCCGAGACGGTAATTTCGATAAATTTAGCTTTTGAATTGTTTTGATACACAAAAAACAGTTAAAAATAAAATTTCGTGTTTTGTGCATGAAATCATCCTTCGGCGATGATTTCCCAGCTGAATGCGTACTGCGACTGAGTGAACTCCTGCGACGCTCTTTCGGCGCGCAGTTCAGCAACCTCCGGGCCCGCTGGCAAGCACCAAGCACTTGTTGCGAGGCTTCAAATTCGACGCGTTTTGCGAACAATGAGCGCGCGCGACGTACGCAGGACGCGTGTGTGTGCGGCAGAAAAATAAAGTTCAACGGTTGACATTGATAATTCGCTCCGTGAACTTGATATACTTCAAGCGCGTCCTCGCACCGACGAAAAACCAACATATTCACGCATTAATTCAACTGCCACGGCGCGAATTACGAGCGGTGAGTAGTTTTCCGTCGTGTAGAACGCTAAATTTCGGATATCGATGAAAAAAAAATAAACGATGAGTTCAATGGTTTGTTGAGTGACTCGACGAGTGTGACTATATTTAGAAAATCATGTGTGTGTGCTTTTAATTTTTTATTTCAGCGAGATTAAAATTAATTTCGCTTTTATGAAAGTACCTACATTGAATTCTTGGTTTTCCACTCGCGTTGCGAGAAAAATCAAGAAGCGTTGCAACACGAAATTTCCCACCGCTTTTATTATAAACATGTTTTTCTAACTGATACTTCGTCGTAGAATCGCGAAAAATATTGCGCAACACGCCGGCGAATTGAGGTCTAGTCGCCGGGGAAAAAAACTGCGTCAATGTGTTTTGACTGATAACTGGCCGGCGAATTTCATGCATTTGGTGCGCGACGCATTAACACAGCACACACGAAAATGCGACGATTGCGTCGCGTCCGTCCGCCTCGCGTGTGTTATTAATAATTCCGCAATCGGTACGCGATATGATAATGATAAGCGCGCGCTCTTATTCGTGATGCGGCGCTTCTGCGCGGCGCGTTTTCATTTCGCTGTCTAATATCGGCAGCGCGTGTTTGAACGCAGAAAAACAAAACACACGACGACTGATAATCGCCGGACGACGCATGTTGATTAAGTGCAAACACACACAGCGCACACTTGACGGAATGGTAATTAATCTGCATTCATTTCGAATTTCGTGTGTTTGTGTTTACATAACAAACTAGGAAATAATCTTATCGCGCGCGCGCGCGCAAAAGCAAATACGGCGTGTGATGATACCGATGTGTCTCTGGTGTGTGCGATGCGTCTGAATGAATGAAGGCGTGCATCGCGAGTGCATCTCCAGCCCCGCGCGCGCAAATCAAATAAGTTTTCTACGCCGCAAAAGTGCCGCCTTTGTTTTCGCGGCGCGCACTTCGCACTGGCGTCCTTCACGTTCTAATCCTGAAATTGTTGGCGTAGAGCGCGCGCGGCTCGACCGAGAACGCCTTCGAATCGTCGTCGTCGTCGTCGTCGTCGTCGGACAACAACATCCGCGAGTGGGGAGCGTGCCGTGCGAGCCGGTGACTTCGCGAACAAAGAAAACGGTAACGACAACGGTAACTCGTACTACACGCCGCTGAAAATCTCAGCCTTCACCTGCATGACCTATGAATAGATTTCGATAGAAGTCGATATTAGATTTTCTGTCAAACGCAGCGCGCTTACGTGATGGCGATGATGATGATGAAACAAGGGTGGTTGCGAAATTGACGCAGCACTCGTTTGTGTTTGTTCTTCTGGTTGTGACTGCTTTGACGGACTGACAGCGTTGAATAACTAATCGCGCGGAGGGTATTATATGCTGATTGGAAACTTGCATCACGAAAATATTCGACGTGACGTAAAAGTGAAATGCGGCGCTGGGAAATGCGCGCAGCAGCGCGTTTTTTGCGTCGCGATTTGCGCGCTGTTGTTGTTGGATCGCGCGCGGCCTCGCGAACAGCTGACTCGCGCGACATGCGGCCGCAAAAAATCGCGTCAACAAATAGCGCTGCGCTGATAAGTCCTTGATTGAGCCAGATGATAATGGCCGTGTCAACACTTCCCAGTCGCTGGATTTATCGCACTTATCACCCAGAACGACGCGCGCCGCGGACAACAATATCTTAGATATAATAAACATAATCGCGAGCCAAACATTTGACGCTCGCTACGTTTGTTATTGTCGACTGTAAATAGTCAAATAGTAAATAGTTGTTACGCAATTTGTTTATTATGAAAATTGTTTAAAACTTGCGCATTAACCCTCATCGGGTTTTAAAAAGTAAACGTTGCGTTTTCCTTTTATTATTTTGCTCTTCCCGCGAAAAAGAGTGGAGAAAATCCAATGTTACGTACTCGGCACTCAGTGTTATCGCGCAACCAATCATATGCCAGCACTTCCCCCACTACTTTTTTCGGGTAGACCGCGTGTATAAGAAGCCAACGCGCAGTGTGCCACTTGTTCAGTCGTGTTAGAGTTTTCCAGTCGCAGCTTCCAAGATCTTCTTAAGAAAAAATGTTTTCTTGGAGTTTTGCATAATAAGAAATGCGAATTTCGAATTTTTTAAACTTCATATACTAACCTGGTATGTACAAACCACTTATCTCTTCATGATTATTGTTTTTATATGTTGGCATTAATTATAAATTTGCAAAAAGTTTAAATTTGCATATTTACCCCCATCGGCTGTGGTGTCCGAGCGGTTAAGGAGTTTGACTCGAAATCAAATGGGCTCTGCCCGCACAGGTTCGAATCCTGTCCACAGCGATTCCATGTTTTTTCTTCGTGTTTTCAATAATAAATTCCTCCGAAATCTTAAATATACCTTCAACTTGTCATCACCAAAACCACGATAATCAATTTTTTAATAATTTATCTACTTGATTACAATACAAATCATTTTATTATTTTTATTATTTGGGGAAACTTATTGAAAATCCCACATTTTCAATAATTGGAAATGCTTGTTAAGCGATTATTGCCAGTGGCAACATTTTAAACTCGACTGTGAAATGCTATTCGCCTGCACCATTTGCACACTCGTTATTACGATCCATCTTTCATCCGGACGTTCCTGTCCTTTCATTGCATACACACGACGACGCAATCGGAATAAAAGCAATATGCACCTCAGCAGCAGCGCGTCGACGTCTTGTTACTCGTATATAAATAACTAATGCTTACTAGCGCGTAAAAGTATAACGCAGTTGATTGTGAATTCGAACAGGAAATGCAAATTTTGTTTACGTCTCGAGGAAACGGCCGTGTGTGTGTCGTGTCGTGCACATGACACCACAAGTGCGCTTGTGTGCACAACGTGGGCGATTTTTCCATTTCCCCGAGCTGTGGCATTACCTTCGTCAATACACACCAGCTCGCAACAATTTTCTTTGAAGCCTGCGGAAACTATTTGTGCCAGAAATAGGCGCACCGCCTCTCGCGGTAACAATTGACCTGAGTGAATGCAATGCATCCGCGCGAGATTTTCACGTTTTCCACGCGGCGTTTGAATAATGCACGCGTAATGAGTACACGGTGCAGGAGGAGAGGAATTGTCACATTCGATAAGACGCCGGCGTCATACTTGACAGGTTTCCGGCTCACCTGACCCCGCCGCTGGAAAAACGCGACCTGACGGCTTTCCACGTCAGCTGACCGGAGTCTCATTAATAGACAATCAATTTCCTATCCGGCTTAGTTATTATGCTAATCGCGGCATACGACTTTCTCGGCGTCGCTGGTTGCGCTGGTTTCCTCGATTGCAACACGCAGCGAAAATCGATGGGCGTTCAATTTTTCAAACTTTTCGCGCTGTTTTGCATTGTTTTAATATCAAATCCCATCGAATAAAAACTAAACGAGTGGACGGAATGTTTGCGTCGTGTCTCTTAAATAATTTCACTCTTGTTGTGTGTGCGGGGCATGCAGTCACGTATGTCCGCCGCTCGAATCGATTACGAAATTAAATAAAACAATAACGGAACGGATAATAGGAAAATGAGTTTCACGTACGTACGATGCATGCCTCGGCGGCGCCTTCACCACCCACCCGGTGTTGTGTCGGCCCTCACATGTTTTCCTCTCTCTATGTGTGTTGTTTTTTTCCTGAATCGATGCGCGTTTGTATACACGGCGTCCAAAGCGGGAAAATCCATATTAATGATCGTTGTGAATAATAGACGAGGAGACAGAGGCGCATCCGCCGTCGGGACCTGTCATTACCTGTCGTCTGGCCCCCGCCATTGTGTTTTTTCCCGAAGTTCTTGTGTTCGATCCGCGCGCGCAGAGAGGACACATTGTATCCGCGTTAATAATTCAGCCCGACGATGGCGTTTCAGCGAAATACTTTGAAATTAATGCGGCGCTCTAATTAAAGACGGAAATACTGGCGGCGCGCGAATCAATTCGGGACTGCGCTGCGTTTACCTAACGCAGAAATGTCGAAAATCCAGGCTAGTCATACGGTGAAAGTGATGATTAAGCTCTTGAATCATGATATCAGGATGGTTTGCACATGGCTCATCGGGAATTCAGGGTATAAAAAGCGCTGTGCGATGAAGTTAATTGAGTGGTCCGTGTTCGTTTGGTTGCAGGTGTGACGAGAACGTATGGCCTGCCGTCGCGGCCACAACAATGGTGAAGACGTTCCAGGCCTACCTCCCGCAATGCCATCGCACCTACTCGTGCATCCACTGCCGGGCTCACCTCGCCAACCACGACGAGCTGATATCCAAAGTGAGTTATTCTCTTTTCATGCGGCTGCTTTACCTTTTTACCTCTTACACTTTGCTTGTTGTAGTCATTCCAAGGCAGTCAAGGCCGAGCGTACCTCTTTAATTCGGTGTAAGTATTTTCTTATTTCGACGCAGGTAGAAAACCGCCCGTGTTGTTTCTTTGTTCTGGATGTTTTTATTATTGTTGTGTGTGGTGTGTGTCGCAGGGTAAACGTGGGTTGCGGTCCTGCCGAAGAGCGCGTCTTGCTCACTGGGTTGCATGCAGTCGCCGACATTTACTGCGAGTGCTGTAAGACGACCCTAGGTTGGAAATACGTAAGTAATGGCGGATAAATTGAGTGAAAGTGAGTCTAAACTGTGGTGGTTTTGCAGGAACACGCGTTCGAGTCAAGCCAAAAGTACAAGGAAGGCAAATTCATCATCGAGCTGGCGCATATGATCAAGGAGAACGGATGGGAATGATCGACGCGCCGGCTGTGATCTCACGTCGTCGTCGTGCGATGAACAATCGAGTACAAGCGCTGCCGCCGCCGCCGGAGACGCTCGCCACGACCAAACGCGAGGCGTCCCCGTTGGCGCGCGCCGCCGGAGTGTGTACGATTGGCATTGTAATTACTTAACATTGATAACACGATAATCATTGGCGTGAATGCGTGTTTGAGGTCCTTAATATATGTGTATTTGGGCGCGTGAACGAATGCGATTATTGCTGGCGCGTGTTGTTGTTGTGTTGCATCAGGAACGCACCGACGACCATTCTGGCGATGGCAACGCGGCCGAGCAAACGGGTGCAAAACAATCAAATTCACTAGGAATTGATAAGGCGAGCGATGAAATCGTTTCAACTTTGCTTAAACTAATTCGGGAAACAATGCGAGATTGTCTCAAGACGCGCAGCGTGAATGTTTTAAACAAAACGAATACCAAACACAAAACTCTATAATGCATTGTCCGCGATCAGTTCGAATGGTTCGAATAGCGCGCGCGCGCGCGCATACGCTTCCATCGAAGCCTCTGATTTCGATTTTCAAATTTGTAAATAGCTCTCAAAAGCGAAAACATGCTCCAGCTTCTTCCACACGAAGATGATGCGCATGCGCAAAATGAATGCAGCAAAAGCGAATGTAACAAACTGTGGTATGAAACTGTGTTAATCTAAACTTATATATTGAAGCAAAAAAACAAAACAAACAAGCAAACAAGAAAAATAATGAAGAAGACGAAGAAGAAGTTAACAAGCAAACAAAACAAAAACAAACGCATACACGATGTCAAGTCAAACAAACTTATTCAGATTCTATTCTCAAACAAAAATATATACTAGAATTAGCAACCAAAACAATTGCAATACGACTCGAAGAATCATCTCACACCAAACTTGCAAACGCTTGCAAAAAAACCAAAAAAAAAAAAAACTAAAAGCAAACAAACGGAAGCAACAAAAATAAATAAAAAACGCGAGAAAATCTACTATTGCAGAAAGATATCTAATTTTTTTACCGAAACTGATGAGAGAAACATTGATAATGACGAGATGACTGCGTGAGCGAGAGCGCATGATACTAACGCGTGTGCATGAACTCTGGACGAATGCAATTCGAGGTTAAGTTTTAGTTATCGTTTACTGTTTACTTAAGTGCATTGCGCGGAGCAGCGTGTTGTGTGTGTGACGACTACTACATTAACTATACTGATCACCACCCCACACCGATACCGATCGATTATGATTCTATGATTAATCCACCACCCCTGAGAATATCTAGGTTTAACTATTAATTAATTAATTCGATAAGTGTAATAATTCATGATGTGATTTTTGTGATAAAATGCGATTTTAAATATGTAAAATGGCGCGAAAAGATTGATGATGATGATTATGTGATGCAAACTTTAAACTTTAATGGAATTTATTTAAGCGTAACGTTTACGTTTGACGTTTCTCACACGCATACACCACATGTAATGCCCCATTCTACCACGCCACCTACATATATTATATATATACATCTCTATATATATTATATATTATACATATATACATTTGTCTACGGAACGTATTAAGTTTAATTTTCAAGTGTCGCATATGCGAGCGGGCGAAGTGGATGATTGCGGGGGGGTCGAATGATGGACGATGATGATGATGATGATGTGTTGAATTTCTATGACAAATTTTGTGAGCGTGCGCCTTCGCGGGCCGCGTGTCTAGCATTCGTATGTACACTGTAAGTTAATAGGTGTTTAATTAACTCGATTTGCCGTTGTTATCGTTTTCTCACGTTTTTGATTCATTTTAGTCGGCTTTGCGTCGCCTGGCGATAACTGTTTCAGTTGATTCGATGTTAACACACATTAACGAGTCGCGATGATGCTGCGAATGAATTGGAATGATTGTGTGTGGAGAGCAGATGAGGAAAAAAACACTATCATATACTGCCAGTAGGTTATATTAGCAGTTTTATCATCATTATCATAATATTTATGGTGGAATAACAATTACTTTGTATTACGTTAGGATGTTTTTTAGTTAATGTCCAATAAATATTAAGTTTTTTACTTAGAAAACGCACTGCAGCGAGTTTGGATTCGCGTTGACGTATGGGTACTGCGCATGCGCGAATTCAAACCGGTGATTTATTGTGTGAATTTATTCGGGACTGCACCACTTTTGGTTTCTGATTATTCCTCGTGTGATAAATGATGAGCGTTGACCTGTGAGTATGTTTACTGTTTGTTATCAGCGCATAAATGAATAAACTACAGTTATGTTAGCATTTCGATGGTGCGGCGGGTTGAGTTTAAGGTAGGTAGATGGCGTTGGTGTGCGGTGCGCAGAGCACACAGAGCGCTGCAAGCGCGCACAGCGCCGCACCGACCCCCTTCGGACGCGCGCGTCAAAGCCGCAAAGCGACCGACACAACAATTCGCGCACCGTTGCGGTATGAGAATACCAGATTCGGGCTGCAAAATCGCCGAATCCACGCCACACGCCCGAACTGTGACCTGTCGCGAAACGCAGCCGAGACTGCGAGGCATCATCGTCGCGCGCGCCGGGTCGCCTTCACGCCAGCCGTGGTGCGTGCGAGCGCCGCGATTATAACGCGCCGTCGACGCTCACCCAGCGCGCAGTGCACGCAGTGACACGGGCCCGCGAGGACGACGTACCGCGCCTCCGAAACCAGCAGGAGAAACACACCACAGCCGCCGTACCGACGCAGTGTGTGCGTGTGCAGAAGAGCCGCAGCAGCAGCAGCAACCCCTAGTGTGCGAAGTGCGACGTGATGTGAGCGCGTGTAAACACGAGCGGCTAAAAATATCGAAGAACGAACGAACGCCCAGCGCGCGCCGCGCTGCACTTGCAAACAAAACAAAAGGCCAGCGCGCGATCGCGCCCGGACTCTCTCGGTGGTGATAGTGCGACGAGCGACAATCCGTTGGTGGATAAACCAGCCAGCCAGCCCGTGTGTGTGCATACACATCGCATCGAGGACATTATGGTGAGTGCTAAATGTAAACACGACGCATCCTCGCTTTGCGCTCGAGCTGCGAGCTCGCTGCAACCTCACACTCTCGAGGTGATGTCAAACCCATCGACGCACACTCGTCCTTCCACCTTAACATCACTCATACACATAAAAACAGCTAGAAAATCACTAAAAATGTTGGATTTCGGTGTAATTCCGCGATTGATTGATGTCAAAAAGGGTTTCTCGGGGGTTGAATGATTGGCGGCGCATGGGGTAGGTCGTGGTGCGGCGCCCGCCGCCATTTTCTGTCGCAATTACGGCATCGCGACGCGCGCGGCGCTCCCCCGCGATATATTCTCATGCATGCGAAACCAGCGATTCGCGTAAACAGCCAGCGAAGACCGCCTAAGGGGTTTCAAGGTCGTGCCATAGTTGCAAACAAACATTGTTGTTGTGTAAACGGTCAGAAATGATTATTTTCGCTGCGAGTCGTGATTACTGGCTGCGCTCAACTTGTGTGCGACTCCAGTTTGCTTCTCACGTCGTAGTTTTCTTGAGCAATACTCGCTTGAAAGTCATGCATGCTATCGTAAGTAATTGAAAAGTTTGAAACATTTCGACGTCGAGTGGAATTAGCATTCATTAACAACGTGTGTGTGTGTGTGTTGAGATAGAGAGGAATTGTTTCGCGAGGTTTTTGGCAATCCGCGCGCGTGTTCTCATGCATGCAGCAGGAATCGCAGGAAAATTGCGACAGCCCGAACAATGTTGAAGTGGTTGATGCCTCAACAAAGTTTGTAAATCGGTCCGCATTCGCACGTTACGATTTATTTCGCGATGCGCATCGACGAGTATGTTGCTGATAGTCGCAACGAGCGAGTTTTACGGAAGTGTTTGCGTCGAAAACACGCGCGTGTTGCAATAAGGAAGTTGGCCGCGCGAATATTCGGCAAATGTCAAACTTGCTGTGTTTGCATAAATTGCGGCGCGCGCGTGAGTTTCCGGGTTGTGGGCCAGCTGAAATTTTTCGGTTTTTCGACCTCTGACAATGCGCGCCCGCCGCCGGATTTGCATACAATGCGCCCTCCCCGAACGGGCCCCGCTAGTGCCATCGCCCGCCCGTGCTTGTTTATCAAATTGTTTAATAAACCGAGAGAGTTCAATTAATGCTGATTGCCATCGGGCCGCGATCACTTAAGGGTCACTCAACCTTTCTGCCGGCGCGAACAACAAACAAGATTTCACGGCAAAATATTGACGTGAAATGTGCAATAAAACAACGCAACCACGATTAAAACATATTGCCAAGACGATAATTACCTAGATTTTGCACAATAAATTGTTACAATTGGCAGGAGACACAAATATTCGCGTCTCTTGCAGCGATTTGTGACATTGAAACACACGCTTGTGTGTTTATTGTTGGTAAATGTCAAACGTGTAACTTCTTAAAACATTCAGCGTGAATATATGCATACACGCACGGTGAGTGATGGCTGCGGACGGCGAATTTGTTTAATAATATTAACGCGCTGACGACGGCGATGATGATTTCGCCGGGTCAAGCACGCTAATTCACCCAATTCATAAATAGGTTTCTCATTAATTTATTGACATGTTCGTGACGATAACGTCGCGATTGTTTACGTCCTCCGCTGTGTTTCGGCGTGTGCTGTTGATGAATCTTGTTTACTCGTGAGGTGTTGGAATATTGGGATTTGGGAATTCATCCATCCAGTCTTGGGGCTGGGTCGCGCGACCTTCGGAAATTGGTACAACTTAATTATTTGTTGCGCGCGGCTCGCGCGCGCGCGAACGCGTAAAAAAGAAATGTTGCGAAAATTTCGTCGTCGTTGTGCGCGCGATATCGACGACCGCAGCAGCAGCTGAATGTGTTTCATGGCTCGGCTCGCGCCGCGTATTTGTTATTGCTTTTAGTAATAGTTGCACACCTTCAAGGTCTCCGCCATCGGCGTGCGCGCGGCTTTTTTCTCGGAGGTGGCTCCTCGGCGACATGATTTTAAGTCGGTCACGCGTTGATTTTTCGTCGCAAGAGCGCGGAGGTCGCCGGAATATATGGAGTACGTGCTCAGTTGTTGTTGTGTATCTCTATGCATGCATATCTCTTGCAGAGCTTCGCGAAATTCGCGTTCACTTTCAAGCGCGTGTCGACGACGACGACGACGACTTTTGAGCTGGTCAGCGTTTATAAATGCCGCGCGCCACCGTGTGAATCATATGATTTGTCGCGTGCATCACTTTTGAACGAATCCTCGCATTCCGACCGCGGACAATTACGTAATCATCTTCAATGTCACTCGGGAGCCATCCAAGTTCGATAATTAGCTATTGACCGAAATTTCCCCGCCGGTGAGTCGCGATTCACGATTAATTATTATGCAATTAAATTGTTGATATTTTAATTTGTCGGCAATTATATCGGCACAAATTGTTGACACAGTAATTCGAGTATTAAACATTTGATTTCACCTCTTAGGAGGTGAAGAACTTTGGTGTCCCACTTTGCTTTTGCCAATTTTATTCATTTTTATCACTTTTCTTAGAAACAACGTTTTATGATAAAATTCTCATGTTACAAATCATCTCCCAGTTATTCTTGCAGAGTCAGCAGGAAATCTGCGCAAGTTCTCGCCTGGATATCGCGAATTTGGAGATAAATAAGCGATGAAACACGCAAAATGCAAGTGAATCGCCATTATTTCCAGCTGATGTTTGACCGTGACTAAGAAAAACTTCAATTGAAACACACTATCATCACGCCGTCGCAGACATTGACGATTATTAGTTGTGTATCGTTGATTGTTACTCATCGAGATTTTCCACATGCGTGCGTATCACCTGATGGTGCCGCTAATCGTGTTTCCTGCTCGCCGAGAAAGGTGTTGTTGTTTCTTTACTTTGCGACGGTTATCGCCGCCAGACTAGACATCGACAAGCCGCTCTTATCATATAATCTGACCGGGCGTGATTAGCGCTTATCGGGCATGCTACTAGCGTTACATGCAAGCGCATGGAATTTTTTTTCACTTCGGTTCGGTGAAGAAGTGTAATGTGAAGAGGCGCGATATCGCATTGTGTGTGACACTGCGTTTCGCGCGAAATTACAGGTTTCTCGTTTGAATTGTGCGCCGGTGGTATTGCAGGTTTTCTGTGCGCGACTTGCGGTTTGTGTTGGTAGATGGCGCTGTGTGTCTGATTTAGTCTTTTCGGAGTTTTTGTTACTGCAGCGGACAGTCGGACTGTCAGTCAGACTGGGAGTCAAGACTGTCCGTCTCAGTTGGTTATAAATTTGTGGGTTTTTTTTTTCGGCTGACCTTTGCTGTGTGTAATATTTTTTGTTGCGTTCGGCGCATTTCTTTGACGAATTATTTTAGTTAGTTCAATTAGCCAACCTTGGTAGTACCCGCACGTCGTGTCGGTACTTATCGGTAATTGGTTTCGCAATCGCGTTTCTTCGCCGAGAGATATTGAAATTGCCTAGGAAATTTCGCCGGTTGCGAAGGCAGGATTTAATTCGATATTTTTACATGTTTTTAATTGTCGTTGTAATAAAAGTCGTAAAGTCGGTTTCATGGCTACTTCGTCGTTGATTATTATTTGGAATGGAAAGGCACCAATAAAAATTCATTTCAAACTTTAATATATTTGAAGTCTAAGTTTCGAAAAAGTTCGGCTACAGAAAAGTGTATTTCCTGGTTTGTGTGTTGGTAAAAAATGCGTATAAGAAGTTGGTTGAAGTCGCGCCATGATTTCTGGTAGGAATAACAATGGAGGCGAAGATTTGCGCGTAACATCCTGTATCCTGCGCCGACGATTTCCTTGTATCGGTTGCGGTACTGACCGCTGCCAAGGCCTTCGTCGGTTTGCACTTCTCATTAAGCGGGCGACTGAACGACGCGGTCGCCCGAGCCGCCGGTGGCGGGTCGCCATGGCAACAGTGTGTGTGTGCCGGCGAGGCCTACTTACGGGCGCGCGCCGCCGCTGGGCGTGAGCCGCCAAGGACTCTCTCTCAACCGACTGAGCCGTTTTCCGCGCGCGCGTGCGCTGGAAGGAACAAAAGCAAAAGCCGGCCGCGACGTCGCACCCGCGCCGACGACGACGACGACGCTGACCGACCGACCGACCAGGCCGGCCGGCGCGCGCGCGCCTGACGCGAAAGGAGCGAGAAAAATAAAGTGTAATTTGTTAACCTTCATAGTTCAACGACTTCTTCGGCCGGCGCGGCGCGCGCGCTGCTTCGTCACGCCGCTCGCACGCACCATGGCTGCGCTGTTGTGCTACGAGAGCAGCTGACGACGACGATGGGGACGGCGGTGTGACGCGGCGGCGCGACTTGCCGCTTTTCGTCTTTTGTTCACTGGCTGCTGAGCAGCGCGAGGAAGTGTCGCGCATCGCCGCTATGACATTTCCACTTTGCCGTGACATATGTTCATATCAAACGCACCCCAATCGTTGGATGTTCATTCACGAAATTAAAACACAGCGCGCATACAATTTGTATCGCGTGTGCATGTGTGTGCATGTCCTCCTTTATTCATGTTTGCAGTCATAAAAGGAAGTTGCTTAACCTTAAAAATTCCGAGCGCATTGTTTGCCGAATGTGAAAATAAATGTTGTCTCCTTTGTTCGCAGAATAAGAATGACGTCGCCAAGGAAAACAACTGATCGTCTGCGCGCGCCGACGCACAAATAAGGTGAGTTTCAGTTTGTTGCTGGCCGCGTCGAAATTGAAAGTCGAATCGGGTTTTTCGGCGCGCCCCGGTGGAGAGAGCGAGGATCCCCCTATCAGCCACAGCGCGTGCACGCGCCTTGCCTCCCCCTCGTCGCGCGTCCACGGAAAAGGGTGCAGGCAGGGTGCAGTAACCCCTAACAACACGCCGCGTTTGCTGCCTGCTGCGGATCAATAAACTCCCAGCCGGCATCGCGGCCGCGCCGCCTCGCGCCTTCACGGCCGCATTCGAAGGCCCCCGCTCGAACGTGCGATGCTAATTATTGCGATCAACATTCGCGAACAACGTTCTCGATCAATGACTTGTATTTTGTTGTAATTATCCACCATCGAATGTTCGTTTATCATGCGACATGTTATATTCTGAGTCATTTCTATTAAAACCCATGGGTTTTAATTGTAGGAGTTTTTAAAGTTTTGTTATGCAGGAGATACAGGGTGTTTTCATTCTGAATTGAGTATTCCTTTGTGAGGGCTGTGGGATTTGGATGGTGGGGGTAGTATTCGGGCGGCGTCGGCGGGTGGTCGGATGTGTTCGGTGGGCGCTAGGGCACACCAACGTCTTCGATCGCATGACGTGCGCCCGGCGGCAGTGGCGTCGCGTCAGTAGTGCTGGCCGGCGCAGCGGTCATGATAACGTCGTCCGCGCCTCCATCGCCCTCAACATCCGCCGCCGTTGCAGTGTTACCCGTGTACACATCGCCGCCGCCCGGACTAGTGCTGCGCGCCGGTGGCAAGCCGCCCCTGTTCGTGCATCACCACCATCACCTGCACCAGCCGCCGCATCCGCTCGCCCTTTCGCCGGCGGCATTTGTACGGTGCTTCGTGAGTGCGCGTATCTCGGGCGTCGGCGACGACCTCGGTCTGGTGCTACCCGCCGCTGGTGGTCTCTTTCACGCTCCGCAGCGACGTGCCGGCGCGCCCGCCGCCTGCTGGGGGGGCGGCGGCCGACGCGCGTATGTCGGCTGTCTTCTGCCGACTGCCGATTTCGTCCTGCGACACCATCATCAGCCACATCACCTGCCCACGCACCAACGACAACGCGGGTACTTTCGCTCCTTTCAGCCTACTATGGAAACAAGGTAACACCTTGGTTGTTGGTTGTGCTTCGCCCCGGTCGCACGCACAATGCGCCTCGTTTCCTCGTTTTGTGCCTTTTTCCGCCGCTCGCTGCTGGCCTCTTTTGTCCGTGTGCGCTGTGGCTTCGCGCGCCCGCTTGGTAACTATTTTTTCGCCTCCCGGTCGGTTTCTCATGTCTCTCGGGTTACGCGTTCGAATTCGAGTTTCCTGTGACTAACTGCATGCACTTTGTGTGCTCGTGACGTCAGCAGGTATTTCCGGTGTATGGAATTGTGCGGTCGCTCGACCACATTCGGTGCCTTTTTTTTTTACCCATCGTCCCGAAATCGTCCTTGGAGGAGAACCATCCGAAAATACAACTTAAACTTTCTTTTACTCAAAATCATCACTATAGCAACATACTGAGTTTTGTATGTACATCAAAACATAACAAATCAGTTCAATGTCATTTTCATTTTCGGCGCGCACACGAAAATTTTCAGTAAAACGTGATTTCAGCATTTCAATTCATCTACGAATTCAAACACGCGTGGTTTTGCGCGCAAAATGGTCCGTGCGCAGCGAGATTTACGATTCTCAATGAAACTGCGAAAGCTCTATGGAATGAGGTAATAACAATCGTCTTAATGAGCAAATCGCTAAGTACGCGAACGCGAGTTACGCCTGCAAGGTTGCGCCGTCCTTATTTATTTATTGCCATTGCGCCATTCGCAGCCACACTGCTGTTATCGCGGCTGCACAAATCGTTAAATAATTGACGCCCGGCGTGTTTTGCCAAAAATCGCGGGATTTTTTCCAACGCGCTGTGTGACTAAACTCGCGTGGATTATTTAATTCACCGAAGTTTGTCTTACTCATGAATCTCGAATGTAAATGTATTGTAATCTGGGTACTTGAAATGTTAAATTTGAATGTTTTTGCATATCAAACAGCAACTTACTCATCCGATTCGTTTGTTTTCAGGTGAGACACGACGTTTTTTTTTTCTTCTGCCATTCTTTCAACGGTTGGGTACGCTCTGTGTGTGTAAGTATGCAGCCGGCGCGCGAGTTCAATGACAGTAAATCGCCGAAAAAGAGTTAAAGGTCTTTAAATACGCCTAAATTTACATCTAAGCAGCCAGCAGCAGCGATGCACTTGCGCTCGTCTGCGCACTGAGTGCACTTGTGCAGGAATAAAACGAGAGTGCGCGTCGCCGATTTCGACTATTTATAGAACTAATTCCAGCCTTCCAGCGTTGAAAACGCGCGTTTCCAACATCATTTTCCGTTCGATTTGTGGTGCGTGCGAGAGCGGATTATGAACGCGCGTCGATTTCGCAGCGGTCTTTAATTGCATCCCTTCCTCCCACATTTTTTGCGTTCAAAGCCGACCAGCGCAGATTGGAGCAGCCCGAAGAAGACAAAAAGCAGCCGCGATTTTCTCATTGTTGTAATGCATGCATCTCCTCCAACCAGTGTCAAAAACCGCCGGTGCGAAATCGACTCTCGCGCTTCGGGCACGCTCTCACAGCGAGCGTCGTTTCTCGTCCAAGGTCGTGCGCATGTCGACACGTAAATAACATTCGTACATGAAAAGAAGTCGCGCGTTTTTAACGTCTGCGCTCGCGGCCAGGTTGCGCGCTCGCCGCTTTCGTCATTTTTAATCGCCGCGGACGCGGTGCGTGTCGCGTATTTATATCCCAGTCGCGCGCTGTGCGGTGCATCTTTGCGCTCCTTTGCTGCCGCCCGATATCATGGTTGTTGTTTTTTCCACTTCTTCGCCGCGGGTTTATTTATGTGGATGATATCCACGAGGAGCGTTGTTGTTTCTGCTCGTGAGGCACATCCCGGCATGCTCTATTTTTAAAATTATTTTGACCTTTTTGATGAAATTGAGACATATCTATTCTTCCAAGGGCAAGAGCGTTTTGTAACTGGAAATAACGGTCATTTTCTGGTCACTTAGAATGTTAAATAGAAATCTATTCAGCTTCTCAACTACACCGAAGTTTTTGAAACAAGTATTTATTCCATTTCTCATTGTCGAATTTTATTCCGTAGTTGAAAGTCTCTCTTTCAACTATCTCGACCGTCAGCGCATCTTTTACTCTTTGCCCTTGCCCTCGTCTCGTCGACTTTGTATCTTCGTGTCGGTTTGATTTTTTTCGCACCTAGATCGAGAGCTGTACCCGGCTAGACTCGCGGTGTGCCTTCGGCTGGGCGTCTAGCGCGCACCAAGAGGAAAATTATACCACAAACCGGTTTCGAACGTTTTCCCCACATTTCACCTGGGCGAACGCGCCGCGTCAGCTGTGTTAAGTTATTGTTGGGTCTTTTGTTTCGTGCGATGCACCACCAGCAGCCGCTGCAAGGCGCTCGAACCGAAACGTTGTTTGATCATTTTTCGGGCGAGAACGCTTCAAAATGCACGCCATGTGATGTTTAGATATTGATCTCGCAATGGAAACCCTTTTTTCGTCGTTTTTGCGGACTACCAAATATTTCCCAGCGGTGAGATTGTTTCTAAACAAAATTTTGTTTACATTTCGTGATTGTAAAGGAATTTTTATTGTTATTAGTCATGAAACTACCGAAAGAAAACTGTTTAATTGTTTGCCGATTAAACTCGGGTTATTTTATTGCCGATTTCTGCATGTTGCTCGTTGGAATATTTACCAAACACAGTTCTGAGTCAGAAACACGGCTTATCGGGCGCCATTATGAACTTAACGGTCGATAAAGTACGCTCAATATCTTACTTAGAAGCTTATCATTGTTACAACAAACATCAACGGGGTGTATCTTGACAATTATCGATTCACTCGTAGATCTAATCGTTTCGTTCCTGGTAGATTATCGTAATTGTTGTTGCTTCGATTCTAATTCTACACGAATGTTTAGAAAACGGCATGTTTATCGAAGTGTTTACGCGTGTTGTGTGATGATGATGTGCATCTGCGACACGACGCGAATTCAGCACACACGAGTGAAAATAAAAAAAAGTGTGTGTCTTTTTTCGCAGCGGCAGGCATTATCTTTTCGATGCTAAAAATGGGCCAAGGCGCTTTTCTGCGTCGCGTCGTCGTCGACGAGTGTGAGCGGTGAATTTTAAGCCTAAGGTTAAATTTTGAAATTTGTGTGAGCGCGTCGTGCGCTTGCATCACTGCAATGTAATGTTTGGTTTTCGCAAGTTGGCGGACGAAGGAGAGAAAATCGTTGTTGGCGGTTTCCTCAGAGCGGAGAGAACAATGAATTTCTCCGCGTGTGCGCGCGCCCGAGCGAAATCCTTGCCGAAATTCACCTTAACACCGTTTTGCAATTATGTTACACATTTGGCTAATTATATTTTTGCGAAAAACTTGTTATTAACCAATATGTGTGTGTGTGTGTGTGTGTATGCGCGGCGTGGAATAATAACACTGATTGTTGTTCCTAATTTGAGTGAAACTCGTCCACCATCAGTGTTAGTGTTGCGGATGCCCGACGCGCATCATCAATTATTCGAAGCGACGCCGGGCGACTTTAACAAACCCGGCGTCCGTGGGGTTGGACGCGCAGTTCCCTTTAAAGCGAGTGCATTTTCTTGCTTTTGTTGGCGCGCCGAGTTTCGAGTTTGAGGCGAAGTTTGAATTCCACGCGCGCATGCATCACGGCCGATGGGGCACATGACGTGCTGCCGCGCTGCCACCCTCGACTCTACACCCTGTTTCACTGTGTGTGTGTGAGAGTATTGCGCACGGGTTCAACCGTCCTGTGTGCGCGTGTGTTATTGATCGCGCGCGGCCAACCGTCGGCGGCGAACGCGCTTCGCGAATACACCACCACAGCAACAACCCTATATCGAAATCGCATGCAACTCGTGGTGCGGCGAAATGCAAAAATTGTGCTCCCGCATGCACACACA